CCTGGGAATGGAAACCTCTCAAACCGCAAAACCGGTATCAACGGTAAGGATACGTTAGCAGTTCAGCTGAAGTAAAGCGAGCTAAGAGGTGGGACCAACGCCAGTGGAGTCCCTAGATCGACGATCTAGAAGCTTTGGCCGCCCTCGCGAAGTCCTAAAAGAGGAGAGAGATCTTAAAAAGCCACACATGATTGAGGCTGGTAGCGTCCCGGCAGGCTGGGACCACACAAAACCTACCCTAATGCGACCTTGCTCAGATTTGTTTACAGTATTAGGTGTACAAGCGTGTACTGTATGCTTCCTAGGTACACAAAGACCATGCTTCCTTACATACAACTGCGTAAAGCAGGATCGTGAGACTCTTTACCGAGATAAAGCGCGATCCTTCTTCTAGCTATTGAAACCAAGAGAGACTGACCGCGACTAGAGAAACAAACAGTGTCAGAGTTAATAGTGCAGTAGAGCAGTAGAGCAGTTTCAGCTGGTCTTGTGCACTATCTACTGCTTCCATAGCAGGTCTGATACTTAAGCGGTGCCTGGTCAATCCGGGTTGTAAAGTAAGTCCAGTCGTGTAAGTATGTGGTATTAACCTCAATACCCCGCGTGTTCAAAAGGCACTACAGGTGTGGCCTTGTAACCCTGGTGGTTTTGTACCCCATCGACAAAACACATCAATATCCATACCCAGGAACGCTCATCCTAGACATTATCTTACGCAAATAGACAAGAACTTGGCTAGGGCGTGAGTTTGTAGAAAGTTTGAACCATTTACGTTCGCGGACGGGAAGCGTCAATTATCCGATCGACGATATCACATTGTTTAGGGCGGCACCTATGATGACCGTCTCTCACCCTTTTGTTGATTGATCACCACTAACCTCTAAAAACGCTCTTGGGGAGGCAGTTCTTCGGAAAAGGGGACGGCTAATACGCCTGCCCGCCTAACCTTGGTATATTCCGCGCACTGCAAAGCATCGTCAATTAACGATGCTTTTTACATGGCACAGCGAGGAAAACATTGACGAGCAATTGACGGGCTGTTCCAAATCCTTGGAGGTGCCAAGGCCGTACCCACAGCGGCCCAACTTACTTCATTATGATTTTTGCAGTATTGTAAGACACCTCTAATCAATGGCGAGCCAATCATCTGTTACATACAACAGTTAACGAACCCCGCGTCGGTGCTCTCCCAAATACCGGTACCAACAATATCGCACCCGAATCTGCCGTTACATCACTCTGTGCTCGGATCTTCTCAGTAACAAATATACAGCTCGGCCGCGTAATATGCAGAGACGCGAGGCCTTGGCGTTGCTGCTATCGCGACTGTTTGTTGGTTGAAGCGATAGTAGTCGGGCTTCGTCTCTTTTGGGCTACCAAGAGAAATCATTTGGACTTTACGCGGTCTGGGCAGACACGAAAATCCCGGCGCGTTTGGTACGCGACGCGCAGGAATGTGCCGGCGCCCCGGAGAACGATTGTCGGGATCTTGTTATAATTAGTTTACCCTACCCTTTTAACGAACCTGTAACCCGGCCTAACCCGTCTTTGGATAAACAAAGTATCGCCCGTATCGCCCGGGCAAGCCGTAGATACAAGTCCTACTGTACACAGTAGTCTGTAGGCAGGCAGGCAGGCAGGCAGGTAGGTAGGTAGGTACCGGTAACTCATGTCAGACTCATGTAATGAAGGTAACATACAGCCCGGGTACGCACCGGGTGAAAGCTTGCCGCGCACTACCTGCCCGTACTGTGTACTATTGATTGTCGAAAGCTTTCAGCAATCTAGATAATACAGTAGGTAATTCGTCCCGTGGTAACGAGGCGGGTTCTGCATCAGACCCTCACCGTGCCTCGACAGGACGCGCGCAGAAAGCAGGGAAAAAAAGATCGAGTGCAACGCTGTACCACATGAAGAAAAGCCTGTTGCCTTCGCAACAAGATCTATCCGACGACGGCTCGTCATCGTCTCTGTAGTACGAAGGACCCTGAATATATTTTTTTTTCTCTCCCCTTCGGCGCGGCCCCCTCTAGCCTACTGGCTAGCATCAAATGCTCAATTTAAGTCACAAATAGCCTGGCGCTGACGCAAAGGTTGAATTCTGGACGCACGCGGGCAGAGGATCAAAAAAGTCTACCTACACTAAGGCTGATACAACCCCTCAATTAACCTTTACCGCCTCCTCCCTCCCCTTGCTCCGAATGGGCGCCGAGTTCGCTAGAATTACGTGCAGATGAGGGAACGCACGGAACTACGAATATCACGTACAGTAGTGTACCCGTCACAGTATTTACCACTAGACATGTGGTCTTGGATTGATGGGATCTGTTGGGTCAGATGACATGCGCTATGGGCTATGTACCTCGATCCGAGACATATCTACAGCGAGTAGGTAGTTCGAGCTGTTTGGCTCTGGAACCCGATTCCGTATTGTGGAATCTAGGACCTTCTTTCAATGGATTCGTCTTATTCTTCAATGTGGTAAGTAATCCGTGTCAGCCTCCCAGGTCCAGTCAGGCAAAGGGGTCACGGCTGTTCGTTCTGTCAGCTGGCTATGGGTCGGAGATATGACGCTTTTTCGAGGATGACTAGAACCTGCATGTAACAATTGGTTACAGGATGGACCCAGGACTACTAAAGGTTCTAAAGACAGGACAACCATTGTCCAATCATTTTGTTCGTGTTGGTTCGTTGGTTTGACGGAGCCCTTGTCGATATTCCTTCTGTTGGAGCGAGTTTACTAAGTATGGATCTACAGTGCTTATGACCCGAGTTACATGAATGTTGGCGACTTGTAAGTTAGCTTCCGCTGTGTACCACATGCAGTTGAATTTAATCCTGTTTGAATATGGCGAGCTTCCACTGTCCGGATCGTCTAAGTACTGTGCCTGTCTTTGAAATTGCTGTGGTGACACTAGTTTTTGACTCGCCCGTCCGGCGTTCTCATGATCCCGGTCCCGGAAACGTGGGGACGCGCTTCTTTTCTAGACTGGTCCTGTTTTGCAACACGGTCGGGCACGAGTCACATGGGACTACCTCGACTACTAATACATATAGCACAGTAGAGCGGCAAGCTGGGTGGGCAGAACCAGTTCGGTGCGGAGGAGTTCCCACCCACCGTTCATGGCTTTTCGAGGCACGGTAGCTCTATTTGGCAATAAGCCGCCAGACCTCTTCGGCCCCTCCCTTCTAGCGTGCGTGGTCTGAGTCGAGCTCTTCCGTGTGACATGAACTGACTGGCTACTCGCCGTCACTTGGCGTGTTTAGCCTTGCACGACTTTGTTTGGATTATGACTATGACGATGCGGCATGCGATGTAGGAGACAGTATATAGTAACCGATCTTCAATACTTAGCGAATCATGAAGTTTAGGTATTCTAAGAAGCAGTGGCTTCCTGCTAGTCGCCAGCGTCCCCGTGTGGGCTATAATGTTGACCTTCAATGATGACGAGATAGCCGCCGAAGCGCCCCTCACAGTGAATACTTCAATTCTCTCTTATTTTTCAATCTCCTGATGAACTTAACTTATTGAGGCTTAAAGATGCAAGAGGCGCAAAAAAAAATTAATTTTTCTCTTCTACTTCTTCTTCCGAATTCTCGGTTGCCACGGCGGCATCATCGTATAGTCCCACATCGGATGCAAATGAGAGAGAGGAAAAAAAGGAAAGAAAAGTTTTAGATAGTATTGAGACTATCGCGCAAGCCACTAAAAATTTTGGCGTACTAGCAAAAGATATGCCCGTAAATCATACCCTATTGCTGTATGCTCTTGTCTGGGTACAGAGTCAAATTATGCAAGTGTTTGTTTCAATGATATTCAATGTTTCTTTCATCCGTAGCCCACGAGCGAGGTTAACTACCTGTACTTTCGTACCCCACTTAGATACAGGCAGAGAGCTGGCTTCATTTGCTTGGCGCGCATCAGGATTTGGAAACACTCCTCCCTCATCACATCATACCAGCCTCTCTCATTCTCATCACAGTCGTCTCACATGTTGCTTTGTTTCTACACCATTTCGAGCCTAGCGACCCGGCCACCTTGGGGTTCTAGGCAATTGAGAAAGACAGATGAGTAAAAAAAAACTTCATGCTACATTGGACGTTTTAATGCCGCTTGAATATCACTTCGGCAAAACCTTGTGGCAGCTAGAATCCGCCGTGGGCTCATCGCAATCACGCAGGGTGCCAACAGCAGCGCATTAAAATAATTATCTCAAAATAATTACATGCTCCGTTACTAGCCATGGGCGTACTCGAGTATACCTTCGCCGGCCACTTTTCGGGAGGGTGAGAACGCCATCGATGCGCAAAGCTCGGTTTACCGCCGCCCTATCTTGCCTAACGAGGTATCGGCGTAGTGGCTCGATATCAACGGCACTCGGCAAGGGTATAGCCCGGAGTTAGGCCTAACGCCAGCGGCTATCAGGATGCCATCGCTTTGATTTCAATCTCTACTACATTTACTGAAACTATGTTTTGAGACGATGATGTCAAGCATCTTCAGAAGGTCCTAGGCACTGCACTGGGGTGTCTGGGGACTTTCTCCCGCGAGTTATATGATCATTTACCTCATGGGGTCTTGTGCCAGTGCTCCTGAGAAAGGAAAAAAGAAGTATCAGAGCTCGCATCAAATACCTGAAGCTTATCGTGCTTCATAGGACCTGGCTGGAACCTGACCATCTGAGCGTTTGGGCGTAGTGCACGCCTTGATTCAACGAGTCTCGTGATGATGTATTGGAACGACAGGTGATTGTAGTTTTAGAGAAATGATGGAAGAGTACAAGGACCGATACTTCACTAGGGATTCTGGCGATGTTTGGTTGCGTGCAATTGGCATAGGTAAGTATGTTCAAGTTGATGCTGTGCACATCACTTTACTCCCTTACTCATTATCATGCCGGCATTATACACCTCGCTTGTATTCTTATATATCCTAGCCTGAGGATGCCAGTCTCGCACCTTTTCTCTACTACCTTCTCTCAAGCTGACATGATGATCTTTCAGGATGACTGAGGTTTAACGTACTCGCTCCTCCACCGCGGATTTCGTTTAGGTATGGCTTTTATACCTCCCTTCCGTGGCTCAAGCTGGATCACCCGGTTTGGCACAACCCTTGTATATGGTTTCTGTCCAGGGCCGCGATCCACAGCCTGGTATTTCCCTATAGCAATCTCACTCCTCCCTCTTATGTTGGTATCAGCATCTACGATGACGTCGCCAGATTCGTTCAGCGATTCGTGTAGAAACACTACACGATCAGGTGTCTGTGCAGCTGCTCGAAGGGTCTCCAACTCTTCAGGCAATTGAAAGACAAACTTCTTATCGGTATCAAACCTGAGATGAGCCGGCAATCGACTAGTCCCTAAAACATCTCTCCGATCTTCCCCTAACCAGATTCGCGACATACCCGGCCCTGAGGAGAGGTAGCAAGCATCGAACGGGACCATGCCGCTGAGTCGTTGTGAAAAGCTAGTGCTACCGGCTTGGTCTTCCTGAGCCAGAACCGGACAAAACCCACCCAAGGTCGGCCGTTCCGCTGGCCATACTGCCTCATCTGCTCGACTAACCAGTGATCTGCCGTCGTCAGTACATATTGACACATACATCTCGTACCATTTCAATCTCTTTCTGCCCCCAACTACATTCACTTCCATTACTCCCTGAGCCGGGTATTCTGTCATATTCATGTTCAACCTCGCCAGGTCAGATTGAAGAATGATCGGAAAGGTCGCACCACTGTCCAGGAGCGTGCCCAATCGGCACGAGGCGTCTCTGCTGCGTGCCTTTTTCGGGATTTCTGTTGCATCTCCCGATTCGCTGGTTTTTTCTGGCGTTCTTTTTCGTTTATTACTCGAGACTTTATCACGCTGGACTCTAAATTGAAGAGCGATTTGGTAGGTGCCAATACCGTACTTATCAACCTGGAAATTCCGCATGAGACAAATACCTTTCTTCGCTAGAACATCATTCCCGGTCCCTGCCAGAGGAGGTTCTTGCCAGAGCCAGCCAGGCCCGTGCTCGGCAGCGTAACGATCGAGTCTTTCATGTCTATCTACACAGAAAGATTTGTAGTCTCTACACCTGTCTACGACATGGCCCGCGTATAACAAAGTGAAGTCGTGAGAATACGGTATCTGTCCGGATTCGTACCCCTGGATCGCTGCTCTGACATTGATTTTCTCATCTTCGCATTTGCTATTGTCTAGGATCCATCTTAGCAACTCCAAGCGTTGAGAAATGCGGTTTCGTTTTTCTCGTTGGTCCCTGAAGCACTCATTATTAGCTCAGGGGACTCGGCTCTTAGTCTGCGAAAATCAACGCACTCAGGCATATGATTCTCCTCGTTATCCTCCATTCCAGCTCTCTCCTGTATCAGTTGATTTAGGATTCTCCTGTTATGGTCTACTTCATTTGGCGAATGTTGTTCGTGATATCGCACAATGAATTCCTGTTGCTCGATTTCGCGATTTTTCCGCTCAATGTGACTCAAGTTTTCGCCTAAGTTGCCAACAACCAACGATTGCCATGGCTTTCCCTCTTGGAATCCAACCGCGCCAGCTAGTTGTGACGATTCTGCTTCTCCGGCTTCCACCGCAACACCTGTCTGGTCTTCGGCTACTTCTGGTGTGTTATCGTCTGGCTTTTTAGCATTTCTAGACAGGAAACGAAGCCTGCGTCTCTCTCTCGATCTCCATTCAGACTCTGACATCGCAAGCGACGCAGCGGTCCTACTCCTATGTTCACTCGTCCCGTGCAGAGATCCATCATCGGAGTACCCATCGGTCCCGCGCGGCCTTTTTTGTGACATAACAATTTGATTTTCTGCTGCAGCAACTCTGGCGACGATCGTGAAGCTTCTATGACGCACTCCAGCCTAATTAGCCACTAGCATAGTTGCCAAATTCCAGACAAAGCCATTTTGACTCAAGGAAGCTAAAGTCTGCAAACGGCAAATGCATGTATAGTGGGTGTCTCACTTGTACTCGGCGAAGACTACAGCCACGTTCTTTGTCTAGCTGCATTGTAGAGCTCCAAGAGCAGCCGGTCAAGGAAGACCGCTGTCCGCGGAATATTCGTGTTCCATTCTTGGCAATTGATGGATGCCTTGGGCAAGAGACTGAGCTCTCCTACTACTCTACTAGAACGACTTTTTTTCTTCTCATTGACCTCTCTGCTCAAGTAAGCATCGAGCAGTGTGGCATCCTTACGACCACTTTCCGGCTTTATACACCGCCCTTAGCCAGACGGTTTCTTACATACAAAATGGCGCCAATACAGTTTTCAGGTGAGGGGGTTGATCGCGCGCAAGTGCTTCAGCGGCTCGATGAGCTCTACAAAAGCGGATTTGTTGGCAAAGATGAGTTTGAGCGTGCAGCCGCAAAGATTTTGCATGCCAGCATTGAAGGAGATATCGCTTTTACCCCGAAGGAGTACGATCCAAGCGTTACGATCCCGCGTATACTTGTCTATCTCCGGGATAATGACGCAGACCGCGATGTTAACTGGAACGTGAGCTTCCCACTAATACAGGGGTACATTGCGGAGGCCACTCACCAGATGACAACCGGTGGTCTTGGATACAGTAACCCTAAGCTGCGCGCTGCCTTCGAGGATGCGCATGTTATGGTCAGGACTCACCTGACTGCAGAGAAGCGTGCCCGTGAAATGACGCAATGGACTGATGATATCATGCGAGGCCAAACCACGCAAGAACGTCTCCTGACTTATACGAATGCATTTCCACTCCCCGATCCTGACCGCGCGAAGTACAAACATTGGCCAGTGAAGCCTATGCCGCGTCTTGGCGATCTCTCCCCGGTCTGGTCTACGTCACTCAAGATTCTTGACCCAACGGACGAGATACCATGCCTCGCTGAGGTAGATAACTATGTTGAGAGCGAGGAAAATTATTTCCGGGACGCTATGAAACGGGTCAAAACCGGCAACAATATACATGTTCATTGGCGGAAAGAAAACAAGTTTGCTACCGAAAACAGGGCGTATGAAAAATACATGAGATGCGGCCCAGAAGACCTTCGCAAGTACCCGCCTCCGTACGACAACAAAACTATAGGTCCAAAAGAATCTAGTAACCCAGACGGAACGAAGGGCCAATCATTTTATCATAGACGTGGATGGCAAAGAGCCGCACTTCAGCAATGTCTGAATCTGTTTACGAGCTACGAGAACCGTGCCATTAATACCCCGTGGCGTCGACCCATCTTGCCATATGGGCCACCAGCGGCTTTACCCAGTGATACAGCCTATGCACCACGGGTGGTCAATCCTGAGGATGCAGATGAAAAGTGGAAGGATCCGTTTTCATGGCTTCATTGGTCTACTCAGTATTCTCAGATCGTCGATTTTCTGGCAGATTGTCAGCGCCAACGATACAGAACTGTTGCCTGGAAGGACTTCTCAGCCTCCGCATTGCCTAATAACTTCCGTGGGCCACACATTTACACAGGCTTGGCTGTTCATGATCAACACTGGTTGAAGATTGGCCAACACCTTGAGAATCTCGAAATCTTGCTTCATGCTGCGTGGGGGGCAGCGCCTCGCCCCTTACTGAGAGCTATATTACGTGATATCGATGCCGGGAGACGTGAGAATACTGGAGGCCCTAATATGGACAATAGTCGCCTGTTACCAGTCAATGACAGTGACGAGTTGCAAGATAGAAAGCGCTATTGGCGTCGGGATATTAAACGCCGGACCGGAATCGACAGACACGTAGACAACACCGAGGATGATAACTACAAGCTGGTATCAGACCATGAGATTGAATGGTTGAGGTATTTGGCGGAGCCTTCGCGAACGCTAGAAATGTGTGACCCAGCAAAGCTACCACCACACAACCTTGCCGTTGTGTTTGATGTAAAGCTTCAATCATTCTTCCAGGACCTAGAGCTTTCGGGAGGTCTAAACTACACAGAACTTTCACTTTGGGCAGAAAATCGCCATGATATTGACGAAGTCGTGCGCACCTACAACCCACCTACACTCAGTACGGCGCTAGCATATATAAATGGCTCTTTGGAATCAGAATTGATTTTCAGCGGAGACATGGACCCTAATCCGGAGCATCCTAACGCTTGCTACCAATTTTCTGTGGAAGAAGCAGAGTTTTGTTGTATTGAGTTGCAACAGCTTGGTAGATGCATGTAAGTACTAGGCAGAGCACAATGGTCCGATACTGATTTGCTAACTCGGCCTAGATATATACCAAGGAGAGGCGAGGAGCCTGCGAGGGTCGGCCGACCGAATTATAACGTACACCCCGAAGATCGTGTTACATGGCGCTACCAAAATTCCTATCACTTCCGCGAGAGCAATGAAGAACAGGTGGAAGACATGGTGCTCCATTACCAGCAATCATACGGCAGCTGGGCTTTGTGCAATGGGGATAGACCTAGGTTCGCTCGTGAGCTAGAATTCATGCTAGATCATGCAGGGTTCGACTTCACGCCCGAGTTACAGCGTGTAGAAACACAAAAGCAGCCTACAACGACCATAGCCGCTGCAAAAAGACGGGAGTTCATACATAAATATATCGTACCAGAGGGGTTGTTCTCTATCGGAGACGCATCGCCCGACGACATTGAATATGAACGAGACTTTCCTTATCGAGCCGATATAGCCCCCTGGGAAGCAGTTGGTGCTCACCTTACGAAGTACCACGAGTATGTCAAACAACAGCGGTTGAATGAACACTACTATTATTCGGGTGAACCATATTTCCCGCAAACACCGGAGAGGACTGCACAGTTCTTCAGAAATCTAGCTTATCGCATGGGCCGGACGATGAGATACGTGGATCAGATCAAGGAGAGATTACAAGTTCTGGAAAAGCCGTCGAACACGGAACCAGCAAAGGCGTCTCTAGAGCTCTCTGCAGAGCTCATAAAGCCCCGCCCCATCAAAAGCATGAAATCGAATACCGCTACAAGCTTCCCAGTAATTGAGAAATTGTGGCAGCCAATATCTACTAAGACCTACGACCTTGCTATCGAAAAATGGACCTTGGCTATAGCAGCAGGCTCGGGTGAGGTGGCTCTCATACCTCCAGACATCAAGGACGTCCTAGCAAAGGCAGACCCTAATTCATCGTCTCAGAATCCGCTCAAAGGCAACCAGGACCCCTTCACTATCATCCGGGAGGGTATCATAGATGACTGTTTCCGGAACCGGCCCACTATGTACCCAGGTCGGATAGGCGGGTGCGTGGACAAAAAGAACAAAGAATATCAAGGCTATGGAAGACCTGACCTCTTTGTGTGGGCAACAAAGGACCAAAGACGGTACCAGGCTCAGCACACACGCCGTTACTTCTTTAACATGCAACGATGGCCATCCTCTCGCATTCTTCCACACAGACTCGAGGCCATCCGCGAACGTAAAGACGAAACACTTCGGGTAAATCCATCAGACCCTGACCAAGCCTATGGTATCTTGACCAACCGACTACCCATCGGAAGGGAAAAGCCATTGTATGCACACCCCATAATAGACCATCATCACGGCCCCAGCCCAGACGACTGGCGCGCATTTGGTGACTACTCTGAGATGGATTTCCGTAGCCCTACTCCGCCTACGCAACATACTCGACCTCCTCAATCTCCTGAAACTTCAGTAGATCGTCTCTTCGTCAACGGCAAGGTAGTTAGCCTTAGTTCAGCTAGTAGCCATAGTAGTGACAGTGACGGCGACGACGGGGTTGCCCAGCAGAACAAACCTACTAGCAGCGGGATCAACAACAACAACGATAACAATGTCATTAGCATCAACACCGTCACAATCGACGATGACCCCGTCAACATCAATCCCTTCGAGGCCAACCTCTTTCAGGCGACTACTAGTGGCAGCTATACCACCACCAGCAACATGCCGTCAACAGAAACGATGCCTAAACTGTGGGACACGTCAAAGATTGGGACAATAGGGGGGCCAGCAAGGAGGACAACAGGGAGGACAATAGGGGGAACAACAGGGGGGACATCAGGGGGGGCATCAGGGGGGACAACAAAAGGAACAACAGGAGGAACAACAGGAGGGGCAACAGGAGGGGCAACAGGAGGGACATCAGGGGGGACATCAGGGGGGACGAAGCCGCCAAGGAGGGACCGACCCTTCAGGGGTCTCGTTCCCTACAGACGAAGCGATGAGAGGTTCGCGCCTGGGCCAGCCATCTTTCCCATGGGTGATACCTTGTTGCAGAAGGTAATGATCAGCGAGGAGCTTAACAGCGGTAAGTGAAGAAAGCAATGCTATCGAGCCACAGACGACTCGGGCCTGCATATCCGATACTAACATGATATCCTCAATTAGCAATGTACCCGTCACAGCCTTTTTACAAGGAGCCATTACTAGGTCTCCCAAAGCTACTGAAGCATCTTGCTTCTGGTGCGCCTAAACGACTAGTGCCATTGGTGCCCCCAGTCGCGAGGTCAGTTATTCCTCGGAGCAACCCACGGAAGCGGAAGATGCCTATCGAGTTCTTGAACGGCCCAGCAACCAAGAAATTTCGCAGTGATGCTTCCGCCCCCTTGCAACGAGGTGGAAACGGTGGCCAGTTCGCGGCGGGTACAATGGAAATTAAGGAGGAGACTGTGCCCGCTGTCAAGACCGAACCGGGCATTACAACAGACCCATTCGAGTACACTACGGAAACCAAGACCCCAATGCCATCCGCTACGGAAATCCAGACTCCAATGAATTATACGAACGTGGCAACATCTCTTCCTTCATTGCCTTTATTTTCTAAACCTTCCCGAATGACAGCAAAGAGCATACTCGCGGCGAAGTTCCCTGATGGTCTCCTGACATCAGTCGTCGCTCTAAGCGACATGTATCTGGGTGCTCTGGTAGCCCTGGAATTCAGCATCAATCATCAGCTTCAGGAGTATGGGCTCCAAACAAGCGTGCAGGAGCTTAAGGAGGAGATCACTACCGAGAGATGCAAGGCTCTTAAGCCGTACATAGGCTCGTCGAAGAACTTCCCTGTACAGGCCGTCGGTCTACTGCTAGAAGGCCTGGGCGAGAAGTACGGCTTGAAGCTGCAACTAGGTACCGTCCAAGGAGTGGGACCAAACGTCAAGAAGATGCATGATACAATAGGCAAGCCAGGAATTACGTCAAACAGTATCATCCCCTTGAAGACTCGCCTAGTGGGATCCAAATACAACACGGATGAGGATAGGATTGTCCTTTGGATCGGTCTCGATACGTTTGAGCAGCTCAAATTCCTCCATGAGAATCCTTATAGCGGATATAAATACAATACTTACAGGGGAGTAGGGTCCGTTAAAGCACAGCCAAAGGAGACAAACGCTTGAACGGACCGAATCGACAACAATATAGTTGTTTAGGGGCAACGCTGGGCATCCTGAACAACTACCTATGTGTACCTTTCTCCACCAGTAGTAGTTAGAGATCAGATCTTTTTCTTTTCTTCCCCCCCTTATGTGTGTTTCAGTTGGCAGACGCCGCGAACCCTTTGTCCTCGCTCACAGTTGGACGAATCCGGCTCCTGTCTAGGGAAAACTTCATTCCAGTCATCATTTTCAGTGTATTCTAGTAGTTTAGAGAAAGCAAACCAAATAAGAAAAAAAAAAAAAAAAGAATGACAGGCTTTTCATGAAATACCGACCCATTGAAATAACTGCCTAATGACTGTGATAACAATGGTTGCTATTTAACGTCTTCAAGGGATTCGGATCACTAACTTCCCTATCCCCCCCTTAGTCTTGTGCACCTTTTCGCACTCTTCCCTGACAGTTGCAATGTCCTCGAGACTCACTACCCTCTTGACAGCTTTTACCTTGCCTGTCGCGATGAGCTCGCCAGCGCGCTCCAGATCCTCCTGGACACCGTAATCCCCAGATACTTGGATGCGAAAGATTAGTGACTGCTCTTATATAATTACAGCAATAGACATTTAAGGGTATTTTCCCCATCCTAGATGAGGAGTATGTAACCTTATAAAAAAGAAGTCGGTCCGTAAAGAACTCTACTCACCAAATGTGTACTTGATATTCGTACCACGCAACTTGAAAGCGTAGTACCACTGCACCACAGCCAGGGCCCAGAAGACCCAGAACGGCGCCGTAGGCAACATCTCACGGAAAAGACTGGGATGCGGCGCGCTGCTGATAGACACCACGACTCCCTTCTTCGGGTTGGCAAGGGCGAAAGTGCCTATGAGGTCCCACTGCGTGTTTAGGACGAAATCGACGCTGCCGGATGGCACGGCGTCGGTGAGACATTTCACAGTCTTATAGTCGACGACCTGGTCTACAAGCCCTGGGAGGTATTTCTCTACGAGCAGGACCTTCTCCGTTGATACCGTTGAGATGACACGTCCAACACCGTAGTGGTTCTTCAGCAGTTGGATCGCGATTGAGCCTGTACCGCTGAGTGCCCCGGGTACAAACACCGTCTTACCTTCCAGACCATCCGCGACGCCATTCTCACGCAGGAGTCGCAGGCCCGCCTCCACGCATTGGTAGGCTACGAGGGTGTATCCTGGAAGGGAGGCCGCGTCCTCGTGAGATAGGGCAGCGGGCCTAGGCAGCACGCAGGATTCGGTGGTCACGGCGTATTGCGACAGGAAGCTGTTCTCGGCGAAAAGGTCCAATGGACGTCCTTGTAAGGCGACGGCATATACTTCGTCACCTGGCTTGAACTTTGTCACACCTGTCCCGACAGCTACTACTACCCCGGACTATTACATGCCGATGGGGTTAACGCCGTGTAACATGAAGGAGGGACAGACGACGAACGACTACTCACGCCTTCGATCCCAATTTTTAAAGGAAACACCATCTTGCCGGGTAGTATCCTTGTCGCTCCATTCGCCCGCTGTGTGTCGCCTGGCTGTATAGCGCCGACATGAACCCTGATGAGGACATCGGTAGGTTTCTTGATGGTTGGCAATGGTGCGTCAATGATTTCATATTCGGAGGGAGTGCAGAACTTAGGCGCCACGAGGGAGCGCATAGTCGAGGGTAGGCCGGCCATGTTTTCCTTGACAATTATCACGGCCGATGAGAGAAGCAGATATTCGGCGAATTCGGAGATGGCTGTTATCGAACATTGACAGCTCCGAATTGCGAGACTAAAAAGATGGGGGCGTTGTTGGCTGCCACGGCTTTACAACTACACTACAAATGCGTCTGGTGCCGATCAAGCACTTGTCTAGTCCGCGCGATCTGCTTTCATTTCTCTTGAACAAACAAGGTATTCGAGATGAGTCTACCTAAAATGCTCGTACATCCAACGTTGGTCCTTTGGTTGCCGATGTTCCACACGGCGGAGTTCCGGCCGGGTCGGCACAAATTTGGTGGAGTACTGAACATTCTTCATCCGATTGTCCATCAGCTTCGGCATGGAAGGCTGATGGCCGATACTTTAAAAAGTGTAACGAGAAGATAATTTATGCTGTCAATGGCTATGGATACTTGTCATCTTCTGCGCATTCCGAGTGACACTATAATTAAGTAGGTATTGAGTTGCACGCTGTTTGGCAGACATTCTAGGCACGGCCACGTACGGCGTATTTTGGCCCTTGTGTTTAGTATGCCCCCCCCTCTTCATCTCAAAAAGAAGAAACAGGGAGCCATAGTTCCTTTGATATCCTGAGATTTCAGACAAGAAGAAACCGAAATACGTGGCGGGTCGTATAGTTTTGGATTGGCTTGGGCTTCCCTTGCATTGTTGTCGCCCTGGCGTAGTAGTAGATTGTTCAGATGCCTCAGCTAACGAGTCCCAAGGCCAATCAATTTATGCAAAGGTAGGTAAGCCTGCAACGAATTACTACATGCCATTATTACAGGACACCACAGCACACTGCTACCTGACTCGGGCTATGACCTGCAAGGCAATATGAGAGTGAGGCGGAGGGAGCCGAAATGTCGACAATAGCTGCTGTAATTTATTTTCCTTTCTATCTGTCGCTTTGCAATTACATTCTCTAAACTGCAGTATATCCTGACTCACGGACGTCACAGTAGAAGCGCCTTGTTCCCTCGATTAGCCGTGGAGATCATTGTGTTGGCGAGACGCTGAGAAAGGGCTGGCTACACTACAATAGGACTAGCAACCCAAGACGTCTGCATTGATATGGAACTATTATCAACGCTCCACGACCTACCGTTTACGTGTACATAGTATGTTTGTTTGGTGAGAGTGAGCAGCATACCCAGAACAGAGCCCAGAACTCTGCCCCCTGACTAGCATTCCAGGACCCCGGCTAATGATGTGCGGATTTAGCTCGACCAGGAATAGTATGAAACGAAACCTGGCTGCAGGAACATGGCGCTCGCATGGCTCCCTCGCCCCAATTCGAATCTCGGCAACCCGTTTGATTGGCGCGTAGTCGCCCAAGAAACGCCGAACTTCCGCTTTCTCCAGGAACCGCCGCCCAGAGTAGACTGTTAAGGTAACAGTAGCAGCGACATGTGAAGGACGATTGGACCAGGGCATCGACAACCGCGTGGCTTTGGCACCACCGTTGGCTGTCGTCAGCTCGTGTTCTTCCTCCTCGGTCCTAGCGTACTGGAGTAACTGTGTACGGGATGCCGGTACTACTGTACATAGTATGTAGTCTCGAGGGGGATCAACTGACAATGTTGGTTCAAAAGGGCCTTGGGCCCTCCCTCAACCGTATAGCTAGGCTAGAGAGTCAACTCGTTCATTCATTATTCCACACATACACATTCGTTCTTTTCTTTTCATCATTCTCTTCTTGGCGGTGTATAGTTAGTTGTTGTCGAGTTCGCTTGTGTGTTTCAACAAAATAAGATGAAGACCTCATCATCGACACTCGCCGCTGCGGCGGTGGCTTTTGCCCATGCCGGTTTAGCTCTGGAGCTCAACACCGCCGATACTGCCTCTATCAAGAGCGCCGCTAGCCAGGTCGCCAAGGGGCTGTACGTCTTCCACAACGAGGCTGCGACAACGGGTCAGTTCAACCAACCACAGCCTTGGTTCTGGTGGTTATCGGGCTCCGGCTGGACCGGACTCATGGACTATACCGTTTATACAAAGGACACAACTTATAAGAAGGATCTCCTATCTGCTCTCGCAAAGAACGTCGGTCCCAACTTCGACTTCGTACCGCCTGAGCAGTCTGGCTGGGAGGCGAACGACGACCAGGTAAGATAGCCCGTCGTTATATAGATGCCATACGATATGCGGCTCGTTGTTGCTAACATGGTTTTTAGGCATATTGGGTATACACTGCCCTAACAGCTATGGAATACGGCTTTGACACGTTGCCGGGTGGTCCATCATGGGATGTCGTTGCCACCAACGCTTTCAACCTCTTCGCAGAACGCTGGAACGCAGACAGCGGTACCTGCAACGGCGGGCTAAAGTGGCAGTACGACCCCAAGGCCAATGGCTGGACAGTAAGTTTCCTATCCACTCATCCAACTGCCTTCAGGGCCAGGGTATTCTAACGTGACAACTCTTGTAGTACAAGAATGCCGTGACAAATGGTGCAATGTTCCAGACAGCGGCTCGTCTAGCCCGCTACACGGGAAACCAGACCTTCGCCGATTGGGCCGTCAAAATCTGGGACTGGTCCCGTGGCGTCGGGCTCGTCAGCGACGACTACCACGTGTACGACGGCACGTCGGATGAGAATGGCGCCAACTGTTCCAAGGTGAACCAGGACGAGTGGTCCTACAACATCGCCACCTACCTCCACGGCGCCGCGCACATGTACAATTTTACCGATGATGCGGTATGGGAGGAGCGCGTGCACGGTTTTGTCAAGACGGCCGACTCCAGATTCTTCAAGAGCGGTGTCATGTTCGAGCAGAAGTGCGAGCCTAACAAGGCCTGTACCACTGACCAGACTTCTTTCAAGGCCAGCTTGTCACGCTGGTTGGGCAAGACGGCTGTCCTCGTGCCCAGCGCTAAGACGACTATCATGGGTATGCTGGAGAAGAGTGCTGCGGGCGCCGCAAAGAGCTGCGTCGGACACGGCAACTCAACCTGCGGCGTCGCGTGGACCGGCAACGGCTTCGACGGCCAGTCAGACTTCGGCGTCGAGCTGAGTGCTCTAGAAACTATCCAGAGTCTTCTCGTCTTCGATGCTCCGTTCCGCACTGCTAAGGGAAGTGGTAAATCAGATGATGACACCCCCGATAACTCAGGTGATGATACTCCTGATACCACCAGTGCTTCAACTCCTGTGGCCACAAGTACTGCCACACCTGATGCTACAAGCACTTCCATTCCCACAAGCACAAGTATTGCCATTCCTGTTACTACAAGTTCTGCGATCTCTGCTACGACAAGTATTGCTACCCCTGTCACCACCAGTACCGCCACATCCGTAACCACAGGCGATGCCACACACGAGACCAACCCTCCAGACCAGGTCAAAACCCCGCCTACGAAGGGCGCATGTGGTAAGAAGAAGAGGAGACACGTCAGGAAATAAGCGAGAGAGGGAAGGGATAATATTATATTTTAGCTGTACATATGAAAACCGCGATATCGCCCGTATATATATTTATTATAGAAGCGAAGCTCGATCCGATTATATTACAGGCCAGTTAGGCTTCGGATTAAGCCAAACAGATAGCAAAATCACGCTGTATTAAAACTTGGCTCGGCTATTTGACTTGATTACATGTCGATAGGGTGGTCTCATTACACAAAACACCGGAATGGGAAAATTCTAGCTTCATGCAGTATCACAATTCTTTTCGTTTCACTCACGTTTTCAGCTTCTGTATGTATTGTATCTCGCCAGCTGCCCGGAGTCGTGCAAAGTAGAGTGACTGACTGTACTACATACTCGACAAAACGTCAGGAGCGTAACTCAACGACGTTTTTAATAATATTTTCAGTTGCAGTTGCCATTACATTCATGAGTCCATGCCAAGCTACCCCCTAGAGTCCAGAGGTTTCCTCCAAGGACAATGCGTCTCGCGACCCCGAGTTCGGTCGACTCCCTGCTCAATCAATGCTTCAACAGCAAACAAAAAACACCGTTTACAATGAGCAGATACATAAAAAAAAAAAAACACCATACCATACCAACACCGCCTTGCAACGACACCAGCTCCTTCTAAAGAAAAGACGACGTATAATGCAAGCAAGCCGTTGCCCGTGAAACCTGGTATCACTCACCCATATAAACAAGGTCCCAGCCAATCAACCATTCATCCATTCCTATCCCCCATTCCCATGAACGAACGAACGAACGAAGCGCTTTAAAATAAATTTTCTTTCCAGGAGAAAAAGTTCGCGTTGCCCAGACTTACTGCGTCCGGTAGAACTTCCTGTACAAGAGATGCAGTAAAAGGTTGACGTTAATCCTGAGGTTGCCCTCGAAGAAGTCCATGAACTGGCGCGCCTCGAACTGCGCCTGCAGGAGGTCTTCAATAGGGATGACGGCGCTGGCCCCGGGGATCTGGATGTGGCCACGACTTCCCTCGACATTAAAGATGCCCACTTGGTCGCATGCGATCGTCAGATTGATGCTGCTCCAATCGCGCTCCGGTACGCCCTGCCATGACACTACTACGCCCTTTCCGAAAAGCGCGCGCACACTGTACTTGTAAGAGCCGAATTTCGGCACCCGGCCAGATCGCTCGAGCTCTCGTTGATGGTTGTATTGTTTCGTGAAGGGGAAGAAATGCCGTTTTCTAAGATACGTACGTTAGTATGACCTATGAAAACAGGAAAATACGGAAGCCTTACCCTTGGTTCTTTTGTAGAGTGGCCATGGCCTGCTCGATATAGTCATCGTAGCTCTTTCGCTGCTGTTCGAGGTATTTGGCTTTCTCATGAAGATTGCTGAGCGTCAATCGCACGCCTTCCAATTCTCGTTGTCGCTGAACTCTCCGGCGGCTCTTGGTTCGGATATCCAGCGCAATTGCGTTTAACACGTCTTGGTAGTAGTTGTGTTTGGTGATGCGCCCCATCTGCTCTAAGCGCATGATGTTCTCTAGAGCGTTGCGTTTCATGTCATAGTACGACATGCGAGTCACATCGACCATATTCACGTCTGAGTAGGCCCCCTTCGTATTACTGCCGGAAGCAAAATCCTCCCGCAGGAGTGCCTGCCACTTCTGCTCGTCCTCTTGCGTTGGCGGCCGTACAAGGATTTCTAGCAAATTGGCACCCGTCTGAACTCGGATGATATATAGAATGCATCTCTTCGTTTCCATGAACAGAGATTTGACGTCCGCCTCTGGATCATTGACATCGTGGAGCTTGGGTGTGAGGAACATTTGGATATCAGAGGATCCCGCGGCGTGCATTTCGTTCTCATTGTTCTTGGCGCTACCCAGATCTTGAAGGATCTCATAGAGCACGTCGTTGCGACCGGGGCATATGCTAGAGATTTCTTGGGCTACTAGGTTATGGATGGCAAATATGTCAGTCATTTTGATGTATAATGTCGGCCTATTTTTGGCGTAGAGGTCGTTGAATTCATCCACCCCGAACGTATGCTCAGCATCAGCGACTGATATCAGTCCATGGGTGGTATTGACGAGGCGCTCTATAGAATCGCCCACAAACGCATTAAGAGGTTGGAGGTAAATATTATCCCCTCCAAATGGACGACCGGAAGCTACTTGGCTGAGTACCTTAGCAACTTCACCCAGGTTTCGCTTTTGGAGCGGGCTAAGAATCTTTTCAATGACACCAACTTGCTCGGGGTTGACAAGTGCTGGCTGAAGGTAGAACCGCCAAACCCAGTTGCTTACAAGTTGAAGTATATGGTGCTGGGGCTCGCGTTTGAATCGACTGCATAATGCTTCGAAGATCTGCTTGCATATGAAACGAAGTCCATATGGCATTCTAGGGAGCAGGTCTTCTAAGGCAGTGAGAAATTGATCACAAATTTCTCTGAGGTCTCGAAGGTGGTCGATAAATAGTTCACGTGTCTCCGGGTCCTTGATAGCAAGATCACGGGGGATGTCTAGAGGGCGTCTGCTAGGTTGTCCGGTGCGAAGCTCCTCGTTGTTCACTGCCGATCGGTAAATCTGCATGGGATCGCTTTCGAGATCTAAATCAGGATCTTCAACGATGTTGTCTCGTATTAATGGGCCAAGTAGTTCTCTCAAATATTTTCTGTCACGAGGAGATCGACTGTAGTTGGCCAAGATTCTTGACCAGAAAAAGTTGCCCCGGAGGTAGTCTTGCACAGAGGTGCAATAATCGACCTCCTCACGGATCGACTTAGCAATAAGTTTTAGCAGGTAGTATTCCTCCCGCGTTTTCTGTGCATATCCAAACAATCCCATGACCAAATGTTCAATGCGCTTGCACTCTTTCTCAGCAGTTCCCTGCTCTCTTAGCCGTCTGAATAGCCGTGAGAGGTATTGTGGCTGTGTTTGAAGGTTGAAGAAGAGTTGTTGGTATGAGTCGAGTTTTTTCCTGGAGCTCTTGTTGAGTGCCTTGAGGTCGAACTGGTTTCCAGAAGAAATAGAGGCATTGGCGAGAAGACTAGTGGTGTGACCTCCATAGTTGCTCTGATGTTTGACTACTTCATCTAGCGTGATTTTGTTTTTGACTAGCAATGCAATTTTGATGTCCAGTTGATCGATGTACTGTTCAAGCATTTCATTCTGCCGAACTTGTTGGACAACAGTCTTTCGTATGCGTTCGAATTCGACTTCTTCGTTGAAATCAAAGCCACTATCATTGAGCAAGTGAACGAAATTTTTGACAGCACTGACAGGGGGGTTCTTCCCAGTTGTGAGGCTTTTGTAAGCCTCTCCCTGCAGCTTGGCACGGACAAAGCTCTGGATCTTGACCACCTTCTGCATATTCTCATTGAAGTGTTTCTTCTTGGCAGCGAATCGACGTCTTACCAGGAATCCTTGAGTTAATGCCTGCAGTTCGATGATCTCGTCTTCGTGTTCATCGAGCTCATTCAGGAGCTCGCCGACGTTGCAACGTAAAAGCATTGCTCGTGCTAAGGCTTGTAATGAAGTCACTTCTTGCTCGTAAGAGTCCAGTTCTTTGAGGAGCGACTGATGTTGCTTCCTGAACAAAGATGCGCGGGCTCTCGCTTGCAGGTCCGTGAAAATGGCCGAATGTGTGTCGAGAGAGTCAAGAATTGCCGTTATACGTTGGCGAGCAATCATACCACGCGCAAGTGCTTGCAGGTCAAGAATCGAATCTTCGTGAGCATGTAGGTCTTCATTCGTCTGGGCTATCTCTCGGCGAACCGCTGCAGCCCGTATGTGAGCCTGTATAAGTCCAATGTCTGAGCTGTGATGTTGAAGTTCGTGTTTAGTTGCAGCAATATCTTGTCGGACTTGACGACCTCGGATATTCGCTTGAATTGCGGCCCATTGTGGTCCGAAGCTCTGAAGTGCTTCTTTTTGAGCTTGTAACTGGTGTCTGGTCAGCGTCGCTCTGGCAATAGCCTGCAAACTAGTGATCGTTTGAGCTTGCTCCCCCAAAGAATTCAGAACGCTTCCCACTTTCTCCCTGGCTAGCATTCCGCGAATCGCGGATTGAAGTTGTAATACAGGACCAGCCATACTACTCGTCTCCTCCTGTTGTGAATGGAACCGCTTGCGTGCAAGATGACCTCTAAGCATGGCCTGGATACTGCGCACCGGCCCATCGGCCCGCACCAATTGAGACTTTGTATCTCGTACCTCATTTCGAGCTTTAATGGCTCGCATCATGCTCTGGAGCTTGACAATGTCCTTTTCTTTAGCCTTCCAAAAATGTTCCCTGTGCATCATTCGTTGACGGACGAGAAATCCTCGGGCTGCGCTTTGAAGGTTGACGGCAAATCGCTGCATCTGGAGTCGATAGTCCATAATTTGCCGTGTCCATTCTCCTCGCATACGCGACTGGAGATCGATAAGCCAGTCTTCAGAATCCCATAGCTGTTGCATAAGCTTGCCCAGTTGCATTCGGAGCATGGCGCCGCGTATTTGTGCTTGAAGATCGGTAATGACTGTTTCGTTTTCGGCGAGTTCTCGGTCGATTCGTTCTTCTTCCGTTTCAACAGGCTCTGGAGGGACCTCGACGCCAAAGTCTGCACCCATATTTCCGAAGCTAGGCATATTGACACCGAGCTTATCAAGTCCCTTCTGCGTAGCTTCTAACTCGTGATGTTCAAATTCCAGTTGGCCCACAAGGTTACCTATTCTGAAGTCTACTATTCCCTTTCTGAAGAGCAGCCAACTGAGAGCATGTATGCAATAAATGACTTTGGGGATATTCTTCTTCTCATACAGATCTATCAACTCGAAGCGAAATAGGTCAGGCATCTCTACCTCGTCGAGGTAACGGAAGAATGTTGCAACATTATCCCAATGCCTCGCCTGGAGGCGCGGATTTCGGAATATACGGTATCTTCGACTGGGATTGAGCGCTTCCACAATCTCAGCAAGCGTCACACCGTCTCTGAGTGCTTCCTCTAGCTCGACAATCGGAGGGATTTGACGATGAATAATGTCTTCGATCCATTCTTTTGCCTCGCCAATGTGACAGAGATATTCGTAGGCTTGGATGAATTGGCGTTGTTTGTCCATCCAATTGCGACCTTCAAAGCCGTATCGATCGGCACGCTGTCCATTCTTCAAGCCATCCCCTGTTCCCATGCGCTGTAGTCTCCGCCGACCTCGTAAGCCTACTACTTCTTGTGCTGGCGAGGTAAGGGCGAACTCGTCGGATGAGCCGGGTTCCGCCGCCAACTTGGATAATGTTCGAAGTTGATTCGTAGAGGAGCGACCTAACTGTTGCAAGTTCGGGGCGGCTAGAGGAGAATGCACAACAGCGTGTTGAGAGCTCGTTGTAGTTCTGGCGATGTCTGGACGTATGGAGTCTGACCGTGTTAAAAGCATAGAGGTTGGGCGGGCGTTCTTTGAGGGAGAGAGATGCGTTGGTGAGGCTGCTGGCGATATCCTGGTTGGCGATGTACTAGGATCATAGTGAGAGAGCTTGCCAATATCGATGCTTTGGCCACGTTCATGGCGTTCGAGGCGGTCGCGCCGGGGGGGTGTGAGAGGCGGTGCAGATGGTGGAGGAGGTGAGCCGGAGGCGGGCGGCTGTGGAAGAGGCCTCAGTGACTGTCTAGCCATGCTGTACATCTTTTCAGGGCTCTTAGGGGCCTCATCAAATGTGGTCGCCCTGTGTCGAATCACAGCTTCACTCTTGCCTCGTTTGTGTCCGACGGTCAACGAGCTGTAGCCATTGGAGACAACGGAAGAGCTTGTGCTGGCGTTGCTGGGATTGTAGAGATCAGAAGTGAAGGAGGCGTGTGAATAGCCCGACGACGCGGACGACGATGTTGTTGATGGCTGGCGAGTCACAGGCGCGGGGTCAACGGTGTACGACTGGCGGAGAGGATGCGGGCGGTACGACATATCGTTCATTCCCTGTCACCAACAGAACAGTCCAATGGATGGTTTCCCTCGAGTATATCAAATATTTCGTCAGAGGATAGCGTCTGCATAACAGCGAGTATACAGATGGAGATGACAAAGCTAGGAACCGGTCGCTAAAGTTTGACTCGTTGAATCGGCTATGCTGATGCTGTATGGCTGTATTACGATAGACAAGCTTTATTCGAATACGGTCGTATTGTTGATTGTGAGACTCGATTTTTAACAAACACCAGTTGATGTGTGTTTCCGGTTCTTGACGGCCGAGTATCCAAGAGCACAGACTTTTATCAAGTTGTCATGCACAAACAAACAAGGCGCGCTCTCAGCGCACCCATGCGGTGAAATGGCTATGCAAAGACTCAATCAGGTGTGGCGTAAAGGCACTGAGACCATTTACTGGATTCTCTCTACTCGGTATATTGAGGGTAATGAGAGATGGGCCCTGGTTGATTGGAATCGAAATGAAATGCAGCACAGGATCGGGAAGAAAGCATTGGGCATCATGGCTCTCCATAACAGGCAGTTTGTTTATTTATTTTCCGAGACAGCAGAGGGGCAACCTGACTGAAGCACCGGCCACTTAGTGGGAGCCCCTCTAAATACAGGGGGGCCTATAGCCTATAGTGGGGAGCCCTTACCTAAAACTGCTAACAGTACCTAACGGTCTGCTAACCTCAACGGCTACCTAAGGCACTGAGTGCATGTACCCTGCTAACGCCACCTGCAAGCGTGGGTAGTTACCATGTGCCCTAGGTACTTCATGCGTTCATGCATTGGCTGTCCTAGCCACGCAGCTGTTTGTTCTACTTAAGTAGGTAGAGATAACTATATGTAAGTACCTAATGAACCAAAACATCTTGAGAGAAATTTGGCTCTCTCTTAGGTGTTCTACATAAGTATCTTGCTAATCACAATTTTAGCTCTTAAAGAAGAGTTCACTTAACGGTGCTGTGAATCACTTAATTTGTGCCAGGTACAACTACCTAGGTACCTATAGGTACTTACTATGTAAGTAGGTAGCGGCCATCTACGGCGACCTTAGGTTCGGATTCACTGGCAGCATTATCGATAAGACAAATTTTCCCACCTAGGCGAGTTGGTACAGAAAACCCGGGATCGGCCAATCAACTGGCCACCGTCCCGCTGTGTGCAGGTGCTAGCCCCAGCCTGTGGCCCCGCCCCGCGTGCTTCGATATTTTAAAAATTTGGTGCACCTGCGCCAAGTCTATCTTTCTTCTCTTTTTTCTCTTGGGAAGAAGATCACTCTCAATCGCGCCGACCTGGTCAATCAATTCGATTTCCACCTTGTCGTCCGTCTTCGACCTCGCTGCTCATCAAGCTTCTATCTACCGTGTGTTTCTTCTTGATTATCTCGAATCAACTACACACGATGCCTGCCACCAACGGCCAAGCACCTGTCGTCAACGGCAAGTCTAACTTCCTTGACCACACCAAGGCTGTGGAGCTCCTCAAGGAGTACGAGTCCTACGATGGCCTCTCTCTCCATGAGTTAATGGACACCAAGACCCGTGGCGGCTTGACGTACAATGACTTCCTCGTCTTGCCGGGCTATATTGGTTTCCCAGCCTCGGAGGTTTCTCTCGATTCCCCAATCACGAGGAATATTACCTTGAAAACCCCATTCGTTTCGTCTCCTATGGACACTGTTACCGAGCACGAAATGGCTATTCACATGGCCCTACAGGGTGGGCTGGGTGTCATTCACCACAACTGTTCCCCTGACGCCCAGGCAGAGATGGTCAGGAAGGTCAAGAGGTACGAAAACGGCTTCATCAACGACCCCATTGTCATCAGCCAGGATACTACCGTTGGGGAGGCCAAGGCCTTGAAGGAGAAGTGGGGATTTGGTGGTTTCCCTGTTACAGGTTAGTCATTCCTCTATCATATGCTCTCTTATTTCCATAATGTCGCCGCCGGCGTCCTGCATCTTATGATTACAACCCAAACTCAATAACTTTCGTTCCACCGTAAAGACAGAAATGTCATGGGGAGAAAATTTATGCTCTTTATGATGATGCCAAATAAGCCAACTTGAGCACTGCGTATGTTGCTAGGAATTCATCGCTAACTAGCTTTATAGCCACTGGAAAGCTTGGCTCTAAGCTTCTCGGTATCGTCACTAACCGCGACCTACAATTCGAAGAAGACATGAGTCTGTCGATTGAGAAAGTAATGGTCACGGACCTCATTACTGCCCAATCCGGCGTTACCCTCCTCGAAGCAAACAAAATTCTAGCCCAGTCGAAGAAGGGCAAGCTGCCCATTGTTGACAAGGACTTCAACCTCGAGTCCATGATCTCCCGCTCCGATCTGACCAAGAACCTTCACTTTCCTCTGGCCTCCAAGCTCCCTGATTCTAAACAGCTCATCTGTGCCGCTTCTATTGGAACCCGGCCCGAAGACAAGATACGTCTCAAGAAGCTCATAGATGCCGGCCTGGATGTTGTTATACTCGACAGCAGCCAAGGAAACAGCATGTATCAGGTTGAAATGATTAAGTGGGTGAAACAAGAATACCCCAAGCTTGATGTTATCGGCGGAAACGTCGTTACCCGTGAGCAGGCTGCCAACTTGATTGCTGCTGGCGTCGATGGTCTACGAATTGGTATGGGTAGCGGAAGCGCCTGTATCACCCAAGAAGTTATGGCTGTTGGTCGACCCCAAGCTGCTGCCGTTTACTCTGTATCTGCCTTTGCTGCTCGCTTTGGCATACCTACCATCGCTGACGGAGGTGTGCAAAATGTTGGTCACATCGTAAAAGGTCTGGCCCTTGGTGCCTCCACCGTCATGATGGGCGGCTTGCTTGCTGGTACGACCGAGTCACCCGGCACTTCATTTGTGTCCCGAGAAGGTAAGCTTGTTAAAGCCTACCGTGGTATGGGCAGCATCGACGCCATGCAGGACAGGAAAGCAGCTGCTGGAAATAAAAACCATCAGGCTAGCAATGCCGGTACTGCTCGGTACTTTAGCGAGGGAGACAGCGTCCTTGTGGCCCAAGGCGTGTCTGGTGCTGTCGCGCACCGTGGTTCTATCAACAGCTTTATTCCCTACTTAGCTGCTGGTGTCAAGCATTCCATGCAAGACTGTGGCCAAAAGAGTTTGGTCGAGTTGCATGAACATGCTGCCGACGGTAGCCTGCGGTTCGAGATTCGAACTGCCAGCGCTCAGCTCGAGGGCAACGTCAACATGGAGAGTTATGAGAAGAAGCTCTACGCTTAAAGTGCTACTCGTGTATCAGAAATGCGTGCACGGGGTTTTTCAATCCTTAAGAGACTTCACGCGAGTGAAATGTCTTCGATGGCCTCAATACCGGTCGGCTACACTTCGCTAGCTATAATAGGTACTTTTGCATGAATGATTGATGGCCAATGATGGGGTAATGAACATATCGCACACGGTAAAAGGCGTTTAGGTCGGGGATGGGTTACTGGATTCGAGCGAGGGTATGGGGCAAAAGTTACGTCCGTTTGCAAGTTGATAAGCCACGCTTAAGTCACATGAAATCTGTCGGCATATTACGAAGAATGTCAAACGGTTTCCAATTCAAAGGCCTTCAATTAATTATACTTGATGAATTTTTGATTTAGTAGTTACCCAGATGTCTAAGCAATGGTATTAAGGTGAACATTATGAGCCTGGTTCATAGCCCAGGCTGACCTTTGGAAAAGAACTCCAAAGATAAAACAGCAAGTTGCTTTTGTAGTCCGTAACGCCGTAACAATGACGCGATATGCAGACTCCAGACCGTAATCAGCTTTTCTCCACGCGTCGATAATTCGTAAGCACATCACCTCATCCGTAACCAATGAACAAATGTATCTATCCATTTACCGCACTGTTCCATAGGAGGTACGTCGTGTATCCTCGGTTCCTTTCTTCAATAAGCCTTGTTGCTCGCAACCGCTTCCTCTGCGCGACGCAGTGATAAGATCATCAGATATATCATCATCGTCGTCAAACACAACGGCTTCTTCCGCGTCGGTGCTCTCAGCATCACTCGAATCTGAACTACCCGCGGTTGGGCCGTCGCCTTCCACAATCATCCACACGGGTAGCGAGCCCACGGCCGCGATAAACCCGAGGATCCACCAGGGCGCTCCGATCATGTTATTCTTGACGCCCCAGGTGAAAGCGAGGCCCGCGAGCGCGGGGCCGCTGGCACGACCTAGCGCGCTGAAGGTGGTGGCGAAGCCGTTCAGCGTGCCGAGGATGCTGAGGCTTGCGGCGCTGTTGGTCAGCAGGATCGTCGAACATGGGAAGCCGATGATGACGGCGAAGGCCTTGCAGATCATCAGCACGAGGAGCGCGGCGTAGCGAGTGGTTACGTCGTCGATGAGCACGGTGAAAGGGAGGAGGAAGTATATCACTGGAAACACAAGGACGCAGACACGGAAGCACTGCAGGACCCCGAAGCGCGCGCATAACGGCGGGAAGAGCACGAACTGGATCACGCCGGACGTGATCCCGTACAGCGTGAAGATGGTGCCGATGCGGCCTGAGTTCAGCCCGAAGCCGCCGGAGAAGAAGAATGGGAGCGATGTGTTGCCGGCGTTGTGCTCTTGCGGCGGGTAGTTGAGGAATACGGGGAGGACTTGGTCGAAGGCCACGGAGTGCAGCGCGAGAAACGTGTATCCGACGAGATTGATCACTGTCTGGCGGGTGAACACGGAGGACATGCTCGGGGTAACAGGTTTCTCGCGGCGATCAAGCCTGGCGGGCCGCGAGGAGGTCCCGTCAGTCTGTAACAGCGGTGCCGAGGCCTCGGCGTCTTGGATGGAATACCGTCTGAGCTTCTGCTGGCGGCGGAAAGGATGGTCCTTGAAGGCCTCCGTGATGCGCTGGCCTAGGATGAGGCCCCAGTCTCGGGAATGCTGCTTGCTGTGCAGGGTCTCTTTGAGGAAAAGCATGGCTGTCGAGAGGGAGACGAGGAAAACGACGGCGCCTATGATGTTAGGTAAGGCGAAGGGATATTTGTTGAAGAAATAGCTGTTGCCGAAGAGGCCGGGGAACTGTTCCGCGGGCTTCGCGAAGAGGCCGCCGAATGCTGGGCCGAATACCGATCCGACGCTCCAGACTAAAGGCATGACGGAAAATGCTTTGGGTTGGAGCTCCCTCTCCTGCACCATCTCGGCGACCATCGTTCTTATAATACCAACTGTGAACCGTTAGAAGACGATTTCCAGCACACTTTTGAACAGGCAACGCACCGTTTCCATTACACGCGCCCTGAAGGCCACGGATGATGATAGCCATCTTGAGACTCGTAGACACACCCCATGCCAAGAAGAAGCACATGGTGCAGAATAGACCGGTCATGATGATCGGTTTCCTGCCGAACTTATCGGACGCTCGTCCCCACGGTACCGCCGTGAGGCTCTGTGCGACGGAGAAGACGGCACTGGTGGCGCCAGCCCATTTCGCAACGTCCTTTTTCTCGACCCCGAAACTGGCTATCATTTCCGGCAGGTATGGATACACGGAGGTCATGGCCAAGGGCTCGGCGAACCGGGCAACGGCTGCGGAGATACGTTAGCCCATCAATGTCCGGAGTGGAAGGGAGGTACCTAGATCGAGCCACCGGTGGTTTATGGTTGGGTATCCTAGCCGCTGTTTGGCTTCTATTATTCTTGCCCGATTTTTGTCTGATTGCCCTTTTCCGCTATGAGAGTCCCTGCTTGAAGATTGGTAAGACGACTTCGACACCAAGATCAACAAGTCACGGAACACAAGCAACGGAACTCTGAACCGAGGGAAGGTGAAGTAGTCTCATTCTTTTCTTCCCATTCCGTCTTCTTTATTTATAATAGGGAGGATGCACGCCTATGACTTGAAAACCAATCCCACCAACACCAGGATTCCTTCACCATGACCAGGTTTAGATCTGTGACACTAGTCATCTTGGTCGTCCAGAAGCCCTCTTTCCATAGTAATTCGATTTTCTTGAGGGTCGTAAAGCCAGCTATCTGTGCAGAAACGTGGTAGACAATGGAAGCCGGCTATGCTTACCCAGGATAGCCAGCTGCTGAGCCGGTAGCTTTGGCTTTGGGCGCTGGGCGTTGTTTGCCATGATGTCTCAGGTGCCCGGAATTAGCTGACGATGATATCGTTGACGCAACGGCAGGTTCCCGGGGAGGGAAGAGAGGCGAAGGTGAATCACCGTTAAATAACGGGATGGCAAAGTTATATAAACGCAGAAAGAGAACTTTTCTTTCTTTTCTTGCACAACAGCAACACCTTTAGTAAACAAGACAATGTTTCTCCCTCCCCACTCCACCCACATCACATACATACAGACCTACCTACTTACATATAAGTGCATACCAACCCACATCCGAACTAACACGGTACCCATCGTATCTCGCTCTACTGTACTTGCGCATACATACATGGATTTACATGTAGTTGGCTTCTCTTGCTCTGTACAAGCTAAACCGAGTAGAGCCTAGATCGTGCGCATGAAGGCACGAGGCTCTCCGTTTCGGCCCATACAGAATGCTTTGATTTGTTGCTCTTACCAATCTTTGTCGCCCCAGGTCGGGACCCCCGTTGCAGTGCAGGCGCCCCGCGATGTGGATCCCCAGGCGGCAAATTTTCACGACTTTGCCTCAAAAGTGTAGGGAACTCTGTATCAATACGTGTATGTAAGTCAGTACATAGTATGTTTAGTGTTCTTTGCCTATTAGGTCATTTTCGGCGAGCTGTCGAAATAGCAAGTACATGTATGTAGTAGAATAAAGTGGATGGTAGCCGTGTTATTATCGACGCTCTGTCTATCGATTCGTTCGGCTCGGCTCGGCTCACGATAGCCGGTGGTCAATGATCACGAACCTATCCTCAGTAAGAACTCAACTACCCACGCCTATCTAGGCATGATCTTCCCGCTCGCTCAACAGGTGCCTGCAGCCACCGGGCTCATCTGCGCGGCTTTGTCATACCACACCTCTGCACACCCCTTCTGCGGTTTCAGCAACCAGACCAGGGAGGCACATCATCTGGCGGGCGAGGCCCTGGAAGGATTTCGTCAGTGTCCGTTGTCGGAGATGTTTGGTTGGTTGGGAGGACCGGTACGACGCATCCCAGCCGTGTTTCTCTTTCAGTGACAGGCCGACAGCCCATAACATTACCCTGATATCACCTACTTACAGATTACCTGCCGTACATGAGATTGGTCACAGGGTCGGGTAGATACAGCTGCAGTAGCATTCATGCAGAGCGCACTACCGTACCTCTTTACCAGGCACATTCACTGTAGCAGTACTACGAAGTATGTCGCTAGGTACTTACGCAGCTGAACCAGGCTACACAGATCTAAGGATGAAGATTCGGGTATGATAGATGTAGGTACTTACACATAAGTACCTAACCTAGGTACATAGGTTGTTATCCATCAGACCCCGGCTGTTGCACTGGTCGTGCAGAGCCGTGGTAGGAAGATGCATAATACCGTACCTATACTTACCTAGGACTCCAAGCTGCTTCAGATGACTCTGATGACTCCCCTTGCCTGCTCGCCTGCCTAGTTGCCTGAAGGTGGCTCGAAGGTGGTATTCTGGCGGTAGGTATCCATCCACCCCTCCTCCATGAACACCGGCCCCACCGAGTGAGTCTCGCCTGGGCTGCCTGCATCTGTATCCGTCCCCGACCTCCCATGTTATAATAATGTTATGTCCATGCAGTACTCGTAATTCTGGTCTACTCCTACATTGCGTGCCAGAATTCTCCAAGCAGACAGCTTCATCATCATCTTTACTAGGGACATGGCGGCTTATGCCGAAGATGCTCACTACTGTGGTTCACTCCATAGCACTTAGTACTTCAGACCAGTAGCTTTCAATGCACTTTGTACATGCATCCCGCTTTCATTGGGCATGCCAGGCGCTAGGGCAGGTATGAAAACTACTTATCATTCCCTCTGCCTCACTCATCTGTAATTCTCCGCATCAATGCAGATATGCATAAGTCACCTATGCTATGTGAAGTTCCATGTCTATCTTGAACTCTCGGTCTATATCGGGGTTAAGTGGGGCGAACCGGCTGCCTAGAAAGGGAATACTCCGCGAGCCGTCCCCGTACTTCGGAAATAGGCGGGAATAGGCGGGATGCTAGCCACAATGACGTGCGAAGATAACAAGGTGGCGCACCTCTCAGCTTCGACCAACTCGCCAACCAATCGGTACGTACCTACAGGTACCGAGGTATTGTAGCCTGCCTATCTCCTACCGACAACAACACAGCACCGTATCTTTGAACGTACACATATCATGCCATCTCCCATGGTTCCTTTGTGATGGGCGACAAAATTACAATGGCCAGCGAGCGAACGCCGTTGATTACCACGGTCGTGGTTGGCACTCCGCGTCAGCGCTATCCGCATCAGACGCTGCGCCGTTTCTGTACCATCGCCCTGGGCTCATCCTTGGTCGCCTTGTTGATTACCTTTCTTGTCACCGTAGTCAGTGCACCGTCCTCTAGCCACCATCACCCATGGCCGGGGCATGGGCACAAGCACAAGCATCTTCCTTATGAGAAGCTTCAAGCCATACTGTTAGAAACCCCAAGTGCCGACCGCGCCTCGGAATGGAGCAAGTACTATACATCTGGCGCACATTTGGCCGGTCAAAACCTCTCACAGGTAATTTGATATCGTCGAGGAGAGGAGTTGGACAACGACTAACCCTTGCAGGCTGAATGGACTAGAGACCGTTGGGAGCAATGGGGTGTGAAGTCTGAGATCGTTGCCTATGACACCTACATCAACTACCCCTTAGATCATCGGCTGGCCATGCTTGAGAAGCAAACTGCTAGCAACGATCATAAATCAGACGCCTGGGAGGTGAAGTTTGAGGCTACTCTAACTGAAGATGCCCTGGAGGACGACCCTACTACCCAGCTGAAGAACAGCATCCCTACCTTCCATGGCTATTCCGCCAGTGGCAACGTTACTGGCTCATTCGTATATGTGAATTATGGTACTTACTGGGATTTCGAGGATCTTCTGCGTGCCAATGTCAGCCTAGAAGGCAAGATCGCCATTGCCCGATATGGAGGAATCTTTCGCGGTCTGAAGTTGAAGAGAGCCGAAGAATTAGGCATGATTGGCTGCGTCTTGTATAGCGACCCTGGCGACGATGGTGATATAACGGAAGAGAAGGGACACAAGACTTATCCCGACGGCCCTGCCCGTAATCCCAGTAGTGTGCAGCGCGGCAGCGTGCAATACCTGAGTATAGGGCCGGGTGACCCGACGACACCTGGCTACCCCAGCAAGCCTGGTGCGCCCCGTCAGCCGGTTGACGGTGTGCTCACTAGTATCCCTTCGTTACCAATTTCCTATGCAGAGGCCTTGCCTATCCTGAAGGCGCTAAACGGACACGGCCCGCAAGCCAAAAACCTCAATGAATACTGGACTAGGAATACCGGTCTCGGGTATAAGGGTATCGATTACAACATCGGCCCTTCGCCAGACAATCTGGTTCTAAACCTCGTCAATGAGCAGAACTATACCATCACCCCATTGTGGGACGTTATTGGTATCATCAATGGTACTATCCCAGACGAAGTTGTAGTCGTCGGGAATCATCGTGATGCCTGGATCATTGGGGGCGCGGGTGATCCGAACTCTGGCTCCGCAGTGCTTAACGAGGTGATCCGCAGTTTCGGTGAAGCGTTAGAGCAGGGCTGGAAGCCTTTGCGAACCATCGTCTTCGCCAGCTGGGACGGCGAGGAATATGGCCTTGTCGGATCGACGGAATGGGTGGAAGAATATCTTCCCTGGGTTTCGGCGGCCAATGTGGCTTACATCAACGTCGACGTTGGTGTTCGAAGTCCGACCTTCTCAGCGTCGGCCGCACCACTGCTACACAGTTTACTGTATGAGGTGACGGCTCTCGTCCCATCTCCTAATCAAACTATTGAAGGCCAGACTGTTCGAGATTTATGGAATGGACACATTAGTACTATGGGTAGTGGAAGCGATTTTACTGCTTTCCAGGACTATGCCGGCGTTCCTTCTCTGGATATGGGCTTTGGTGGTCCTGATGAGAAGGCGCCCGTCTACCAGTAAGCTCTCTTTCCTTTGATTTCTTTCCATTTAATTAGCGACATATAACTCATAATTTTCATTTCTAGTTACCACAGCAACTATGACAGTTATTGGTGGCAGAGCGTGTATGGAGATCCTGGTTTCCTTTATCATAAGGCAATGGCCCAAGTACTTGGGCTCACAGTTGCCAAACTCGCTGACACGCCACTTCTTGCACTAAACGCCACCGCATATGCTGTTGCACTCGACGAATACGTGGAGAAAATCGAGTCAAAGCTTACAAGCTCAGATACCAAGCCATCTACAGCAGCCGAAATTTTCGAGTTCAGGGCGCGAGGAGCCAAGAAGGAACTAGTGGGCGACCGAGACGCTTTCCAACGGTCTCTAAATCGGTTACATGAAACTATTGGCGAGATGAAGTCTGCAGCTGTGAAGCTCGATGAAAAGGCCTCGAAGCTAGCTAAACAAGCAGAGCAGCATATTCCTTGGTGGCATTGGGTCAAGAAACTCAAACTTTTTCATCACATTCGATCGGTGAACACGAAATACAAGAACATAGAGCGCGCTTTCTTGTATCCTGGGGGCCTAGATGGCCGTTCCTGGTTCAAGCACGTCGTATTTGCGCCAGGTATTTGGACTGGATATGCCGGAGGTATGAAATCCCGTCTCCTTATTTCCATCTAAATTCAACTGAGCTGGTACTAATATTATCACAGCTGTATTTCCTGGTCTTGTTGAGAGTATGGACAACAATGACTTTACAAATGCAATGAAATGGGTTGGAATCATTGACAGTTGCATTCAACGGGCAACGGAGACGATACATTAGAAAGAATAGACTATCTAGCAGGGAACTAGAGATCATGCAAGATGTTGTATAGCAGGCCTTGTACGCTTCTCGTCAATGATGTTATCATTTTTATACCCAGATATGATTGAGATATCAGCCTACAGTATGAAGATTGAAGCTAGCATCACTCCCATCGGATATGTCTGTCATATTCTTGACATATAGTTCCAATTGATAACCGTTTCAATCACCTACTAGGCACCAAGCCGACCACTATCTCAGATGGCGTCGAACCAGATGAGCTAAATGTAGGAAAGGTGTTCATGTTTCCAAATAGGCCATTTCCTGCACCGATATGCGTCTCCACTTCCCATAAAAGAGGAGGACCTCAACAGCCGAGTGTCTCGATCTGAGAACACCGTCATGATGATTCGGTCCCGTCACCTCATCAATGCCCTCGCGGCCGTGGTCGGCTGCTATCTCGGTACAACCTTCATGGGAGACGAGGTTAAGATTGAAGCACCTACCTCTGTCCTAATACATCTACAAGACCTCTCAACCTGCAACTCATGATGAAGAATACAAATTAACTACGTCGACGCACATCGACATCCTCTCAGAATTCATCGAAAAGACAATCGATTCGCAGATTCGCGAGGAAGGCCTTCGACACGCCCACTTAACGCCGACTGCAACTTATGAGTGGCTCTGGCTCTTGCTATGCCCAGGAAATATTATCTATACTCGATATGAGAACATTTGGACCGCATTCGTCGTCTCCCACATTTACAAGAGGGCTACGCCTAATGCTAATGGGATATTTAGCTACAGCCGTGGGTCCTAACAAGCATTACTTCTCATAACTGGCGTGTCCGGCCGGTGGATTCCCTTTACATGTTGTACAATGGAACCCAACGTGGCAATAAAAAAAAGATACTAACCTGGTGCCTTGATAGTTGATTGCTCGAACTACATGTACAGTGACGGGAAACTACGACGCAAGATGCACTCATTCGACATGAATCCATTCTCAGGCGAGGAAGCCATCCACAATATCCCCATCATCCCGGCTCGCTTCTCCACTAGAGAGGACCAGAACCAGTCACCTTCGGAACTTGACGCCGAACAGATCCGGCTCGGCAAGCTCGTCTGGGATTTCTACAAGGAGCCCAGCTACAAGTCACATGAAGGTTATCTCGCGAAGAGCCGTTCCGGACGCAGCGCGAATTACCACGCACCCGTCGGATGCATCAACGGAAGGGTGATAGTCGACGGCGAAGGCTTCGAGCGCCACTAGCACGCGTGCCCGCTCAACAACCGCCGCAGCTACGTCTGCGAGTCGGACGATTCGGACGGGCCGCTGTCGTCGCGCGTAGGAAAGCTCGACCAGCTCCCGTATTTCACGTCCAAATGTGGCTGCCACGCCTGCGACGGCAGCAAGCGCAGGGAGGAATGAAGCGAGTTCGCCTTGTTCTACGACCTGGACCCGAAGGCCGCCAAGGCGCCCGACAACGACCTGTACTACCACATCGTGTCCAAGGTCGTCGCGGGCTTCGTCCTAGCGAAACGCGCTCATTGGGAAATTCGCTAGCGCTAACGGACAGGTGTCGGCGTGGCCTAAGGACTTTGTCAAGAATAAGGGTCAGGGCCAGATTTTCTTGTTGCACGGCTCGCCGGGTGTTGGTAAGTAGACCCTTTTTTTTTAATAATCGCTGATTTTTTTTTTTTTTTTGTCAGTATACGAGCAATGTGTGAGTATATGATGGAGTAGCTAACACGTATGGCAATTAGGCAAGACTTACACTGCAGAGTGCGTAACCGAGCCCACGCATCGTCCGCTGCTGTCCTTTACCAGCAGTGATCTTAGCACGAACACGCATTAGGTGGAGTTCAGCCTCAACTACTTCTTCTCGCTGGGCGAGCGGTTCGGCGTCATCGTGCTGCTCGACGAGGCCGACGTGTACCTCGAACCGTGGCGCGATCGGGACATAGAGCGCAACGGCCTCGTGTCCGTGTTCTTGCGCGCTTTCGAGTACTACCGCGGCGTGTTCTTCCTGACGACAAACCGTGTCGAGACGTTCGACGCGGCCTTCACCTCGCTCATCCACGTAGCACTGCACTACCGCGAGCGCATCTGGATGAACAGCTTCGACCGCCTCGAGCGCGACGCCGGCGGCTGCGTCCACGTTACCGTGACGGCGCGGGAGTATGCTTGGCTAAGCGGTGACGCGTGTTCCTTGTGCTGGAACGGCCGCGAGATCCGCAATGCGCTGCAGACGGCTGTGGCACTCGCCGAGAGCGAAGCCTTGGATGACGCTGCTGACGTGGTCTTGGTCACGGACAAGCATCTCCGCAGCGTCGTGTGGATGATATTTATCGCTCGCGATATTGAGGGACGGGAGCAGTGTTCGTTACCTACACGGAATGATGGGACTAAATCGCGTATCTCTATTCAGATCAGCGAAGTTCAGGGAGTTTTGACCAGGGCTGTCGCTTCAACGACGTGTTACTTACACTTTCACATGTACTGCTCGTCGTTTTGTTGATAAAACCAGGCAATAAACGAATGCGAGGTAAACATACATTGTTACCCAGAATGTGGTTGGTCCCTTGCCATCATGAAGCGCTTGAACTAAAAGCACATATATCCCTACCTACGCTTTACGGAGAGCAGGCCTTGAGGACGGTATAAGGTATGAACCATGCATACCCATCTTCTTCCGTTAGACGAGTCCACCAGGAGTCAAAAAGCTCATTCGAATCGTAACGCCGCAATACTACAAAATAGACAATAGGTGTTAATTAGTCCGTTATCCTTTCCCCAGACGAAGGCCGTCGTGGAAACTTTCTCTGGAGATTGCAGTACCTTCCACATCAATGCTTCGAGCACGTGCGTAGTCACGCATGAACGGGTGAACGGATGGCTTACATGCCTACATATCACCTGTATGTAGAGTATACGTAAGGGAATCGTTCCACTACACGCCAGGATTGATCACTAGCTGGGGATGTTCGAGTGAGACGAGCAGCAAGTGGTCTATATGTTGTAGCGTAGAACAGAATCGCCAAGTTACGTTGCCATGGGTATTTCTTCGAAACGAGTATCAGCTCCCAAGACGTTGGAAGGTGTAGCTAAGAAGCACAGGATTGGAAGAGGCCTTGGACTCGCTAGGATAACATTACATACACTACTGTAGGTCTCACATAGTTGTGCCTGGGCGTGCTTTAATGTTGGTATCTTCATATGTTATGGTAGTATCATGTAGCACACTATTCTTTACCACCGTACTATATAGTATTGTTACTACGTATGAACACTGCATGATAGACCCTGCAGCTCAAATTCCTGTAATGTTGAGGCGTACTCAGATCTAAGAGAGCTCCCTCCCTCCCAAACCTATTGTAGTCTGAATCTGTTGGCCGTAGCATCTCAACGATCTCAGGTGAACTGCGTAGCATAGCCGAATAGTTGTCCGTGTTGCCGCATCTATTGATTATGATGAGAAGTTACAACAACCGATTCCGCTATCGGTCCAGCCTACCTTTACCGAACGAGTGTTGTGCGGACAGCTCGGCCTGTCGGTTTTGGTTGATGGTAGGCGAGCCATAATGAAGGTAGAAGAATGAAGAATGCCTGTAGTTGAGGCGCTCGGATGAAAGGGAACTACGCTGGTTTTCACTAAAATCAGAAGCCGTTGTGTTCTGCCGTGCTTCTATTCTAGAACGGTGGCGGCGCACTAGCCTAGCCCAACGCATAGCACAATCTTATGATGATGACTTCTCCATCCTCCTCGTGTGTGTATGTGTGCGTGTGTTGGCGCTGGCGGCTAGTCTAGGAGTTTCGTTCTTGGGGTTCTTGGAAAATACGGGGGACATGAGGAGAGGGGCAAGATGCGGGGAAGACAGGTCAATAATCCTGGGAACGACCTTGGCAACAATGTGCCTGTGCCGGATCTAATGCCTATTGTGGCAATAGTCTCCTGCCCACATCCTGCCCACATGGGGTGTAAAATGTCGTCAGTTGTGCCAAGCTAAGGCCACCATACACTGGGGAAAAGGGGGTAAGAGGCGCTCAAGGAACCCCGACCAGCCCGACCCCAACCAGCTCCAAGTCTGTCCAAGTCCTAGGTAGGCTGTAGGTTTCCAGGTACTGTCCAGGTCCATAAGTAGAACCGCACGTCTGACAATCTGGGCGATCCTTCACATACCTACACTAACCTAGAGCAGACCCAGAGCAGACCCAGAGTCTCTGCCCAGAGCTAATCCCATCAGCTGATCGACCTCGCTGACGGTAGTGATGGTGATGGTGATGATGCTGATGCTGATGTGCCGATATATCGAACGAAGTAGACTGCGCTACACTATTCTCAGTATAGTACCTTCACCTAGATTTTCAGTCAAGAGCCGAGAGCCGTGCGTTTGATGTGCAGTGTAGGTACATACATTATATGGACACTATTATTAGTTAGCTGTACTTACTCTACCCCAGATATATGCCTTCATCGCTTCGAGAGTGGATGGTGGAACCATAGTACAGTACTGAATATGTATGATCTAGACCCTAAAGTGAATGGCTCTCAGCCGATATTCTTCTTGGCTACATTGCATTTTAACAATTGCAGCACAGGCAGGCTGGGGCATTTGTATCGTTTGTCTCGTACACATGTATATGTATGTAGTTGAAACTGTCTATAGGGGTTGTGACTAGCTCTCCCAATTCATAGAAGTTATGATATTTCTACTATGTAATTCGTCAGTCGGTGGCTATTGGAAGTCGGCGATCTGCAGATCCGGTACTAGCAACTCGGCCGAGATAGTTGCCCGTAGGCTTTGCCATGATCTAACCCAGAGCCGCGGCTAAGTTCCGAACAACCTGTCGTGACGACCACGATTCTCATGATATACACATATATATCTGGGGAATTCGAGAAGTTGACTATGGGTAGTACATACGCTACCTAGAAGAGAATACAGATAATCACAGCCAGCAGTTTCTGATTAGTAGCATGACACCCTAATCAGCTAGTGTGATGAGGCGAAGTGTCTAGCTCGGCCTCTATTCGGCTACCTACATGATGGTGTATGTACGGTGGCTCATCTGTTAGTGTAGCTCTCTCGGCTCTCTCTCTTTTAGTATTGTCCCATTACCGACTGACCCAACTCCATACAAGTTAAGTAGCGCGCCATCGCCGTCATAACAACTACGACCAACTATTACGTACTGTAGCTTACTCGCTAGCGTTTCACCGAGGTTCAGATCCTCCCAACAAAAATCGCCTAAGTACTAGTAAATCAAACCGATCATCTGGGAAAGCCCACACTCACATATTGACTTACATAAAGGCCCTGCCAGATAGGAGTACTACCTATATTGTCTGACCACCCAGATGGCATCTTGGTTGCAAAGGATTCCACACAGCTACCTACGTATCTGCCCATAGTCTGTCAACTCCGTGTTGCATAGGTAGTCCAAATGTATATACAAATGGGTGTTATAAGTCGGTAGCACAACTAGCTTATCCCCGTACTCAAAAGACTCAGACAAGCTTTGTAAATACACTAAACACCACTACCGTAATATTAGTAGGTAGTGTAGTTGGCCACGCGCATGCTACACTAGGGCCCGCACTTCTACCAATGCTTCTCTAACGGGAAAATTTTACTAGTATCTGGACTTGCGCTTCTAGTGTGACTAACAATAAGTTAGGGTATCGGCGTGCGTCAGCAAGTGCGGAAATGAAAGTAATCAGCTTTTGTAATAGTGTGTCGTGGTATGTGCCAGCATCATAACGCGAGTACAGCACAGCCCTGTGTACTACCTACCTACCACTGTAGGTCTCGTAACACTACTGAATTCTGTCTCTGCTTGGTTTGATGTAGCCAAGCCGTTCTGCCATGCATGGTGGCTCTTGGTATGGCTTGACGAAGTGCGTACTGATGAAATGGCGGTCTTGGAGAGAGAGGGGGAAGTCTGGGGCAGATCTGGGGAGAAAAGCGAGTTAGGCAAGCAAGAGATGATGCATGGAGGAAAGGAGCCTGGACCCCAATGTACATGTAGGGTAAGGTCTCCCCACACTGGATTCACTTCCCTATTCTTCCGCTCGCTTTACCCCGAACATTGTGTAAACGACAACGCCAACCAACCACGTTGCTCATAATATTACTTGTAAGATGACTTGATGTAACCTCCACCCCGGCTCTTTGATTTGAATCGCTGGGGCTAGCCGGGGTTGATACTGCTGGAAGGATAAGCTAGGATTCCGGCTGCACGGGGAGCGAAAGGGGACAACAACACCAATGCTTCCCACCACCAACAGCAGAGGGAGAGTATGGGATCGTTCCCCTCTCAGGATTCCATGTACATGTAACCACCCTAGGACAAGATCTCCTAGGTATCACCTACGCTATGGGCACATATGTGTACCTCTAACCGCTTGCTTTTGATATTGTGTTGGAACAAGCAACAAAAAGGGAATAAGGCGGACAAATATGTAGTCTGTAGGTATTCGTACAAAGTAAGTAGGGTAATATGGGGTGCCGGTAGCTTACCTGCAACAGGAAACATCAAGATCACCCACATAGATTGAATCTAGTATAGATTGTATATAGCGTCACACTAAAGAGGAGGTAGGGACATGCTTCTCCGCCTCTGTATCCATTCCCCCTGTCGGGACACTTTCATAAATATCACAAATCCCACCTCCCCCCGTCTCACCCACGTCTTCCTCGACCGAGTTTCTCATTGTCTTATTTCTCCCGAGGGTTTGGGCTCGCTCTGTGATAAGTCGGTTCATACGCCTTGGTTAAGCTCAGCTAATTATACCAACGTATAACAATATATCGATTAGGATCCCATATCTCTTTGACCGTCCACATTATAAGGGAATAGAAGATGGCCTCTCCGGAATACCAGGCGGCCGCTCCTACCACCGAGAAGGAGATCGGTACAGCTCCCGGCGCCACCGGCGCCGAACATGTCAATGGCGCCAACCCAGCCGTGGCACGTTACGACTACGGCGGCAACCCTCTCTTCCACGCCCATACCAACAATGGTGAGCCCCGTTTCGCTGCCTTCGGTGGTGATATGCAGCCTGGCCTGTACCGGCCCACCACCCACAGAAAGTTCGCCAACCCGGCGCCTCTGGGTCTGTCCGCTTTCGCCCTCACTACTTTCGTCTTGTCGCTCGTGAACTTCAACACTCGTGGCATCGCCGAACCCAATATTGCGCTCTCGCTTGCATATGGCTACGGTGGTCTGGTCCAGCTCCTTGCTGGCATGTGGTAAGTGAACACCGAATTTCATTTCATGTTTGTCGGGCGGTGTCTGTCTCTTTTTCCTCGAAATAGCTATGATATATTTCACGGTGTCGCTAACCATGGTTGCTTGTCTCACAGGGAGATGGCTGTGGGCAATACTTTCGGTGCCACCGCTCTATCTTCATATGGTGGTTTCTGGATTTCCTACGCCATCGTCCTGACCCCGGGTTTCGCAGTCCTCGACGCTTACTCGTCCGCTACCGACACAGCATCGGTCCTCGGCTTCTTCCTGACCGGCTGGTTCATCTTCACCTTCATCTTGTTTCTCCTCACCCTGCGCTCGACTGTTATGTTCTGCTCGCTGTTCGCCAGCCTGGACCTGGCCTTCCTGTTCCTGGCTACGTCCGAGTTCGCTAAGAGCAACGGTAGCGGAGCTGCCTTGGGTCTTCAGAAGGCCGGTGGTTTCTTTGGCCTCCTCGCCGCCTTTTTGGCGTGGTACAATGCCTTTGCTGGTATTGCCGATACTAGGTAAGATTTAACAAACCCCGATGCTATCAACTCTATGTTGAGTGAAGGCATTGGCTAACAAACCCCTCAATAGCAACTCATTCTTCATCATTCCTGTCTTCCACTTCCCCTGGTCGGAGAAAGCCCGTGAGTCTCGCAGCAAGACCGAGCGCGAGACTGTTTAAGCACGTAGCGAGATGCCATGACACGAGGTATCCTGGCGCAGCCCGAGGGTATCCGTGTGTTGCCGCCACAGTACGATGAATATAACAACAGCCAATAAAGAATTGCAGTTAAAAAAAATAAACCAATTATACCCCCGTGTTATACACACTAATTCAACATGATTACGATATATAAGGCCTGCTAGGTTCTCCTTCCCCGAGGATGTGAGATGATGACGTTCTGATTTGAGTTTGGCGGAGTATGGGAGCAAGATGAGAGTTTTCGATGTACCTATGCGACCGGGAGCAAGGAGACGAATATCTGATTGATTAAGAGAGGATCGGGCTTTGTTGCTCTGGTCCCTGGAGTAGACTACTTACTGTCGATGGGAGAAACTCATGATACCACCGTTATAATACCAAATGATTTTCTACGGGGCCACGCTTTCTACAGTATATGCCTATTACATTGTTAAGTACGTTCCCCCAGCTCAATGTCGACGATATGACGATGCCAATGCAGAGCCAAGAGCAACTAATCGAGTCCATCGTAACCACTGATCTCAGGGCTGCAGCCACACGTGCAACCGTTTCTAAGCGGGCCCTACGTCTACTTTACTACATACATCCTTGTAGTTAAAAGCAAAGGGCCAAATTATTGCGGGTGTTTAGCTATCTGGTCGCACGGAATGAGTCCGCACCTGTACTCAAAGCCTGTAGTGTGAAGCCATTGTCCACAGATGACAAAATGAAAGAGTTGACTATGCTGATAATTGTACGAACTCCTCTATATCGTCTCACTTTTCTGTGTTTTTTTCCCTTTTTAATAACTCGAACAAGTTTGCTCTGAAGTCCTTCTGGAACTCGTCAAGCCTCCGCCATAGTAAGATTCTTAGTTAGATTAGGGTCTCAAATCATTGTATTTAATACAATACAAAACTTCATATTCTCGGATACGTTGGGATCGGTAAAGTACCATGAATTGAGTATTGCAGCCGTCTCCATCATTTCATGTCTGCTTACCTAGGTAAGGCAGTGCCTCGCGAGGAAGAGCGTTGCCTTCACAGGTACTAACTATTAGCGCCCGCGTTTTCTCAACTACCACTGCATTTCTAATTCTACCTCTAATTACCTATCCGACTTGTCGCAGTGTTGCTCCGGTCTCGAGGTTGTTATCCTCGTTGTTTTCTTTTTCTCTCATACTCTGATTCGAAATCAGATTCTCGGGTAGACCGTAATGGGCCTGGCAGGTGTGAAGTCTGAGTACAGAGCTAGAGATAGTTAAGCGAGTCCTCGGCCATTCGCTCGAGTGGCTGGCCATACATTAAGGGCTAATGATAGGATTTGGAATTGAAGCTATTTACAGTCAAATAATCTGCTAGAACCGTGAAAATGGTACAACTAGTTCGGTCTTTATTAGCTGTCCTGTTACGGGGACTTTCTCAGAGCATGCACCCGTAGCTGGGGTGATCTGCACGCTCGACCGTATGCGCGTATGACAAATGGCGCTACACGGGCTCACGAGAGGAGAGACTCATCCTCTTCGAGCTTATCGGCGCTTAGCACGTTAGACGTATCCATCTTGTTGACCTGAGCGCTGCTGGGTCAAAGATAGAAAGAAGCTGTAGGCAGAGGAACTGGCGTCTCAGCGTCTAAAGGCGGGTCTACAACCCCTGCGATGGGGTCGGCGCTTCCATCAATACATCATTGGCTGAAGTGACAGCACTTCTGCATACTTCTAAGCCTCAACTGAACTAAAGAGCCTGGTCGAAACAACCATAAAGAGTAGAAGAAGATGGGGCTCAACATCGCGTAGCTGCAGAGTAAACTAACTGCAGAGATGGCTCTTCAACAGAGTCTCTATAGGTTACACCAGAGATGGGACCGAGGCCCGTAACCAGCTCCTTTTGAGTTCGGTGAATAGGTGAGCTTGGTGATATCGTGCTATATAACCTCAGTGGTGTCTTCATGGCGTACAAAGGGTGTGGCCAACTCGATATAACTACTTCTAGTCCTCTCTCTAATAGATTCTGGCTCGAAGTCTCGATGATACGAGCTTCAGCAATAACATAAACGGACAATCTTTTTTTTTTTCAACCTCGACCTACTCTAATCTGACCATGGAATGGTTGGACGCCCAACAACACGCATCTGGATCAAACAACACTATCAAGACCAACTGCACAAGCACTAGAGGCCCCAAGGGGATGTGGCGTTCGGCATGGCTACATAAACGTACCCTGATTGCCCTTATATTCCTTTTGACCATTCTAGCAGTATCACTCCTGCTCCTATGGAGGTACGATATTTCAAATAATGGGATTCGGCTCGCACTGGGTTCGAACCACTATATCTGGACTTACGGTCCTACGGCAATCCTAACAATTATCGTTGGGATATGGAGGCAAATCGATTATCAATGCAAATCGGTTCAGCCTTGGCTATGTATGCAGGATCATGCATCGCCTGCCGAGAGTACCGTGCTTCTAGATTATATTTCGCCTATACAAATCACCAGCTTCTACAGAGCTGTTTCCCAACGCCACTGGCCTGTCGCATGCTCGGTCCTTGGGTTTGCCACCTTGAAGCTTACCGTCCTAGCTTCTACCTCCCTGCTATTTCCATCGGATACCCTGATGAACAAGACCTATGACTCTAGGATTGTGACATCTTTCAGTGCGTCGCGGTTCTGGGACACAATCCCCCCGCGAAACTGGACAGGCCCAGACAGATCTATTCCAGTTTATGGAGACATCCTGTCGCAGACACAGGGATTCGAGCACAACCCAGCTTATTCCAATGTATCTACAGATCCTGTCTATGCCTACTGGGGTCTAAGTCGTCCTGATTTCTCCTTCCCGCTAGGCACTGAAGATGGATTGGCGTTCCAAATCTTTAACGCGACTAACGACGATGGAAAATTAAGCAAGGTGTCGATGCCAGTTGACGCTTTCATCCCAAACGTCACTTGTGAGATCCCTCGATGGACAACCTTCCAGAATCCATCCGACTTTTCCATCCCTATTCAGCTGGAATTAGAGACTGCAACGTGCTCAGTCGGGCGCGGCAGGTTGGACTCCGCACACTTTGATGCTGTTGATGTTGTAGCAGCACCTGTGAACAATGACTATTGTTCAGAAGACTCTCTGCCCTATCCAGCCTCCTTCACCATTCAGCGAGTAAATTGTGAAGACCAGTCAACTTGGAATGGAACCACGGCGCTTGATCATACAACACAGCACGACTTCCGCTTTGCTGTGATAGCCGCAAATATCTCTGAAACCGTTGTTGAAGACCGTGTTGTAAATACAACGGTCACTCACGTCGTTGATAGAAGTCTCTCGCAAGCGGGTGTTGTCTTATGTAGCATTGACTACAACATCGTCAAAGCTAGGGCGGTGCAAAATTTGGAAGCTGGGACATTTTCTGTAATAGGAGACAACAAGGGCGTGCATGGCCGACATCTGCCCGAGCTTAGCAGGCTAGAGTTCTCGGAGCTGGTGTATGCCAGCCTATACTCCGCGGCTAACATATTTGTTCCTCCTGACCGCTTCGTCTTGCTGCTTCCACGACAAGACTCTGCGGCGTCTTGTCCACTTTTTTCCGTCATGGGGTCGCACTTAGACAAGTCCAAGAATTCGGAGGAATTTTTTGACTCGGCAACGTTGCAAAATGCCGCCCAAAATGCATTCAGCAATATTGCGGCACAAATGATACAGCAGTCGTTCACAGAAAAAACAGATATACCAGCTACCAGCGAAGGGGAATATCATGAGCCAAGACTACATGTAAACCAAGTCTCTTTATGGATACTGGTAGCTGGTCTTCTTGTTGTGGCTCTCGCCACCACGATGATTGTAGTAACAACAACTCGGCAGGTGATACCACAGGACCCTAGATCAACTGCTACGCATGCGAGTATTCTTGCGGCCAGTCCTTCATTGCAGGCTCTGTTATATGAAAGTGGAAGTCTGAGAACAAGTCAATTAAAGTCCCTACTTACGGGGTTTAACTTCCGGACGGTACTTGATAAACGCTTTCGAATCGTGGCGTCTCAACAAGATGCGGTCGACGATTCTCCATCACAACCTAAAAAGGCTAAGACTAGTATATGGTTACCGTTGTCGGCCAAATTACCTTTTGTTGCTCTCACGTTGTCTCTGCCGGTCTTAGCCATTGGGGCACTGGAAATTCTGTATCGCACTTCTATAGCTCACAAAGGGTTAGCCGACGCGCCGGTTGACTCCGATCTCACATCGTATGGAATTCGACTCTCGTCCTCCCTGGTGATCCTACTTATTGCCACATTATTCAACAGCCTTGACTTTACAATAGTCACTTTCGCTCCATATGGGACTCTTCGAAACGGCGCAGCTTCCGCCTCTAGAGGGATGTTAGCCAATCTACAAGGAACCACACCATTGCTCGCAATCTACCAATCAGTGAAACTTGGCCAGTTTGGAGTCACACTATCCACCCTCGCAACACTCATTGGCAGTCTGTTGACTGTTTTTGGCTCGGGTTTGTGGGTTTTGGATTACAGAGCTACTTTTGACAGCAGTTTCACGACTTCAGCGAGTAATACCTGGCAATTGACGTTTTCCGACGCCTTGACAGCAGTCAGCGGAGGTGCGCTGCTCCTAAACAATATCGAAAGAAACGTTGCTAGCTCGCCGTCCAATGTCTGGAATGACCTTGTGTTCCCACAACTTTCCGAGCTTACGTTATCTAAGGGCTCCTCAGATTTTAGACCAGACATATTCGACGCAGCGGCTTTGAACTACACCCTAACATTACCTGCGTTGCGTCCGGAGCTGGACTGCGATACTATCCCCAATCAGTTGATCAATGTGACAACTGATTACCGCCAATTAACGCTTATAGAAGCTCAATGGGATTTGCCTCCTGGGTGTTTGGGAGGCCCAGGTGGAAACCAAACGTACCTTAACGTCTCATATGCTACAAATAGTGCTCGATGGTTCGGAGACTTTCTGGACGCTCATATGGGTCCGTTTAGCGACTTCATCGACTCCCAGGAATTAGGGGAGGATGGAGTAGAACAGGCTGACAACCCTTTTGGCTGTCCATCGATCGTTGCCATCTTTGGTCACATCAACTCGAACCGTACCGCGCAGGATGATGTGACGATATTTGTGTGCAACCAGAAAATACAACAAGTTGATACGACAGTAACCTACGTTGGGCACCCTCGCGATGGGGATATCAATCTCTCCCAACCACCTGTCACTGACGAATCAACGGCAATATATCTAACCAACGGGACTGAGGGTGTCGATGCATTCAACTATCGAATACAGGACGATCTCAGAGAGGGTTTCGAAGCTTTCAACCAGGGCCCAGAAGAGAACTTTGATAAATTCTTCAACCGTCTCACTCACGGGCCAGATGGAATTACCCGCGAGCAGTTACTAGGGCGTGAAAACGCCCCGAGGTTACTCGAGGCTATCCAAGGGTTATACAACAAATACATGGTCCAGGTGATCAATCTCAACTTCCGCCAGCCGATTGAATCCTCAAAGTTGAGACGGGAGTCGAAGAGTAATATAATACCCGGCACAGTTACTCGTGAAATCGAACGGCTCGCAATCCACTTCCCATCTAAGCTTGCGCTTCAGATAACCTTAGGAATCATGGTTATACTGAGTGCAATAGCATTTCGTCTCGCCAACCTGCGCGGCATATTGCCAAGAAACCCGTGCTCTATTGCGAGTGTCATGGGTTTCTTCGCAGGAAGTCATTTATGCTCTTCCGGTGAAATATTACCAGAAGGAGCTGAGTGGATGAGTCTGGAAGAACTGAAAGAGTGTCTTGATGGGTATATGTTTAGCTTGGGGTGGTGGACGCCAAGGGAGAGGCCTATAGACTCGGGAACGGAAAGCGACACGGTGGACGCGGATCGAGCTGATATGAGCACAGGGGCTAGATTTGGTATCGACGTGGGGACTCCAATCGAACTCGGATATTGTGCCAAACGCGTGCGGAAAAGAGCATCAACAGATTCGGTATAAGTTGTTACACGCGCACACAGCTACGGGCCCATGCAGCGCAAACGCCCCCTAATTGAGAGGCCTTGCTTTAGTAAATAGACCATTAGACATAGACAGTCAAGACACGTAGTCCAATTGTATATAGAATCATAAGTCAAGCCACCAAGGCCAGGAAGGAATTAGATGGCCAAGGGCCTTGCAGCTCGGGTAGACTATTATATAATGAACATCTTCAATTCCACGCACAGTCATCTACCCATTTTGTAAAGTCGATGGAGACAATTTGATAAAACATATTAATATGAAGTTTACTGATAGAACAACCAAAGATGGTCAGTTCCACGCACGCCTCTAGACGACAACGCATCAAACCCCAAGATGTCATCGATGCCATAGTTCGTCAACAAGTTATAGAACCGAGCTACGAGCCATTTCATAGACAAGAGCGAGAATTGTAACATCGAGCCTCCGGAGAACCATTGACGGCAGCCCATGATACGAGATGCCGACCAACTTCCCACTTCCCTATTCGCAACGTGGGAGAGGTATGGATATCCAGATGGACTTTATCAATGGGCGTGTTATATAGCAGGCAATGACCGCTTGATATTTTCATCATTGACGATGTCAATGCCGGCGTAGCCAACCCTATGACACAATTATCACACATAGGGGTTCAACCAAAAGCCTCATGCTTATTCTCTTATACGTCGTTTCTTCACTTATGTCCACACATACCTTGACCAAGCGAGTGCGGCATCAAGGTGAGAATCAGAAGAATCATGCAGAGAGAAGAGAGAGAGATGTGATTAAATATACTCGCTTTTTGCAAAACTTCTGGCACGAAGCCCGCAAAATGCTATTCTTCCCTGTCCCCCTCACTATCTGTTTGCACCTGATGTATCTGTCTATTAAGTAAATATTCAAAGTAGGCATAAGAGGAGAAAAAAAGGCTTTGCAGGAACCCTTCTACGGTTCCAAAAGGCAAAAACCATTTGAAAAATGAAGTGGGCAAACTAATAATGTTGCTGTAAACTTGCGTCCCTAGCCCGGGCAATGCCGTCTACAACCTCGTCCCTTGTTACATCAGATGATAGGGGGAGCTTTTGTGCTTCTCCGTGAGACAACTGATCCACAGTTGCGGAGGCTTGGGTAAGCTACTACGTAGCATACCTTCACGACGTTAAACACCATCAATCAATCAATCAATCAACTGATCCACAGTTACGTCCCACCAACTGAAATATCCGGCGAGATGAGATGGGGAAGACTGATTTGAATAGGACATTCACCCACATACTAACGACAGCCCAGGGCCGTATGGCATTTGCACATGGTGACTACGGCTTGAAGTCTGCGACTCTAGACACTTAAGCTGTTGTCTCGGTGGCGGCTTTCTTTGCCTCCTTATCCTTGCCCTTCTTCTTAGAGTCCTTTTCTTTCTTCATGGCTGCCTCGGCAACGAGCTGCTCAAAAGCCATGTAATCGCCTTCCTCCTCGGGCGATCTCTTAGCCTATGGTACATCGTTAGTAACCGTTACATAGAATTGTCATTACAAAAGGGCAGAGAAGACGGGGGGGAGGGGGGTGGGGTAGATGTAGAAGTGATCTGGATCGGGTCCTTCCTACCTTGGAAAGAATTTCAGCGATAAGTACAAGTGCATGAGCTCGTTCTAAGCGCTTGTTCAGGGGCACCTTTTTATCGTAGAGCACGCTATCGCAGACCTCGCGCAAGACTCCCTGGATTTCATACTTGCTGCCGCGCCAAGCGGCATTGAGAATCTTGCCTGTGACCTTGCGCTCATATTCCATCTTTTTCTCGTCCGTCCAGTCCTCACCGCCGGCTTCTTCCATGCGAGCCATTTCCTCCATGGTCTGCTGGGCATCGATAGCCGAAGATATAGTGTTCCAGGTCTCCTTGAAGAACGTACCCTTATCCTTGACACGGCTGAAGAATCCGCTGATACCAAGGAACTTCTGGGACTTGATCAAGGCCGTGGCCTTCGAAAAGTACACGGCGCCGATGGCATGCAGGATGTCGAGACCGAAGCTCTCCATTTTAAGGTTCTCCACTTCGAGAGCCGTCTTCTCCTGGAAGGCCTTCGTAACATCGGCTCCCTTGTCCGTTTCAGTCCAGACAGATACCCGGTCGATCAGCTTCCGGGCCAGGGTATCGACACGCTCCTGGCGAACTCTTGCCCTTTCCGCCTCATATGCTGCGAGTTTCTCACGTTGTTCTTTGGTCAAGCCTCCTTTCTTTTTCTCTTTCTTCCGCAGCTCCTTTTCTTCTTCTGTCTGGCCCTCGACATGAGCCTCGTCGGACGGACGGTCCATGAGTGCAGGTCGGATGGGTATAGCGTGCCTGGAAGGAGTTGAGGTTCCAGAAGCATTGGGGGCGGGGGAGGGTTGCCTGGGCGGTACTTGGGCTCCATCTTGCCTTGTCGCAGTATCCTGAATCTCCCCAGCCTTGGACTCGACCCCAGCTGCGGCTGTGCCAGGTTTCTCAGGCTCATCCTCAACGACGACGGTGGGCGTGGGAGCCGTAGTAGAGCTAGTGCTGGGGTCGGCTGCAGCGGCGGAATCCTTGGTGCTCTCGTGTATGGCGTCTTTGGTGCCGGGGAACTCAGCATCATCTTGCTCTTCGGTCGTAATCTCCATGGCTGTGTTCAAATCTTTCATGAGGCTGATCTCTCCGATCCAATCAACAAAGGCCTCGCCACCGAAGATGCTGCTGAAGAATTCAGCGGGGTCGACGAAGCCCTCGCCAGGCTTCGCGCTCTCCTTTCCATATTTATCGTAGGCTGCTCGCAGTTCATTATCCGACAGGACTTGGTAGGCTTCGCCAATAGTCTGGAATTTCTCGTGCGCCGTGGGATCGTTGGGGTTCTTGTCTAAGCGAAAGGTCCGCAAGAGTTAGCTACCAGATCACAAGAAGCACATGGGCCTTTGAATGTTATTGTGTGGAGGACACAAGGCAACGCGGGGCGCACCTGGATGGTGAATAATGGCAAGCTTGCGATAGGCCTTTTTTATCTCAAGCTCGGTAGCAGTCGGCTGGACGCCCAAAGCATCGTAATAGGCGGTATCGACAACCATGCTTGTTAATTGTCTAGAATCCACCTGTGCTCGTACTTCGTATGTTCGACGCGGAGATTGCTATTTCTATAGGTCTGTGTTGACAGCAATGAGGGGCAGACGAGGATATATAGACAAGCTTGCGTGTGTCTGTTTTGTCGTTCTCTTGGAGGGGTAATGGAAGGGATGGGCGACCCAAATCGACCAGAAATGTCGCGCCTGCGTGGTCAAAGAAGCGGAGGGGTGTCTATTCAGGTATCGAGAGAGCACGAAGTGGGAATGCCAGAGACTGCCGGACAATGTAAAGATATATAAAGAGAAGAGAAAGTCATCAGTCAATCCTATGATGTAGGCTAGTCTAATAGATCTAGGATGACGACTTTTTTTGGCCGAGATGGATAAGGCAGTGAGGAATTCGGCACAATCCCTGGCCTGCTGTTACGGCGCTGCCTTGTCCTCCTCCCTGTAGCCTACCTAAGGTACATGTACTTTTCTGCTAACTACCTACGTTAACTGTAATTTATGTACCTACATTTGCGTAGTGGATAGGTAGACCCTGGGTTACGGTTTAGTGAACCAGCCTGCTCTACCTATCTACTTTGGTACGAAACCCATCCATCATCTTGGTCTGACTGTTTCCTCGCAATCGTGCGCCACAGATATGATGTGTTCGCAACTTGGATGGGAAGTGCTGTACCTAGAAGAGGTCTCTCAGCCACGTCACCCGTTGTGTGGCGCAACATCTCTCAGTACCTAGGTAGAGGTACCTACGTAGGTATCTAAGGAACATGAATTACTTCGTACCTAAGGTGTCTTGGGTGTGTACATCGATATGTACCTGGGTATCCTTTTACATGTAACCTCCCTCTCCCCGCCATTTCACATGTTGCTGCTATGCTACTTACCTCCAGTCCCAATGGAATGCTTACATGTACCGGTGTATGGGAAATAAAGCCCATTAACAGATAAGGAGAGCACATAGGTACTGGCATTTAACTTGAATACCTAATCACTTCAAGTTATCATGTTCTTGCACAGACCATCTAATGAACTACATATAGCAGTTAGATTGGCCTCTTGGCCCAAACAGATGCCAGCCAAGTCCGGGTTTAGACTCCCGAAATACCATATCAGCGAGGAATCATTGGGTAGCCGGTTCATTGAGCTCCATTTCGCTCTAGCGTATTCGAGCCAAAGCTGACTATCGGCCGTCTGCTCTGTTTCTTGGGCAAAAGAATTGTAGTTTATTCCACAATGCCCTTCTCTCCGGGTAGGCAAGTATGCTCAGCCTGATTGACCCCAACCGCTAGCGCGAATTGCGACCACTGCCTTTATTTGACACCCCCGGCCTTCATTCTCTCGAAACATCGCTTATAAGCCTCGTGTATCTCAGGAACTGTGTATCCATATTCTTTAAGCTTGTTCTCCAGCTTGGTTGTGTCCAACAGGCAATTGCTACGACCAGCCTTGATCACCTTGGCTTGTTCTTCGATAGTGAAATTCTTCCATGTGAAACCGGGGCGGACAATATCTCTGAAGAGAGATAGCACCTCGTTGTGGCTTATGGCACCTGGATTGGTGAAGTTGTAGACACCCGTCTCCCTGTGCTCAGCCATTAGGACCGATGCGGGCAGTAGGTCGGTTAGTATGGTGTTGCTGTTGGGTATATCGACTACCCGTTCGTACTTGCTGATCTTGGTGACGAAGTTGCGAGGGTGGAGGTCGTCTGAAACAGGCATACGCAGACGCAAGATCAGACAGTTAGGGTAATACTTCATGACCTACCAGGAAAGAATTAGTCTCTTGTAAGCGAGGACGCATGCTAGGATGGAGCGACGGTTATGAGAAGCTCACCTCCTCGACATGACCCTTCGTCTCAGAATAGAAGCTGCCCTTGAAATTGGCGGGGTCTGTCTCCGTATATCCTGGTCCACCAATGGGGTGGGCCTCATCGTAGTGGTAGATACAGCCGGTGGCAAAGACGGTACAGTGGATGCCGGCGAGGGAACAGCAGTCCGTCAGGTTGAGGGTGCCGATAACGTTAGACCGCATAGTTTCCTCCTTATGGTCCTCACACCAGTCGACATTCGGGCGCCCGGTGCACCCGGCGCAGTTCAATACATGTGTGGGCTTGACCTTGTCTAACTCGGCCTTGACAGCTTCGCGGTCTTCCATGCGGACTGTGGTCATGTAGACCTCCTTCCCTTGACTCTTCAGAATGCTTTCAAGGTGGCTAGCCACCCAGCCCTTGCCCCCCCAGATCAAAAAACGATTGGCCGCCATATCAAATAATTTTGAGATGAGTTGGTTTAAAACCCGGATGATGTTGATTCGAAGGAGATTCCGTGTGCAACTAGATAGGGGCGAGTGGTGGCGATGGTTCTACTGGTAGTTGACTGAATTGAGGATGGAAAGTTTTGGGTGGTCAACATTGGCGGACCCAGGGAGTTCATAGATGAAAGGGCAAGAAGAAAGCGAACTGGTGCCAGGCGACTACGGTAATAAATGATGAGATGGGACAGATACTTTGCCATGCATGGGTCCCGGATTACTCACTTACGAAGTACGCATCTCACCATGCAACGAGACGAGGGAGGAAGGAAGAAAGGAAAGGAGTGGCAGTTTGATGACCAGGTATTACCGTATTAATGAGGCACGAGCGACCCATTCGAGTGGCACAATTGACATCAAGGTTACCTCTTGGTAGGATTCTGCCGAGGTAGGTGGATAGTGAGCTGCAACATTCCATCTCAATTGTCTTACTGTCTTGACAGGTTCAATCTTTTAATATTATGTGATCTTCCAGATGTGTTGTTCAAAGCTAGATGCGCTTTGTCGAACAGCTATTTGAATCATTGGCTGTCATGCCGTGAGATGCTACCCTACCTACCTATTTTGTGCCAAGCACAATGGGGTACCAGCATTTGGTGCTGTAAGGTAAGCACACCACCTACTATACCGAGGTAGTCGCACTTCTCCTCCATAACCTTCAATTCTATTCTTTCATCAATGTTTCCTTCTGGTACGAAATCCAAGTCTTTACTCGCATCAACTCGACATTTGCGGCTCACGGTTCCTAAAAGCTACTGTAGAACGGAGCCAATCGGTTTTATTTCTCCACGGTCGGCTAGCGGCACGCCATGTGGGACATGAAAGTTAGACAAAGCACACCCAAAACGTCATCATCAAGTTACCAGTATTATAAAAGGTTGTACCGCACCTGTGATTATGGACGATTAGTATAGTAGGTGTTTGATTTCTGATCCTCGAGGTATGCGTCTCGCCGAGACATAATTCTTTCCCAATTTCACTGAATCAAGGTCGAGATCTGGCCAGAGAGTTGGCTACACGGAGTAACCGGTAGGAAGCTCCCATTACAGACCGGCACTCTCATGTAAGTTGCCCAAGTCTCATCAGTCCACATGCATCTACTACTATGTATGGTACACAGTTGAGGGGTTGTAGGATGCTGCATGTAGCTCTCGTGATTGCCTAGGTAATGTCTTCCCCACACTAACCAACTTAGCCATTGAGTTACTAATCATGCTATAACACAGCCGTGGTAACATATTTCAACGTAATGGCCATACATGACCATATAGGTAATCTGTTTGTATAACGGCAAACTGCAAGCCTCGATACGCGAGCCCGAGTAGGTAATGAACTGGGCAGCTATGAATCTTTGGGGGTAAGGGCAAGGCTACCGGTAGAGACCAGAGTCACGCGGAGAATATCAGGTAGGTACTTCCACCCAGCACTGCTTCTTGAAGACAGTTTACAGGGGTTGCAAGAGTTGAAAACCAGTCTAGCAACTAACCCTTGTTTGATAGCAGTTCCTACTGGATCAAAGTACGCTATGTGGAGGTCGAGGTCATATATGCCCATCACCCTTAGTGTTGATCTACCGTGCCAAGCCTGATGTATATTTGCGCCCGAAACCTACGTGCATGTACAAGCAAAGTGTATTGGCGAGATCCCCTTTGGTCCATCAATGCTTCAACACTGGTACGCCATTTTGCCGGGTCCTCCCGTGTGCAATGACCACTTGTCTACAGATACGGCGTACACAAACAACGCTTAGAACTTGCATGGTTCTGGTACATGACCTTACCAGCAAGCCGGAGGCGGATTGTAGTAAGGAAGGGACTACAGTTCCTCGACGGATATGAATATCGATGGCCTTACTTACGTACCCCTGGTGGCTTTTGTAAGCGAAAACGAGCAAGGAAGTTTTGTAGCATCTTCCGCCTCTCCAGATCAGCATAGTGTATGCCCTGCATTGTGCCAATGAGACAATGATTCATTCTTGTCATATATCATGCAAGTGGATGGCGGTCAGTGGCAGCAACGGGGGGTTCCTTGGTCCACAGCAGAATCCATACTTAGGTAAGACCCCTAAAAACCTAAGTAGAATACCTACCACACGATTAGGAACCCTGCTTAGTAAGTACCTACCTAGCCTCAAAGCTAAAGACTCCGCAAATCTTAGATCTCAATTCTGTACTTACATACCTAGTATGGAGGACATAGTGTAGACTAACTTGGAAGCAGTTGAGTTTAATAGGGTGCTGAAGCAAGAAATCGAAAGGGATAGGAAACACACATACATAAAGTCGTGCTTGTGTTCTACTACCTACTCCTACTCTATGTTCAATAGGCAATGTTGTAGACATGCAATACTCGGCACACAACAGCAATCTCGAGTTGCTGCGATAGAGATCCTCTATCTACCGCGATCCTTGATTGCGCGCGCGCATCCGTCAGCCGTTCATGAATCTAGTGAAGATGGGAATAGGTACTTCAAATCTGTGTATACCAGTCTACTGTGTGTTGCTTTACCATTGTTAGGTACATGCAAGTACCTCATGCAGGCACTTCAGGTGGTGAGGCAGTGAGGCAGCGCCACACCTAACGCCGGAATCTTGTTTGTGCCGTTGTACCAAGCCTGTATAGTACGTAGGTTGCTAGTGGAGTCGGATACCTCCCAGTAGGTACCGTCCCCCATGCTAAAGTCGATGATGCTGATGATGGATTTTACCATTCGTATTCGTATTGGTATTTGCAATTTTCCTTAGACATCCACTTCCTCTACTTACAAGCTTAACCACAGCACTACTTGTCCAAGGACCTGGCTACCTAGGTACTCAGATAGCTAACCTCCTATCCGTGTAAGTAATTTTGCCTCTGTTTGGCTTAATCCACTCCAGATGTAGATTTGTAGATTAGGTCGGTAGGTACAGTAGGGTCGACTTACTGCTGCAGGTGGCGTACCTCCCTACATTATGTACATCTGAATCTTGGTCAACAGCCAAAAATATATCTGCTCCATCGCCCGCAACATCTCGACTATCGCACCTCGACCATTTCTTCATACTCCTTTTTACTTGTATCGACCATTCTATTCCCTCTAGTAGTAGCGTCGTCAAGCCAATTGGCATCTTCTAGCTCAATTGGTCCGAGGGTTGCGTTGGTCTGCCCGTCTTAGTTTTTCAACACGTCGACCAAATTTTCTCCCCCATCTACCTCCAATCCACAATGGGGGGTCTCAAAGAAGTTCTCTACTTTATGTTCCACCCCAACCAACTGCGCGCTATAATCCAGTGGTAAGTCAACAGTCTCTCTCAACTTCGCTTATGTTGTGCTCCCCAACACCAAGTATGGTCGGCATACTAAACCAGTATCCCTTGGTCCTAGGAAACTATGGCACGAACCTGTCCACCAGCGCGACCCTTCCAAGGAGGCGCCGACTCTACAGTCATGCTTCAAGTTCCTCAATATGACGAGCCGTAGTTTTTCCGCCGTCATTCAAGAGTTGAACCACGAAATGCTCGTACCCATTGCCCTCTTCTACCTTGTTCTCCGTGGTCTCGACACCATCGAGGATGACATGACCATCTCAGCCTCTGTGAAGGAACCCATGTTGCGCGACTTCTATAAGAACCTGAAGAAAGATGGCTGGACATTCAATGGCAATGGGCCCGACGAGAAAGACCGTGAGCTCCTAGTTCACTTCGACGACATTATTGCCGAAATGAAGAAGCTCAAGGACAACTACTTCAAAATCATCGAGGACATCACCATCAAAATGGGTAATGGTATGGCCGACTATGCTATCAATGCTGAATTCCAGTCTGGCGTCGTGACTGTTGCCGAGTATGAGAAATATTGTCATTATGTGGCTGGTCTTGTGGGTGAGGGCTTGACACGTCTTTTCGTCGAGGGTGGCTACGCAAACCCAGCCCTGCTCGAGCGCATGGAGCTCACCGAGAGCATGGGCCAGTTCTTGCAAAAGGTCAACATCATCCGTGATGTGCACGAGGACTTTGAAGACAATCGTCGATTCTGGCCCAAGGATATCTGGGGCAAGTATGTCGGCAACTGGGAGGATCTTTTCGATCCTAAATATCGTACCCAGGCTCTTCACTGTAGCTCTGAGATGGTCCTCAACGCCTTGAAGCACGCCGACGAGTGCCTCTTTTACATGGCTGGCATCAAGGAGCAGAGCGTCTTCAACTTTGTCGCCATTCCTCAGACCATGGCGATTGCTACATTGGACCTCGTCTTCCAAAATCCTAAAATTTTCAACAGTCACATTAAAATTACCAAGGGCGACGCTTGCCAGTTGATGACACAGTCAACCCAAAACCTACGTCTTGTTTGTGATGTCTTCCGGAATTACGCGAGACGGATAGCGAGGAAAAACGACCCAAGAGATCCTCACTATCTTGAGATCAGCATGGCATTGGGCAAGGTGAGCTACATTCGTCCGATGTTCCTATGCAACAAAAGTATTAACCTTTTCCACAGCTTGAACAATTTATTGAAACATTATTCCCGTCACAAGACGTGAGACGCGTGAAAGCGCTACATGCCGAACAAGCCAACCAGTCGTCATCATCAGGCGAACTCTGGGAATCCCTGATGTTGGTACTGGCTGTCGTATTCTGCTTGCTCCTTATATCAGGACTTATGGTACGTACATGAGCGCCTCTCGCCTCCATTCAGTTGATCATTTTTGCTCACCAAAATAACAGTTAGGTAGTGCGTGGGCAATGGGGGCTCGGTGGGGTCCGATGATGGGCGATGGGATCGCCTCGAAGGTCGAAGAAGCCGCCAAAATAACGGCCAAAATAACTCACGGAGAGTTATAATGTCCTTGTCCTTGTATTACTATCGGTTTATGATGCCCTTCCTACTCATGATGACGAAATTCTTTTATTTAACAAATAGTATACCGGCGTCGCAATTGGGACCTAATGAGGTCGTATCGGTCAGGGCCACAGACTAAGGGACAAGGTTTGTCCAATGCCTCACTTGTGCTTGCTACCTAGGCGACGGGTAGTAGTTATTAATGATTAATCTAACAATTTCCGGGCCTGCTTTGTCTTTACCATTGTCGTTGGTTCATACTCTACCATATCGCAATTCTAAGCTCTGAGGGAGGTGGGAGGCCCAACAAAGAAACTGCCCCCAAATGCACGGATGTCAAATTACAGTCCAGTCTCTTTTTCAATGACTGTGGCTGTGCCGAGAAGTGCTGATATCAAACAACCATCGCGAGGAGTACCGCGCCCAAGCGGCTCGTAGGCACTTGATGGTATCGAAGCCCGCTCTTTGCTAGAATATGCGGGCTTTGCCATTGAGGATCGCGAACATTTCTTGGACTCTTGTCACATTGCCATGTTCCTGGGGTTTGCCCGCTTTGGTAGCGTTCGTTCCAGGTATCTGGCCAGATGTGGTCTGATTCACAGGTGGAAGGGTGGTATGTAGGCGGGGTACGTAAATGGCTAATTGTAATGGAGATACCGCTTCAAGCGAGAATTTCTTATATCCTGGTATTCTTATTGGTCCCAATACACAACCCTGTAGATGTATGGCACCAAGACAATGTTTCAAAAGCGAGTACGATTAAGGGCACACATAAGAATGCGAATACGATATATACATATGCATCAATTGAATGCTAACTACGAATATGGTATGTGTCTAATGTATGTACTTTGGAGATATCGCTCGCTACCCGAAAGAAATCAAATATCCTTTTTTACTTTATACAGACGGTTGTGAGTCTGCTGTTAGGTACGTGGCGGCGTCCTTCGAGAACATGTGGCATCAATTGCCTCTTATCTCTATTCAGTTTCTCAAACGGCAACGTGTCGCCAGTCTTCGCTATCCCGCTGATGCAATATGAATCGCGGAATAGTCGCATATTAGGAAAGCGACTCGAGAGATTTAACCTGATTCTGTTCTCTATTTCTATTTGAGAAGGCTTGAGAGAAGATTTACAAGTTTCCATTGTTGGCGATGGCGTCGGTGGTCCCTTGCGCATTCCTACGAACGGTCGCACCGGTCGCGGCAGCGAGCTCCTTAATGCGGTTCGAGACCTCGTCGGCGGTGCTCAAACCCTCGAGGCCCATGAGGTAAGCTGCAAGTCCAGCAACGTGTGGCGAGGCTGCGATGGTGCGTTAGCAAGGTTCAGTCTTGGTGGAAGCCGCGTGACGAGACGGAAGGGTTCATGTGAAGGACTTACCCATGGAGGTTCCGCTAAGCTGCTCTGTTGCGGTGTTGCTGGTGATACCGACACTCAGAACGTCGACACCGGGTGCGTAAACGTCGACTACCGCGCCAAAGTTGCTGAAGGATGCTCGGGTATCTGTAGAGGCGTCAATCGCGCCGACGGTGATGGCCTCTGGCGCGCTGGCGGGACTCGTCCTCGCGGCATCCTGTGCTTCATTTCCGGCGGCTACGACAGGTACTACACCGGCATTCGCGACGTTCTTGATTGCGGTGTTGACGGCTTTTGACAGTCCACCACCCAGAGACATGTTCATGACGGCCTTACCGCTGACGCCCCTTTGTGCGGCATCATTCGCCACAAACATCAGGCCAGCGATGACACCCTCGTTGGTACCGCCACCATCGGCATCCAAAACCTTAACGCCAATCAGCTGGACGTTCTTAGCCACACCGAAAGTAGCACCACCGATGGTTCCTGAGACGTGAGATCCATGACCATTCTCGTCGGTGTCCTAGTCGCGGTGTAAGCTCACATATTCACGGCTAAAGGCAGTATGTGTAAGGATGATATTCATAAGAGAACTTACAGGAGAACCGTCAATAGCATTAAACTCCATCGAAGCACGTCCTTGGAATTCTTCATGGGTGGTTAGGATCCCAGTGTCAACCACGTACGCCGTGATGCCCTTGCCGGCTGAGTCGTCGAACACATAGCTTCTCCCATTGGTATTTGCATTGCTAAGACGAACTAATCCGGGGGGTGCGTTGGCCTGAGCTACCAAGTCTAGGGCCTGAACGTATTGGTTGGCCTCGACATATTCAACCATGTCCATGGCGTTAATCTCGGCAACCATGGCATCGTCACCTTCCATCGCCATTGCACGCCAGCCACTAGGCATGGCAAAAGACCGGATCGAACTCGATAATACCTGGCCTATGGTCCCCCGCTTGTTTAGGTTGCGTTTTGCGACTGTTGCCCGGATACTTTCCTCCTGGGCATCAATGTCCTCTTTGCTGAATGTGCTGTTGTACACCACAATGTACGAGTTGGGTACGATGTTTTTGGCCTCAGGGTTGCTGATAAATGCGCTTACGTCGGGGACTGATCCGGCTGCGGTGCCAAAGTTGCGGAGAGGGCCTGCCAGCGCACCCAGGGGTGCGAGGGCCAGGAGACCTGCGAGAAGGGCGGAAAAGCGAGGCGCCATCTTGACTAGACCTTACAGGTAATGTAGCTGAAGGTTTATCTTCAGCTTTGTCACAGACAAGGTGAAGAGTGAAGTATTTATAAAATTAAAGACAACAGGATCTAACGAAAGAGAAAACCTGTCGATTCTAATATGTTGACGAAGAGAATTGTATAAAACGGGATGTTGAATATATATAAAGATCGTCGGTGGCCGAGATGGGAACGGAACGGAGCGTCAACAGTCACCACAAGATTCGACCGAGAATGGAATGAATATGTATATCAATGCCGTGAAATAAATGGATGATGAGATGAAGAGAGAGAGTGACACTATCTCAAAACCCAACAGTCTCGTGTCTATCAAAGACCCTCCGAGGTGTTTCGAACAAAGAGCGGGAAAGAAATGAAGAAAGTGGGGGGAAAGAGGCTCGGCAGAAAGACAAGACAAGATGAGAATGGATAATAGAAGAACAAGAAAAAAAACAAGAATATGATCCAAAGGGCTCAGTGGTAATTATAATAGAAGTGGTGGAATTGTAGTCTATAAAGAAAAGAGCCGAATGTGAAGGCGGTCTTGGCTTGTCACAGCCCCATGGCGCTCACAGTCACATTGGCTCCCAGCATCCTGCAACTAAACCTATGTACAAAGTACCAGTGTCGAACAGTATGACATTTGTTCTAGCATGTGTATTGAGCCTACGAGAGAGCCTACAGTAGAGAATGTACGCGGCCTACATCGAAATATGGGGTAATTTGTTTGAAGAGCATGATTTGGGACGTGAATTGAGGCATGTCGTCCCCATATTTTGGAGCGGCCGACCCAAGTCAAGTGGTTCTAGTCGGAGATTCACGTCGCAGGTTGCAGGACCTCCTCCGCCAAGTCAAACGATTGGCTAGCAAAGGATCCCTGAACCTACTTATGTGCCAATAAGCTTAACTGGCTGCTACTCTCTCCTATCCAGTTGCCCTCGCTTGCCAACCCGCCAATCATCCTTGGGAAGCCCGGGTAGATCCACCTTGCAGTTGGTGGGATTGTCGATAATCATAACAAGGGCCTGTGACAGGCCGATTAGGGAAATCACAAGGGGTTTCGCAACACGCCGCGAACACTGACAGGCCAAGCGGCCAGCTCTAGAGGTCTCGGGTAACAAGAAGCGAAAAACATGCGGCAAAGACTGCAGAGGGCCAGGCGGGTATTGACGATGTTTGGCTGTAGTGTAGCGCGTATGTTTCTTTATTCCTTTTAATAGCATCTTGGATAAACCCTTATTAGCACGGATAACGGGAAGTAGTGGTCTCTTGCAGCGGAATGAAAACCTATCCGGACTGCGCCCAACGGAACATGGCTATTCACGACTGCGTTTAATGTAGCAATAGGTATTCCTCTCTCTCGTTACCTAACAATTATGGTCACGATGAATTCTAATTTAGTCGTTGTTGTAGTCAGGAGATGTTGACCGCATCGCTGAAACACAAAAGAAGCGCACTTCACGCCGTGTCCTGTTGCACCCAGACGCTCGAGCCCGCACCGTTTAGATTCCTATGTGGTACTTAGGCGGAATTTGCAACACCGAGAATTATATCGGACGGTTTGAAGCATGGAGCTACACTACCTATCCGGGTTATAATAAGAATCGTAGATAATAGCTGCAATGCATTTCTTTTCCTTCGTGCCTGGTAACACTGCGTAGGTATGCGGTGGTAAGGGGGGAAACAACTTACTTCAGTAACCGACCAATTCCCGTCCCTGGCGACGCGCCCTTGCAAAGAACCCTCCCAGCCATACCATCTTCGCTTGCACCAGTCATGATGATTGAAATGGCACGGCGGCGTTTACACTACATGTTAGGACGGGGAAGGCCTGAGGCTTGCATGCTAGTGCGTAGCAGTAGCATTGAAACGACTGGCTACGGACCCCAGGGGCGATCTCAAACAATTGTTCGGCGCTAGCACTTCACCATGTCTCGAGTTTATAATTGGCCCTATCGCTTAGGTAATTGGCCCCTTTACTCTTATACCTATTATGTACGTCTAATGCTCGTGTAGACCTCCTGAAAAGCGCAGGAAATCTCGATAACGATGTAGAAGCCGAAGTGTCGACTGCGAATGGAAGTATTCGTGCTGGATGACGTATTGGAAGCAGGTGTACGTAGTAGAGTATAGGTAGCACACGCTGGATGATGATGTGTGTGTTACTATCGTCAGGCCTTCGACATAAAATCAAGGGTGATGGTAATGGCAGGTAGCCAGCCAAGAACGCCGCCGTTTCTGTTCTTTGCAACATGCAAACAAGTCCGATAAAATCTTCAGTACGTAGCGGCGTTACAAGCCTTTTCGAACGACACTACCAGAGCGGTCGTTTGGGAGAAAGAGAAAGAGAGAGAGAGAGAGAGAGAGAGAGAGAGAGTGTGTGTGTGTGTGTGTGTGTGTGTCCTGGTCCTGCACTCCGCGAAAATCAGGAGATTCCCCTTGTCAACAATTCCCAGCGTAGATCGGGTTGATTATTCCTGTACTATGTATGTAAGGCAGCACATGCCCTCATAATGCATCATATATACCGCATCGCGTGCCTTTGGAAAGCTTGATTATCGATCGCAGCCAGTTTATAATCTGACCCGTTTGTGGTATGTCTGATGGTATACTCTATGTTTAGCGGAGTCTACGAAGCTTGAAATAGAGATGAAGTGTGCCAAGTTTGCTATGGACGCCGCGCCACTTTATATATTCTCCGTCTAGTCAGCCGCCTGTCATCTCGCCATTCATGCGTTGACATATACTAAGCTGTTGTTGGGCTTCGAAATGCGGGGAGTTGAGGTCATGTCTTTCATCATGTCCATATAATAAGTTATTATACTATAGTATAACTAGCTTACGCGGAAAGCATGTCCGTTCATGACGTTTTTCGCGCGGCATCATCCGGGCAACACCCATTAGAAGAACTTACAGTAGCAGAATATCATTTTCAAAACGAGAAATACCAAAAATTGGGAGATTCGTTGGCCAACCGCTGACAAAATGACAACGCAGATAGTAAGATTGTGATATCATTGTAAGAAAAACTTTAGACGGAAGTTCTTCATCAATCCTAAGACTATCACACGAACAGAAGAAATCATGGTGGCATGTGTGAATACGGCTGATTCTCACTCGTATGATTATCTCGCTTGCTTCATTTTCTTCTATCCCCTTACACCCCACATGCGTCTAATCTCATCTCCGAGAAGGGAAAGCTGGAGACGGGAAGCCCCGGCCTGATGGACCTTTTTCGTCTTTGTAAGTAATGAGGGCAAGGATACTAATAGCATGATTGCTTAGGTAAGTAATTCATGCTTTACGTGCGGCGATCACCATTCTTATACTTCGTAAGTAGGTACGATATGTATATACATAGTGTATCTCGCAGAGGTCATAACTAGGTACCGTAGGTAAACCTGTAGAACTCGTTCTTCGTAGAAAGGTAGCCTGGCCATACCATACCAGGAACGCGATGGAGACAGAGGTTTAGGTTAGTGGTAGTAGTTCTGCATCCATTCCACTTCTGCTCCATGTTTCACTTCCACGTAGTTATCTCTCCAGAGTGCATGTAGAGGGGATCACGAGCTATTATGGACCGTCTACCCACTGCTTGTTATTCTATCCAAGTAGTCTACCTGGAACTTACCACAACGCACACGAAGGACTGCGAAACGGAGGGAATGATGATAACCCTGATTCAACATGGGAATTTCTGGGAATCTCTGGGATACTGCCTACGCCACCACAAGTATATACGCCCCAGTACAATAGGGAAATTACTGCATGCATCCAAGTTGCGCAATGCAGTGGACAAAATGCACACATACAGGTATACTGGCTGCTGCTGCTGTTGGTGTTGATATTGATGTTACTGCCCTTGTTAGGTGAGGAGAGAGCTTTACAATTCCATGATAGTGGATCGGCCCCAAGAAATTAAACATGCTTGAGATGTAAGTAAGTACCTAGAGGCTGCATGCTGTTTCTAGATATATTAGGTAGGTACCTTAGATAGCTATGAGTAGAAGTTTCGTCAATTAGGTACCTCAATATCTACCCAAGAGGTAATCTAACCGCTAGAGCCCGCCCAAGGTACTTCGTAGATAGCACCAACCTTGCTGGGCCCGGCTCACCCCATCAGGCCTGTTAGGTACGTGTTAGGTGCCCGTTAGGTGCCTATTAGGTGCCTGTTAGGTACCTAAGGTATGGGCATCTGCCCGCTATCTCGCACCATTGAACCTCCCCCCTCGCCCCCTCCAGCCCAGAGGGTGCCTCCAGAGAGGGATGCAGCGCCAGAGAGAGGCAGCAAGACGCAAATCAGCCCAGAGTTTGATGAACCGATCAGTCAATCAATCAATCAATCAATCTCCTGCATCCTGTCAGAAACGACGAACCAGGCCGGCTTGACACGACATCACACTCTCCTGCTGCTGTCAGCGCATGGCATGTGCCCATTCCTTACTCGCTGGCCGGCCATTGTGGAATCCAGCCTAAAAAATTCCTCCCTATTGCCAGCAAATCAATGTAATCTGCATCTAAACCGTTCCAGGTGAAGAATTTCAGACAGCCAGAGACAAGACACGGAGACGGACTAACCACTACGTATCCCGTCTACACCATTCTACGCCATATCGCTGCCGTGCTCATCCACTTTCCCGCCCTATCTTGCCATTGTCTGCCTGTCAATCCGCAACCTCGCAGGACACGCGACCACGCCTCGTCCATTTCCAGATACTGAGATACTGAGATACTAAGATAGGTAGATACAGTACTTACATCCCGACCGACTCGGGCACCCGATCGCCAAATACCATCCAGCCCAACCTTATCGATTGGCACTTTCTCCCTCTTGGTCGTTTGCAATTCCATCATCTCTACACCACCATCACCACCCCCGTACATCTGCCACTGGTGTTGCCTGCTACCGCCGATCCTGATACTGCTGCTCTCAGCACCCCTCCGTCCACTCCCAGTCCAACATTCGTGTGTCTAGATTTCCTACTAGTGTGTTATTTGGGCTTGGCTTACCTTGCATCCTGCCGCTGCCGTTCATCTGCCCCGACGCCGGGGATTAGGCCGAGGCTGCCTCCACGAGTATCGCTCCTGTAGAGACATTGGCATGACCCCCGAGCCTTTCAGAGCTGGTCGCAATCAACCGAGTACTCGACGTTATGGCGATGGCCGTGAGGGAGCCCACCGTATTTCCGCCCGAAGATGTTGTTGTTCGTGACACCTTCGACCCTCCATTTACAAGAGAGCCGTACATTCCACGAGATGTTACTATTGACCGGAACCGTGATGTCGAGGCCAACGATGACGGGGATGATGAAGGAACTGCTTCTGTAGAGCTAGCCGCCATCATGACGGCTACATCAACTCCTGTGACGCCCGGACCCTCGAGTCCGCCACTTGAGCCACCAAAGTCTGCCGACTTCATTCCGCCGACCCGACCCAGTAGCACGCCTTTTCCTAATGCGCAACAAGGTCCATCCGAGATTCGGTGCTTAACCTGTCAACCCGCCTGCTTTGACCCCGATGTGCGGCGGCTACAAGACCCAGTTAGCACAGCCACCATCGACGAGCTTCCGATCCTAACCCTTACTCAGCTGCCGGCGGAGATTCACGAGTGCATATTAGATCACATATTCGGCTACCGAGTATCTACGACTTCGCCAAGCTCCTTGAGCATACCCAGCGTCAACGCCCGAAGTTGGAGTACTGCGCTACGTCATTCAAGAAGAAAGGAGTTGTCCAACCTTGCCTTAGTTAGCCAGCTGTGGCGTGATCTGATCCAGGAGCGACTGTACCGACATATCAAGCTCAAGGCAACCGTATCAGCCGCTCACGATGTCATGACCCATTTTGTACAGCACACTCACTTGAGTGCTTATGTCAAACATGTCGAGATTTGGTTCCCTGTCTTCCAGCCCAAATTTCACCATCCAGTCCTAGAAGAAGGCTCATTAGCCTTACCTACCGTTTCACCCGAAGGAATTGCTAGTGCCACCTACGGTTTACCTACGGACAATGCCACCATGGAAGAAGTCTTTTCACTTGTTCGTATGACATTCCCTGAAGCACGTGTTATGACTCTCGAGGGTGGGGAGAGGAAGAAAGCACCGCGGGTACGCTACAGTACTCCGGGTTCAGGCTCTGCCACGGGAGATGGAGATCTACCTCAAATTCCTAGTATTCGGACCCTCATTGTTAAGGGTCAATGGAATATTATACGGCAGCCTAAGGACTGGGAGAATATTTCAAAAGCATTGCCAAGCCTTGAGGAATGGCATGGCACATATGCTAAGCCTAAATCTAAGAGCTACCTCAGTATGGCCCATACTCTAGATATATTGGATCATAAGATCACTAAGCTCAACCTTTGTCTGGAGTGTGATTATCGAAGAGAAATCACCTGTCCTCCTTACTACCTTAAAGTGTGCGAACAGGTGCACTGGTGTGAGAAACTGGCAAGAGCTGCAATCCATCTCGAGCACCTTTCATATACGGGCCGCATCTGTCATAGCTTCTTTGACATTCTAGCCCGATACACAAATCCACGAATGACCAGGCTGAAGACAATCGACATCACTGTCAAGAACTGCTGTCGGCAGAATGCACAATGGAACGAATCTGGCTCGGGTATTACCGATATGCACTTCATTGGTGCATTTGAGCAACTTGTCTTAAGCGGCATCCGCGCTCTAGAAAGACTCAAAACGGTGGACTTGTTACGGATTCGTTACGTTGATCTTGGTATGTACCCCTGCTCTCTTGAACCTGTCATCCAGATAGCTGTCATACTAACTGTGAAACTACAGACTCGCCAGTTCCGCCCTTGAACCCTTACTTTCTAGTACGAGATGGCTGGTGCTCCGGCGTCTGGAGCGAGCAAATACTTGAGGAAATCCATCGTGTGCGACCTAATATTCGCTTCAAGGAAATAGTCGATAGTTTTGGGGAAGTGGGTTACAACAAGGAAGGACGCCTCATAATCAGTCCGGATTTCCCCAAGTCCCGAGTGCTATCTCTCAAACTAGCCAACTATGCTATGCTTGCCGGAGGTATAACCATTTTATGAGCAGCATCAGTGAACCTCTCAAAGCAGGGTGATGAAGTGACACAGTAGCATGTGTGATAAATGACAACAAAGACCAACAAGACGATCACATGTGCGCATTCAGCAGCTCGATACGCACTTCTTGACGTTGACCCTTATTAGGGTCCCATCATAATCCTTTCCAGACATTTATTGGCGTTTCGAGTTGCATCCTATACCAACCACGACGCACAGCTGGACTGCATTTCGGGCTAGCGTCGGTTAATTGGCTTTCGCTCAGGAAAACTTATTACGTTGCTGAAGAGGTACATTCAGCCTTGTTTTGTCTTTTTGATGTTTTTTCCCTGCACATAATACCCAATACGATAATTGTTCAAGGCGTTATAAGGCTGTACAGGGACACTGGGGTCCATGATGAAAGGGGTTTACATGACCTAGATGTTTTGGCAGCGCTGAGATGAGGAAACCTGATCACAAGCTTTCCATTCTCGGGTCTCTATACAAGATAACAGCATTCAAATGGCAGTATACGAAAGTGATGATAAATAGACCATGTTTCTTCAACTGCTGTTTGCTATTAGCTCATATTATCCTTACATACAGTTGCTGTGTGACTAATCAATATTTCCTATACAAGGAATTTATAGATCATCTATAATTATTCCCAAGATGAAGCAGTTTACAGCAAAGAAGATGAGGGAAGACAGCCATAGGCCCGGTAGGAACGTGCTCAACCCTAGGAACTCGAGGTTGTAGCCTTGCTGGAGCCACAGACCCTGCGCCAGAACCCAAAGCCCAAGTGCAATAACGCCCAGGGCGGGTTTTCTTAATAGGGATGAATTTGGAAGGTAAAGTGGGAGGAAGACTATGTACCATAAGAAATACTTGCATCATCGCATGTTCATCAGCAGAGGACATAATACATAGGTTAGGGTGAAGAAGCAAAAGCCACAGAGAAAAGGGGAGGCAGAGACTTGTTGCGTGGCAAGCGCGAAGAGGCGATGAGATAGAGGACGTACCTGGCTTGTGCACACCTTGTTGAAAGTCACGAAGGCAAAAGTCTGCGCCATCATAGTCGTGGCGAGGTCCTTCTTGGCACCGATGAGGGGTATCAGTATGGTTGAGAGAAGCAGCTGCGGTGCGAAGGCGATGGATTCAATCTTGATAGCCCATGCGTGATGAGGCGCTGGAGATACCAATTCGGTGGGAGGAGAAGACGATGACGATGAAGTCAGGTATAAGAGTACGTTGTAAGGGCTGAAATTGTGACGGTGGTCAATCCGCGTCACGTGGTGCAGGTACGTGTGCGTTACGAACGGCATTCCGTAGATGGCGTACATGATGAGGTTGAGACCTGCGAAGGTAACGAGGCTGGTGAGGACTAATTGGATGCGTTCTGGTGTTACGAAAGCGGTGATTCTCTTTAAGAATGTTGAAGGACGCTGCTGCTCCGATTTGCCCCCGTCTGTTACATCCCCCTTGGCTATTTCTTTACTCTTGTTTTCGTCCGCAGCAGGATTAGTAGTCATAGGCGTCATGTGCTCGCTGTCCATCCACCACACAACAGCAGGCGCGTAGATGAAGGGGTAGATCTTGAAGTGCACCCCGAGCCCCAGGAGAACCCCAGACAACACCACCCTCCTCTCCATCACGGCCCATAACAGCGCCGTGACCAGTACGCCTAAGAGCCCTTCGGAACTGCCGCGCGTGCTGATGGTGGCTACCATGGGGTTCAGAAGCCAGATGCTGGCGAACCTGCACGCTCGCTCGAGCGGCATGTGCATGTGGCTCTGCAGCGTACGGATGATCAGATAGCCCGCCAGGAGATCCGCGGCGGCGAAGAGGACTTTGCCGAGCGAGAAGCAGAAGGCGCCGGGAAAGGTCGTCGGGTACAGAAGCCATGCGAGCAGCGGCGTGTATCTGTACGTCTCGCGCTCATATGGCGAGGCGGGTGCTGTTGAAGAGGTGAATGTGAAACGCGCTGCGTCTGTGAATACTAGATAGTCGATGTCGGTGTATTTCACGGGTGAATTGGCGTCTTGCCATAGCCCGTATAATAGCATGCCGACGCGCAGCAGGGCCGCTGAGGCGAAGAGCGGGGTTGGCCGCGATATCAGCGACGACATGTTGATGGCCATTTTTTGTGCGAATGTTGGAGCTTTGGGTCTGCCATGTGCTGAGTCTGCTTTGGCTTTATACACGTCAGGGGTTTGAACCCCTATGTGCTGTGGATGTATTGACGTATTACTTTGTCGAGCAACTCAGCTTATTTCGATTCGTATTTAGTGAAAATTATATACATAGGGCATTTCAGGATAGAGTCCTTAGCAATGGCGAGGCGGAGAGGAAGAGGTTGAGGTTGAGGCTATCGAATGTTATGTCGATGTCGATTTGTGTGAGTATAGAGATGATGTTACGCAGAAGAGAAGACGCTTCAACTGCGAGCAGCTGGTCTGCCCCACCTTCCCTTGTGTGACTGCCAATCATATTCCTTGCGTTGCCTTCTTCGACTGGTATCAACAGACCCAACCACCCCCACCACAGTAACAATCCGACTTGAAGATACTATCGTGTACCATAATCTGTATCTAAAGTAGTATGTCTGAGGTAATTGTACCGAAAAGAAAACACAGCGACATGGGAGCCGGCGTCAAGAGAGACTACCAAGGCAGAGAAAAGGCCAAGAAAGACGTAGGAGCAGACCAGCCCCGCAATGCCTACACCTCGATGTTTGAGACCTTCAGAGATGAACTCGATGAGCATCATGACCGCCGGAACAGGATCGGAAAGGTATCACGGGATGTCACAGCCCTTAGCAAGAAGATGTAAGTCTCGCAATGCAATTATGGCAAACAGAAGATGCTGACTTTTATCTTTTCTTCGCTAGCATATTCTCGTTACAACGGTATGGTGTTATTTATTCTATTTGCTTTCATGAGAAAACCCATTCTCTCATATGATCACAAACGGCAACCGAGGCAACTCATTCTATTTGTATAACGTCTTATACTATGACCGAGATGCTAACACGCCTCAGCGTCCGGAAACTCTCCCAGCCCATTCCACAGCACATCCAGTCAGAGATTGACGGACGCCTGAAGGAGATTGCCGAGCTTCTCGAGACCATCCAACCCGATGTGCAGGGCATGAATCGCCACCGGTATCCTCTATTTTGCCTCGAAGAATTCGTTGAAGCAGTGTCCTTCGCACACTACTTGCACCACCAGACTCTCATGACGCCTACCGCGGCGCAGGACGCGCTCCCAGCCGACATTGAACTGACAGCGCCCGATTATGTCTTCGGTGTCTTTGATCTCACGGGAGAGATGATGCGTTTCGCAACATCGGTCACCGCGCTGACTGGGAGTATGCCCACCGGCGAGACATCCCGAAAGAGCAGCAGCGAAGCCCGGAATGAGGACGAAGAGAGTGTCCCGAAGAGATCGATATTGGCGGACATGCAGGACGTTAGTTCGATGCTGCAGATCTGCCCGACGGTGGGGGGCAAATCCGGCACATATGCCAAGAAGCTCAGCATTATGATCGAGCAGGTGCGCAAGGTCGAGCGTCTGGGTTATGGCCTTGCGGTCCGTGGCACGGAGCGGCCCAAGGGGTGGATGCCTGATCTCAACGAGGGGTATTCCGGCGGGGGAGATGGAGATGATTTTGGCACGGCGGACTGAGAGATATCTAACTTGCTTCTTCTGCGCGCTTTATCTTTATCTTCTCACGCTCTGCCCCAGTTGGATTCTGTGTGCCAGGACTTGTTATAATCTCTCCATGTTGTACGTTCTGTATCAGGTCTGACTTGCAGGATTCGACTTCACTATTGGTGGAAATGGCGTTATTTGGAACTTCAAAAAAGGAAGTGAAAGTACCTCAAGACAGTCTTCATATGGCGTACTATTCATTCGCAAGTAGTTATAAGTAATGACTCATAGATTTTTGTGATAATATTGTTACGACAGACTAGGGGGGAATGTGAATGAGCATAAGGCTATACATTTCTGCTAGGGGCGCTCCGTGATCTGTTTTTTAGTAGGTGGTTAACAGACTATAGGCTATGAGATTTGGCAGATTTGTCGGGAATGGCTATACCACTGCTTGCTTTCCAGAAGTAGTTCGCTTCCAATGTTCTATATCTATATATATGTGGATGGGCGGAAAGTGATGAGAATATCTTATGATCCGACTCTTCAGCAGCAAGCGTGACTAACGCTATACAAGCAGTGCCCGCTGGACAGTGCATTCCTAATTACACTGGTTGAATAGACTGCTCCTGCTCGAGGACGTCGAAATGGTGTATGTTCATGATTAGGTGAATACAGGATAGAAAGGGGGAGTGGTAGTGGGAATTTATGAGTGGTAACGTTACTTGAAAACAAAAGCTGGATGCAAAAGCAAATTCATATTTAGATTCTGAACCAGTAGAATGAATGATTTAAATATATGTAGAAATACTGGGTAAAAGTGAGAGTAAAAGCAATTGCCAAGTCAATATACTCGTATGAGGCGTGTGTCATCTAGGTATTTTCTTGAGCTCGATTTACTTAGGTATTCATCTTATGGTCACCTATTGCATCTATCCTACTTCTTTGAAGGGTAGATGGGTACTCACATATCATATCATTCACAGGTACACTTGTAAGTATACATTTTCATGTATGGAGCATTAAGGCATGTAAGTAGGGACTTTTGCTATTTTGACCCCCTCTTCATGTCTTACCTCCAGGGCTACCTGTGGACGTGTAGTCTCAGTGGTAGGTGTACCTAGTGCCCTAGCATTGTGACCTAGCGAGCTCCTCTAGGTACCTACCTACCTAGGGAGTAGGTAGGTGGTGACTGTAATGGATCTTGCCCTCAGCTACCGCCTAAATTTAGGTATACTCTGCCGCAGATTTGGGGTCTCACCCCCCAGACAGCGCTCAGCTCCAAGGAGACAGCTGAAGTTAAGAATCCCTACCACATGTAAGGCTACCTACCTGGTAAACTAACCATCAACAACGCCACCACTATTGAAGAGACAGTTGATCAAAGCCGCCCATGCGACCACTCTGCCGCGTCAGCCGTCATACGACACTTATTTGAAGGACGCTCGCGGCGCGATCACAGGAAAAGAAAAGACGGATAAGAGAGGGGAGAGAAGAGAAAGTCGGGCAGGGAATAAGAAAAGAAAAACCAAAACAGATCCAACATCAACGACAACCACCACGACAACCGTATAATAGGGGCAAAACCCTCGACTGCCAGTTTCTTAGGCCGCCGCCTATGCTGCCGTTCACTATCGCATCATAGCATTCTTCATTTTACGGTCCTGGTGTCGGCCGCCATGACCCTCGAGCATGGCCTCGTCGTTGCCCTCGACCACTGCAGTCGCATCAACACTCACTCGGCCTAGGGTAGCTATTGCCTTAACCTCGGCCATCGCCGCCGTTTCTTTGGGGTATTACTATTATTGTCGCCAGTCAGCCGAGCAATATGACTATTTTGACGACGCATCTGGCCCTCGTCCCGCTTCGGGTCCACGCCTGCACCGTCGCAACGCGCTGCGACGCCTCCGCCGTCCTGTGCCAGACGACTCGTCAGGCTCGGAATCTCATGCTGATGACCCTGGCGACGCTCCCGAGTTTTCAATCACTCCTCCCGTAGACGAGACCGCCGCCGCCCCTGCCTCGATCCCTATCCCCATCTCAGACGACCCTCGACAAGCCGAGCAGTCTGACGAGTGGTACAACGATACATCCCCGCCCGTACGCCAGCGCACTGGCGAAAACATAGTCACGCTGCTGTTCAGAGTGTCCGAGGACAATGCGCGCCGCAACGCCTACGTCCACCGTGGCTGTCTGTGCAACGGATGTGGCATGTTGCCTATCCGCGGCATTCGTTATCGCTGTGCTAACTGTCCTGATTTTGACCTTTGCGAGATGTGCGAGTCTCAAGGCTCTCATAACAAAGCCCACGTCTTCTACAAAGTCAAAGTCCCGGTGCCGTCTTCGGCTGCAAGGCATGTACAGCCGCCGTGGTATCCTGGTGACCCAAACAATGTTCCGCAAAACCTACCGAGACATCTGCTTACCAAGTGGTCCCACGAGACTGGATTCGAACGCGTTGAGCTAGATGCTTTATGGGAGCAGTGGACTTTTATGGCCAATACGGAGTGGAGAGAGGACCCTAACCATCTCTGTCTCGCCATGGACCGTAAGACCTTTGAACGCTGCTTAGTGCCCACCGCCGGTTATCGTCATCCCGCTCCGAACCTGATACATGATCGCATGTTTGCATTCTACGATACCAACCACGACGATCTCATCAGCTTCGAGGAGTATCTGCACGGCGTTTCATACAAGAGACGGAAGGACAAACTGAAGAGGACCTTTGATGGCTACGATGTTGACGGTGATGGCTACGTTAGCCGTCGTGACTTCTTACGCATGTTTCGAGCCTACTATGTATCCTATAAACAGATGCACCGGGATACAGTGGAAGGCCTGGACGATTACATGATGACCAATGTCGAGGTTCAGCAACTTGTCAACGGAAGGCAACCTATCAGTAGTCTATTCGGTCGAGATCAAAGGATCCCAGATGCTGAGGGGGGCCGCACAATGGATGGCAAATTCTTTCGATCTGGGGGTGAAGTTGAGGTCCCGGACGGCAAAGGTGCCGTGAGCGAAGACCAGCCTGACACAGCTAGCCGGGAGGCTATACTTCGGGAGCTATTCACGCGGAACAGCAATCAAAGCCTCTTCACCGAGTCTTTTGGTTCTTCCTCTCGCAGACCTCATTCTCCAGCGAGAGATACGCACTACTGGTCAGGTATCCTCAATCCCCCTCGCAGTACTGTTGACCTAGCTTCGTTGCTTTCCGGCGATCATGCCCAACTCGATGAAATTTTAGATTCAATCCGCCAGCAAGAACCCAGGGTCTTCTTGGCTGATGATGGGGAGAGTGCATCTTCTGACGAAGACTATCAGAGCACGGCCGATGATCACATGGAAGAAGAGAGTGGTATGGGTCCCCACGCTGTTGATGACAGTGGACACATTGCTATATCTCCGGGACCACCTGATGCTAGGGAATTCGTTAGTGGACTACCAACAGAAATACAATTACAACCACAGCAGGACGCATTCGCCAGCCCGCAACTGCTGAACTTCGACAAACGGAAGCGAGTAATCGCACGTAAGCAGCTTTACGAGCGGTGGAAGCGACGACAATTTTATTTAGACGAGGAAGAAGGAGCCGTAGCCCCTCAGGGATGGAGAGACGAGCAAGACATCCTGGCTACCGTTAATGACATTACAGAGCCTTCAAAGTCGGTTCCACCTCTTCTGTCTCCTAGATCCCGGTCATCATCCAAGGTGCGCTTCGCTGAGGACACAGACGACTTCGAAATTAGATCAAACCCTTCTACATCTTCACGTAGCGTGCCAGAGCGCTGGGGTGGCATGGAGATCCCAGATGCTGAGCGAGACGCTGGAAAAGAAATTCTCTACCAGGTCACACAACAGGCATTCAATGAGCTATTGGATTCGCTATTCAAGAAGAAGGAAGACCTCGCGGTACGCGCCGCGGAGACTAAAGAACTACGAGAGAAACACCGCCAGCTTCTCGACGCTTTCGAATTACAGGACGAGATTGATGATGGGCAATCGAGAAAAGAATCCCCGGAACCGCCTCCGTTTCGATCTTCACTCAATAGACAGCCAGTCCACCAGCAGAGTCTCCAAGAATTACTAAATACCAGCGGATATACTGTCATGGGGTCAGATGTTAACGAAGAAACACATGATCAGTCTGTTGCCACGCTTTCAACTAGCCAATCTACAGTGGCTTCGTCCAACTCTCGCGATCCCACAATGCCACAATTCATGCCTAACAGCTCGCCACAAATGGTAAGCGAGACTTTTGTGCAAAATTCAGGTAGTAACAATCAGAAGCGCTCAACCTCAGTGCCCAAGACATCAAAGTCATTCAGTGGCAGCCAGGAAGCAACAGAAGCCCAAACAGGGAGACCAGATACACCAAATCATATCCCACGTTCAACACTAGCCTCTTGGAAGGTGCTTGACGAAGCCGAGCAAGAGGCCAGAGAACGAGGTGGGTGGGGTCGCCTTAGCTATGCAGAGTTCGAAGAAATCTATAGGGAACACGAATTCCAGGATGGAATGAAAAACAGGCTGGCATACCTAGGTAGCTGGATCGATTTCTGTATTCCATCATAGAGCGAGTGACCAATACAACGTTCGCGCGACTTGTTCGCAAGATTCCTTGCTAGTGACAACAGGGACGCCCAGTTACACGCTCTGCATGTTTACTCATGAGAAAAGCACCCGTATGTGGATGGCTTATATATTGAACAGAAACTTGTATACGATCAAATTTCATTCAGCTCAGCGAGCAGTGTCAAGTAATTTTGCATACAATCTAGCGTCAGTAGTAATAACTGATTCCCAAAGCTTTCGCGACTTAGGTGTTCCCAGATCACGTAATGATAGTTCTCCCAGCTGAGATTATAAATCATAGGTATGATGTATGTGTAGATAAAGAGCGAAGCTTTATGCCACACACTAACAGATAGGAATGCGACGGCAGGGCTTGGGCCCGCCCCCCCTGCATCCGCAATGCAATGACGCGATGATGCGGATATTTGGAAATGCCGCGATAGCTCTCCGCCGCCAGCGGTATTCCATCCTGTGCAGGGTAATTAACCGGGTACGTTACTAGACTTCTGTTTCGATAGTTTTTACTTGTTCTGATACCCCACGTACGAAACCAACCCTCATATTTGTCACATACACGCAACGTGCTTAGCGATCGCAATGAAAGAAGCTATTGTTAGCAAAGGTGTGGTCTTGAAAATCTCCGGAAAAGTGGGAGAGCACCCCTAGGCTAATTAATGCTATTCAGGACCCAAGGTCGAAATCATCGACTCGCCGATCCCCAAGCCGGGGCCAGACCAAGTCCTGATTAAAGTCAATGTCAGCGGGTCTAATCCCAAGGACTGGAAGCTTCCTCTATGGATTGGTTCTACGCTGAACCAGGGGGATGATATTGCTGGCATTGTTGACCAGGTGGGCGAAAACGTCTACGAGTTCAAGCCCGGTGACCGCGTGGCCGCTTTCCATGAGATGACGACACCGCATGGTTCCTACGCCGAATATGCTATAGCTTGGCAACATACGACGTTCCATATCCCCAAGCACACTAGTTTTGAAGGTGAGTTAAAACCAGTGTGAAAGGAATAGCTACCTGAAGTGAGAAGTGAAGTATCGCTTCCGTAGAGCAGGCCAATCCTCTCAACATGCACTCTGTTGGCTAATACGAGATGGCAGAGGCTGCTGCCCTCCCCTTAGCCGCCATGACATCGGCCTTGGGCTTGTATCTTCGCCTCGGACTGCCGCAGCCCTGGGTGCCAGCCACGGAGCCAATCCCACTAGTTATCTACGGCGCGGCGTCGGCCGTAGGATCCTACGCCATCCAGCTTGCGCAAAAGAGCAACATCCACCCGCTGATCTGTGTCGCGGGCCGCTCGAGCGCGCACGTCGAGAAGCTCATCGACCGCAGCAAAGGGGACGTGATTCTAGACTACCGCGAAGGCGGCGACGCTCTCGTGGAGAATCTGAAGAAAGCCGCGGATGGCCGGCCCCTGCTCTACGCTTTCGACGCAGTCTCGGAGAAAGGAAGCTATCTCAACCTGAGCAAGGTGCTCGCCAAGGGCGCGAAAATCACCCTCGTTCTACCGTTGAAGGACTATAGTGAAATCCCGGAATATATCGAGCACTATCTGACCAATGTAGGCGCCGCGCATAAAGACGCGAAAGACTTTGGATATGTCTTCTTTCGCTATCTGGCCCGTGGCTTGCACGAGGGCTGGTTTAAGCCCCAGCCGCAGGAGGTTGTGCCTGGTGGCTTGGGTGGCGTGCAGCAGGCGCTGGAGAATCTGATGAATGGAAAGGCGAATGCGGTGAAGTACGTTTTTAGAATCTCGGACACCGAGGGGGTCAGTTAGGAGATTTGTGAGCAATGGCTCCCTTCTCCGAGACCTAATCCTCCGTTACCCGTTGAAACCATGGCAGGCTAAGCAAGACCTTGTCAACGAAAGTTTATTACGGACAATGAATGATCGACTTGCAAGAACTAGAAACGGTATTCTTCGCTATATGGAAGCTACACATGTGATGAAATTATATATCAATTTGTGAAGTGTCTCTCGAGCGATGTTATACATGTTGTTTCTGTTTATACAAAAGCTAACAGCATGTACACAGCCTCATGATATTATGATAGTTAATAGAACTAGTATGTTCGATGAAATTTTGTAACATGGATGGCGCGGGTTTTAGGTGCTTCCATCGGCACAAGGGGAAGCACCAGTCATTTCAGACGATTTTGAGGCACTTTATTCTCTCTTCGTTATCCGAAGCCAGAAGTCGTCCACGGCCCAAAAGACAGCACTCGAAGCCTTCATAGGCGCTTGGGGGTTCACAATGGCAAAATCATATCGCTGCAACAATTCGACAAAGATCTTGTTCAGCTCCATCATGGCGATGGGCTTTCCAAGGCATTGGTACTTGCCGAAGCCGAAGTCGAGGTCTACCACGGCGTTCATCCTCCTTACTCGGTCTGCGTCGGCCTCGAGCCATCGCTCAGGTCGAAATGTGTCTGCATCAGAGCCCCAGACCTCCTTGGAGCGCATGAGTCCGAAGAAGTTCATGCCGATCTGCGTCCCTTCGGGTACGTAATGCCCGTTGATGATGTCGCCGCCCTCGGGAACTTGCTTGCTGCCTAGTCCGAGAACGGGGGGGTAGAAACGAAGTCCCTCTTTAATCACGGCTTGTAGGTACGGCATGCTTCTTGATTCGGAGTCGGCAACTGGGCTGCTAAGCTTCCCAGCAGAGAGAGCTGCATCTATCTCGCGTTGCAGAGCCGAATAGGCTGAGGGATTTGTGAGAAGACACTACAGTTTATCGGGGTCAGTACGTCATCTTTTTGAGTGACACGTGGATAGTGTGAGAAGTTCTGCGTGCACCCGAGACATGCGTAATCTGGCCGAAGGGGAGGGCTTGGCTTTAGGGGTAACATACGAGCAGAGTCATGCAGATTGCCGTCGTCGTCGACACAGAGCCAGCAATTCTATTAAAATTACGTGCTTAGTTTCATAACACGGACGGATAAATCCCAGTCGCCCACGCCACCTACATTTGAACAAACACCTGTTGTGTTAACTCGCTCTGCGTCATCCCATTGTTAATGAAGGCTTGCATCATGTCTTTCTGGGGCGTTGCACCAGGAGCCAGCCGTTTGTCAACGACAGCCTTAACGAGCCTGAATGTTATTAGCTATCTGTCTCGCCGTGATCGACGAGTGGTTTTTTGAGGGTTCTTACCCCATCAAACGGCCAAAGCCAACCCTATCTCCTTCTCTAGGTAGCAATTTCCTGAATGGCCATTTATGCAAAACGTTAGCCAACCACGGCATAACCGCTACGATGTTCAACACGGGCAATGCATCGTCGTTAATCTGATGGTATTGGTATAGGTCCGTATCTTGGCTCAGATAGCCAAAGGCTCCGCCGAAAGCTGCAATATTTAGAGTCAGTCGTAACTATGTCAATGGCGATTTTTTTTTTAAAGTAGCGTGTCGGCCTCGTGCGAGGCGGATATCATAGTAGTATTCTAGGTATACTGTGCCGAAATGATTTGAATAGGGTCGAACTCACAGATGTCGCCTATGACATCTAGGGCAAAGAATGATATTTTCTGAAAGAACTGCACGGGCCGATACTCGATTGTGGTGGACAAATATTTGGTGTCAATAAGGTTCATGAGTGCCAGAATCTGCCGATCGATACCTGCGCCAAACCCGTAACCTTCATTTTCCTTGCCGCCATACTTGAAGGATTACACCGGTCAGGCCAAACAGAAACTCGTCATTGGCAGGTTATGCCGAAAAGCAGACTTACGGCGGTTCCCATCTTGGCCCTGAGAGCGCGGTGCGCTTCCTCGTTACGAAGCGAGACAACATTGTCATCCTCAGGGGTAATGCGGCCAGTCTCGTAGAAGACACCCTTCGTATACAGCGAGCGAACGGCGGACATCTTTCGCAGAACATCGGGGTCGGTTGAGAGAAGCTCATTAGGGCCGATGCGAGCGAGTGGGCCTACCAACCCGAATCAGCCGTCATTTTTCTTTTGCCTCGGTGTTGACAGGTCCTTGCAGCCGTACCATAGACCTCGGCGACATGGTGTAAGTGTTGGTGGAATGCCCCGGTAAGGGATTTCCGGACCATCCATAATGAAGTTAGAGAGGCCAGTGGCGGGCCTGGTATGTTTCGTAAACGCTGCCACGACCAGAAGCCATGGGCAATGACAAGAAATAGACATAAGCCAAACCCGTATAAAGCCAGCGTCGTAGGTGCGAGGGGCGGTACGATGGCCGCGAGACCCTCTATCGTTCCCATGCTGAGTTCACGTCGGACTCAATGGGTTAATATTACTAATATCTACCGTTGATTGATGTCGCCCTTGTGCGGTGCTGTAACCCAACTGTGCGACCACAAGCTGGCAAGGTCGGAGCCCGACAGGGCGGTAACGGCTCAGGATCACGTCTAACAGATCGCGGCGACCAGGACAGTCAGGCAGGCTCGGAACCATGGAAACACAGACTTGGGACAAACGTACCGAATAATGAGTAAGGCAGGGCAATCGGTTAATAACGCCTGTCAGCCTATAGGTAGGTTTTATGTAGCTTGTCACTCTCGCTACAGGGTTGTAACCATCTATATACAGGTTGATCTGAGGTTTGACATTGGAATTGCTAGGAGGAAGAGTAATTTTTAAACCACAACGCTGGTAACTGACCAGGGTTTACCAAGTCTTACCAAGTTATGCCAGATTCAGCCAGGTCACTGGCTGCTGGGATGCAGCCACTCCAGATCTTTTGGATACCTACAAAGCGATGGATTCTGGGCGCGGTTCTATTGGTACGTTAGTCCCATAGCTCTCACATCTCATATCTATGACACCCAGCTGTACCATATCTGGTTGGCATAATCAAGTGAGCTGCATATGGTGGCGTTGCCGTCTTTTCTGCGCTATTGAATCAGGTTTACTGTAGTGCATAAACACAGCTATCACCTCTCTTACATATCGGTACTTAGGCAGTGCTCCGGTAGCTCGGGTAGGTCGTAAAAGTGATCATCGGCGGGCGATTGTGGCGGGAGTGGCGTCATCTCAGTCTGACCTTGAGCTCTTCACTACGCCGTAAACTCCATTCGAGTACCGGTATTCGGCTTCGCTCGATAACAGGTACCGGTAGTGACACTGTTTAGTAGCATGTCTACGCACTCTTTCAAATTTGAACAGGTTAATACAAGTGCCCTGCGAATGAACGAAATTGTCTCTTGAGCGCCAGTGTTGCTACAGCCTCAGCGCCTAGACTCAGCTCACCTACCTAGCTCACCTGCCATGGTGAGACAGTATTATCTACGCATTCACTAGACGAGACATACGTTGTACGTCTGTATTCGAGCTTGAACAGCTCTTGGCATGGGGATGCTAGACTAATGACGTACAGCCGTGTTCCGAACGACAAGACATGGTCCCGAAGCTTAAACATCATTGGATCCAAGGCAGTACCAAGGCTGTGTTACCAGTCAGCCGTCCTCAAGTTCTAGACAATAAGACCCCGCAACTGAAAGAAAAGTACCTAGACAAAAGCAAATACACCCAGAAAAACGTAGGGACCACGAAGGGCCCTGATGTACCGGTACCCTGCAGTAAAGTGCCGTACTGGGCGCCGAGAAGGTAGATTCAAGTACTGGTAGGCGGCATATGACATGACCCAGGTAACACGACACCTGGAGACTGGATATTGAGAGAAAACTCGGAGACCGTGCCCAGGTGCGGCTCGATGTTATCTGTTAATAAATGACAATCTCGACGGGGTTTCATATAAACATTAGTATCGAAGCGTCTGCCGCACGGACTTTTCACCTTGTCGAGTTGAATCGATAGCTCCCATCGAGGACCGTTAAACGGCACGTATACTCCAGATAACGCAGGAGCGCGGTCTCCGCCTATCATACCGATACTTGTGATCACGACCAGTGTCGAGGAAGACCGTCGAAACCAACGGTATCTAGTCCTGTACTGGCACGGCACCTAGCATCATGGAGCGTGAAACTCTCGGTGAGACCTACCCAGCTCTCTACTCCTTTTACAACGAACTACGTTCTGACTGAATCACGCGGATGCGTTGTTTTAGACCGCAATGTCTCGGAGGCAAGTGACATGATGGCTCCTACCTCTGACGCCATGGATATGGAGATGGACTCAGAGGATGTTACGGCCGTCATCGAGGCCGGTGGCACAGATGAGGAGGGCGAGTTCTCCTACAGTGACTATGACGAAGAGTCGATGGCCGATTCTGCTTCTAGTATCGGCTCGAGCATCTATCAACATAGTTTTCACAATGGACGGCGGTATCACAGGTTCAGGTACATCACTACCTTATTGGAATCAAGGATCACACATACCCGAAGGCTTATTCGGTGGCAACGACTGATCAGTCCGCGTTAGATACGGTCGATATCCCATCCCGAACGATGACATCGAGCAGAACAGGGAAGACATGCTGCATGCAATGATGCTCGAGGCTACCAATGGGCAGTTGTTCTTCGCTCCTATCCCACATAATCCTCAAAGGATCCTCGATTTGGGCACGGGCACTGGGATCTGGGCTATTGAAATGGCTGGCAAATACCCTTCGGCTGATGTTCTAGGGCTGGGTATGTGATGCTCTCCGATCTACACCTGGAGCCGGCTGGATGCTCATGATAGAATTGATCGCAGATCTAAGTCCAATACAGCCAATCTGTAAGTGCCATCTCGAGTAGTAGTTCTTTTTTCTTCCACCATAATCTGAGCAAGTCCCGCTCAACCGCCACTCAAGGCATCAACTCCCTTTCCCCCTCTTTTCTTGCTTTCTCCCAAATGGAGTTATATTCGTTGGAAGACACCTACTGACTGGGATTGTTTAAGGGATTCCTGCCAACTGCAGATTTATGGTCGACGATGTGAGGAATGATTCCCCTAGAAGACACCGGTGCGGATAATTCATGTTCTGAACCGGTGCTGACGCTAGCTTACAGGTTGAGGACACTTGGGAAAATGGGGGTGATTGGGATTTCGTCCACTTACGAAATATGGTTCCAATACTCAAGTACTGCAAATGAAAGGCCTTTCTATTTGTGACCTTGGGCTGACCATTGTCTCATCAACAGGGACCCAGTGAGGCTTTTAAAAGATGCATATGAGTAATACCCGCCGTCGTCGTTAGAACGAAACGATCATGCTGACTTCAGCTTGGCCAGGAATATTAAGCCGGGCGGATGGGTCGAGCTTCAGGACGTTGACGGCAGTTAGTTATCAATCTCATTACGTCTCTTTCGGTTTGGAGGGCTTTGTGGTTGGCCATTTATCACTCGCTCATAATAAAAATTGCTAACTCCAAGTATTGCAGTGGTGCATTGTGATGATGGGTCCCTTCCGCCGGATTGGCCTATTCTCCGATTTACCAATATGATGGTGGAAGCATTTGCCAGGTTTGGTACACAATCGCACGCGGCCGTGTTCGGTGGCCAATACTTGATCGAGGCCGGTTTTGTGAATATTCAACATCACACTATCAAGCTGCCATATGGGACATGGCCGAGGGATAGGACAATGCGGCTCATTGGGCTCTACTATCGAACAGCAGCAGAGCAGTTCTTACCAGCCAGTCAGTACCTCTCCCGTGTCGTCGGCATGTTGAACGTGGTCTCAACAAGAAATTATGAGTCGGTTAATTGACGATAAACACACAGTGGGTGCTATACAGTTGCCAATGATGGGTTGGCAACCAGAGGAGATAGAGGTGTTCTTTGCGCGTTGCCGCGACGCCATGAGAGATCCAAATGTCCATGCCTAGTACGTATGATCATGTCACGCCCGTTTGACAGTAATTTCGTTACGCACTTATTGACTGAGATATATTATAGCGGGATGATGCACTTTTGGTCAGGCCAAAAGCCTCTAAGCGCCTAATGAGCTTGCTTCGACTTGACACGAGCACCGCAACGCATAATCTGGGCACTTTGACGTCTCCACGACCCCTGTCTGGGACTGACGATGGCCACGGCGGCTACGCTAGGTTGCTTTAGGGTGTTGTGGCAACTGTTCCCATGAGTCTGCACAACAACAGTAAAAGTTGATGGAGTTCACATTCGCATGGTCGAATCATAAGGTGCGAAACTCCGAGCTCGGCAATTCTCGAACACGGGTTGAAACAGTGGATGGCCTGAGTACTGGCTGGGGGCCCGCCGATATAAATACATCAAGCTCATGTGACGTAGTGTACTGTTTTAGTGAAACTGGTAGTTGGTTTCTTAGTTGTGCCAGGGTGTGTCCAGGGGGTCAAAGAAAGGGTAATTTGTCCCCATAGTTCAGACGATATATGCAAGGCACACATGCTTGGCGAGACTAATCCCGCGGCAATCCACAATTCGAATGTTTCCTGCAGGCCTTGGGTATTCCCTGACAATATCTGCAGTACATAGAACACGATACCGCTGTTCTACGGTAGATCACCAAACATCATGAGGATCATTTCAGCCACAGGTCGCTGATCATCTTTGCGGTTGGTTCAGAGGCCTTGCGTCGGAAAACTTGGTAATTGCATGTAGATACGTTTGCCGACTTACCAAAGCCTAGACAGCATACCGGTACTTAAACTCCTTCCAAACTGTAGATAGTATACTCACTGACGACTCTCCAGCTTATACCACACTACATGTACTTACTAGGTAACTGCTGCTGTGGGTTTCACATCAGTATTGTTATGTATCGCTTAACTCATCTAACCGATGCTGTCTCACCATCCCATCTTGAAAGCCTTGGAGATTGTCCAGCACGTTGAATCTGCCCATACCACCCCTACCCAGTCCCTCGTGTCAGCCCATTTTGGCACCGAAACTATTGCACAGATGGGGGCAAATGCAATAAATTACCCACTGGTCTCCTTGGCTGATTCAGATTATTCACTCCCTATTACACCCAAATGAAGTGAGTACACCGATAGTAGCGCGACTCGCGGTCCCCAATCCCTCCTACAATATACATCAACTAAGTCTTGGCTGAATACCTACTCACTCTACTCTAAGTACCTCTTGCGCAAGCCAATTTCATGAAGCATGTACATAATGTAGTATGGAGATATCCGAATAGACGCCCAAGTGAGGTTACATCCAATAAAATAAAGACCCAACATTAGTTAATTACCGCTGGTGGTATTAGGGGAGTACCTAGTATGGGTACCGCATTAGTATGAAAAATGTCTGTTTGACTTCATAGAGCCCACCTCCATGATACGAGCTTCGTTAGAGAGAGTCTCAGCGGCCCAGCCCAACCACCATCTTTCATCTGCCGACTACGTCCCCATGAACTGTAAACGTCCGGGGTCCACACCGCTGCGCTAGGGTGATAGAGATCATGTTCCTTCGTGATCGTTATAAGACCAGCATGCCTCACGATGGAACCTCACTTTCAAGTCCATTCGTTTTCAGACTATCATCTTTCTCTGTTCCCACCCATTCCCTTCTTTTGTTTCTCTTCATCTCTTAGCGATCCTGTGGATTTGCTTTTGCCTACTATTCGTCTAGTGTCTTTTTTATTTGCACAGAGTTCTTCTGATCTAGCCTGGTGCTATTTAAATTTTATCAAACATGTATACCTCTACTACTCTCCTATATTTGGCGGCCTTTTTTGCATCGGCAAACGCCCATGGCGCTATAATAAATGCTCAAGGCATTCAGGGATCTCCATCTAGTGTCGGGTTCAAAGGTGAGTGAGCTTAATCGGTGTCTTCACTACAATCAAGTATTCAAGCACTAACACCATATCCCATCATAGTCCACTCAGATATTCCAAGGAACTGCACATCCATCAACCCTTGCCAGCAAGATACCACTATAATTCGAGATGCTGAGATCTCTGCGAACATCGTGAACGAATGTGGTCGTACCGAGCTTGATGGAAACATCGATATTGGTGAGAACACGGAGAACGCCTTGGCCGCAAACGCAGTCACACAAGTCAAGGCGGGCGGTACAGTAGATGTCACAATCCGTAAGCCACAAGTCCGAATCAAGATGGTGAATATTGGTCTAACTAGCAGCAGACCAAGTCAACGCAGATGGCGCCGGTCCTTATGCTTGCGATGTCGTAGGTCTTCCTTTCCGCTTAACTAGCTCACCTTCACCCATCTAATAGGAGAGATAGATCGCAGAAGGCAATAACGGAGTCATCACTTTCCCCAATGTCCAGGTCGATAACAACGTCCCTGGTGTCAATGGTTTCAGCCAGGCAAAGGAAGAGCAGTTTACCATCACAGTGACAATGCCACAAGACTTAAACTGCACAGGCTGTGAGTAGACACTCTCTCTACACGTTGTGGCCACGCGCATGCTAACGAAATGCATACAGCTTCTGCTGGCAACATCTGCACTGTCCGCTGCAGAAACAATGCACTGGCTGGTCCTTTCGGCGGCTGTTTCCCCGTCCAGCAGATTGATACGCAAGCCGTGACCCTCAAGTCATCTGATGTCGGAACAAAATTGAGTCTTGAAAAGGTGCAAGCACAAGTCTCAAATGACATCAATGATCTACCTGCGGCTCTCGCAGCCAACCAACGAGACGGTACCGATGAAGCGAAGCAGGCTGCTGCTGCCGTTACTTCGCTGCTTAACATCTCCGTTGTCAGCAAGGCGGCCCCGACAAACACCCAAGAAGCAGCGGCCACCACGACAGCTGCCGATCCCGTTGCTACTTCAGACGCCGCTAACAACAATAACAATGGCAACAACAACAACAACAACGGTAACAATGGTAACGGCGGTTTCAACAATGGCAACGGTGGCTTCAACAATGGTGGTAACGGCGGTTTCGGTCGTGGTAACGGCAACAACCGATTTGGTGGAAACAACGGCTTTAACAATGGCAAGAGGACCGCGAAAGCGTTTTCAGCATAGTGGGTTTACTCAGGTTGGTTCATGTTGACCAGGTCTGCCATAAGCTGAGGCTTGTTGCCTCGGGAATGGTGCATTGCAGTGAACGGCACTGATGATAGTTCTCGATACGAATTCCTATACATGTTTTAGAGCAGTCCGTACAAAGACCGTAGGGAGTTATCCTTTAAGTAGAATATATTTGTTTTATTTGTTTTCCTTTCAAGCTTTGATAGACGGTGTCATTCCTTCAAGACAATAACCTCCTGTTATCTCGAGGTCTCGGCTTATTTCCCCTGGGATTCTCTGGCAATTCGACGTCCCATCAGCCATAATAGCACCTTACAGCTCATGTTCCTCTTCAACTCCCTTGCTATTCCTCGGGCGAGAGGAAATTTCGAGGATAACTATCATGAACCCAGCGCACGACGCAAGGGCTAACGTCCATTCAGTATGCACCTCTCTAGCCAGTGGGCCCCGGGCTAGGCACCTCTCGAATCCAGTACATGATATGTTCATTTCCGTCTCCCTACTCTGAGCATAGCAGGGTAAGCGAGCTTCTAATCTTGCTCGGGTAAACCAACATTGACTAGATTGCATTTTCCCTTAGCCCAGAACTGCGATCCAATGGTAACAAGGTACCAAATGCGAATCCCACGAATGCCATGATGGATGAGCGTCTGGGGCGCAAATAGTCAGGCATATGGCCGCGGTGCTGAGATAGCGTGACGTGATGACTGACTGGTAAACCTTTCTCTCTCCTTTACTCCGCGCTTTGTGAGGCGACTCGATTTTCCATGAATTTGGTGAAACGCTTGATGGAACCCGCTTGGCTCAACCTGTCAGCATCATCCGATACCGCCGCCTGGATCCACGTCCTCTCTGACGTCTCGCTTGCAGCCCCGTTTTGACCCTTGACCAGGAGCGACGATAGAGGTATCGACGCAGCCCAACTCCCTTTGCCAGGAAGAGAGTCCACGTCAATTGGTTGAGACTCTGAGAACAGAATAGCGCACTTATCAGAGGCCAGGGCAACTTGAGACACTTCAACATTGAGGAGGAAGAGTTCTTGGTGGTTGACGAACTCCTGTATAAGCGACAGTCGTCTCTCCATGGATTTAGCGGCAGCTTCGTCTCTGTTTCCTGCGCGAAATCCTATTATTGCAAGGAAAGCCGGGTCGTCGTCACATTGAAAGAGAGCGTAATGTTCACCATGCCGTGTTGCGTGTATCGCAGCATTCTCAAGGTTCCCGCTTTGACTGTATAAGAAAACAGTTTCGACTATGCTGCGGCCTTCCCCTAGTCTAACTAACCATATATGGCCATCAACTTCCATAGCGACGATACTGAACTAGTAGTAATGACGCCTGGCCAAGTGATAACAAAAATTGTAGAATGGGAATAGGCTGACGCTGGAGGAGGAGATTACGCGAGAATGAGAGGGGTTTACATGCATTTATGATTGTAATCAGTGGAATACCTACAGTACGTTCACTATGTAAGCAGTTGACTCCGTGGTATGTCGCAGAGCTGCAGTATCTTCCTTCATGAGCATTTCATTACTACATTCAGCAGGTGAAGATTAGGCTAATCCTACCCTTACAAGCACCGCGGCACTGAGCTCTGTCCCTTGGAATAGCTAACAATCCGTGCCCTTACATTTACACCATGAGCTGCATGATACTACCGTACCCTATGATTCGCTCTACCAGGATTCTACGGGAGGCGAGTGGACATCCCATCGAACTACTGCATGTATACCAACCAAGTTAGTGCACACCAAGATCGCATAGATAGCTTCCTATTGTAGATTTTACTATGTAGTCGACCCGAGAGATGGGAGTTGAACAATTCTCGATCGATGAGCGACTCTGACCGACGACTCGAAAGAGTAGAATACAAATCAACACATCTGCCGCCTTCCCCCATCTCAAGCGTTATTTAGCCAGATCCAATCCACACGTATTTTTGCGGCAGAGGGAAGGCCCTGTGAAGAGAGCAAGACTGAAATTTCATTCTTATGTGCTTGTTTATACCCCCTGATATGTCAATGCACACTTCGCCATGTACAGTCTATGTTGCATCGAGAAAAGGCTTTGTATCAGACCCCCTTGGTATTCTACCTCTCAACCTCACTGCCCTATAAGTATGCACTCACGCCCACGCGAGATGCACACCACACTTACTATGTAATCCTATCACTTTAGCTTCTACGAACGCTCCAATACTTTGTTGGCCCATTTTCATCACGTGCTTTGTCTCGTCGAGCCCCTACTAATTGATTTACTTATCTTATACTTAAATCTGCTCTAAAATAGTGCTAAAAGTGATGTAGCGATTGGTACCTATAGTTATATATTTAAGTAGGATACAAGTCTAAAAGCTCTGATTGGATATTTACTATCTTGGCAGGTATTGGAGCGTTCGTGGAAGCTAAAGTGATAGTAGTGAGCCACCATTGTCCTGGCGCTCGATTACGTAAATGCTGATTGCATGAACGCCACAAAGAAAGACTTAGCCGAATAGGTAGATCTATCTATGGCCTGCGTACAGTACGGTATGTAGATAGGTACCACTTTGCTTCCTCACCTTGGACTACGATTTGGGTGAATGCCAAGATTGGAAACATGCAAGATTGTGTCTGGCCTCACGATCCTCTTCAGGGGGAAGGTTTTACTTCCATTATACGGTATCAATACTTATAGATTCTCATAATCCAACGTATATGTATTACCAAACCCACCATATGGGTGGAGTACTAGGTAACTCGAAACGGTGACAGGTCCTGACATATGCTACGCGAGTGTCTAGATTGCAATCTAACTTAACAACTGATGAAATTGTAGTTTCCCATCTAGTAAGGCCTTAAGGCCCGGATTCTCCGAAAGTCGTACGAAACGAACTAGAGCCCTTCGTGACACATACTACCTACCTAACATACATACATTACAATAAGCTCATATAGCGAAGCGTATTGAATCTACACTAGGCACACCAGTGCTTATATTGATCGCATTAATATCTACGACATCTTCGGACTCGCAAGTGTGCTCCGAGATCTACTACCCCAGAAATATTTTGATTCTCTGATACTTCCTTGGCTAATCATACATACGGGGCCGCAATTGCCCGGATTTATATTGACAACATGTAGCACAGGTTAAAGAAGACTCGCTATGATGCAGCTAACGTCGTTGTCCAAGTTAATTTAAGCTGGCATCCATGTAAATATCTTCTATACATGACAGGTCATGGCCCATGTGTCTGATTCCGGATTGGCCGAAGTCACATGTGAAAGCAGTGCATATCCATGTGTCTCCTGAAGGTACTGTACAATATATATTTGATACAACTTGTCTAACTAGGTAACGAAAGTTGAAGGAAAAGGACCTCTACCAATAACGTACAACTACCGATTTCCATGTGTAGTGTATTTCCTTTCACTTAACTTGTAGTCTAAATGAGAGAAGGTGGAAACACAGCTAGTTGGAGTATCACCCAGTGCAGTCCCAACAGCTGTTGTCTAAGCCGTGTTACATACTACCTCAAGTCCAATTTCAGGCTCGAACCCAACATATAACCCCACCACAGCATGGCGCCGATGGTCAACAGGTTGAGGTGAATGCTCATAGCGTGGTTGCGCGAGAACGACCGACGTATACGCTGCATCTCAGGACTGAGAGTCTCAGATAAGGCGTCGTCATCGGCATTCCCACTGTCATTCATATTCTTTTTCTGCATTCCATCTCGTGTCTCTATACGAACACCGTCAGCACTGTCACCCTGACTGATACCCAATAGATTGCTGTCATTTATTGCAGGGCCAGCGCGCAAGACGAGATAAAGGATTTTACTTACCTTGGTGAACTCTTTCTATCATCAATTCCCGGGTCCGCGGGCCGTAAATCCACCAATTCAGAGTCGCCGTCGCACCAGCGATGGCGAAGGGGATCCAGGCAGTCTTGTTGGCGACGAGAGTAAGTGGGCCCCGGGATGGGATCGTGACGATAGTCAACAGTAATAGTAATGATTGACTGCGGAAATAGATTGGGAACAGGCGCTTCTGGAGAGTGGTGAAAGCGCTACGAGGGAGGCTCGTGTAGCATATCTTGGTAACTAAGAAGGTTTGGTAGAGTTGTGTCCCCAGTAGGCTCGAGAAAGAGAGGAGGTGAAGAGGCCCAAGAAGGTTACGAGGGTCCATAGCTGAGATTACACTTTGTTGTACTTGTAACGGTGGTGTTGGGATATACATTAGGGGGGTGGAATTGATTTTGAATGTGTCTAACAGGATACGATTCTGCAGTTTAGATATTTGAGTTTCTTGATAGCTACTTCTTACTTATATAGTCTATCTGATACTAGCAGATATTCCATCACGGCCGAGTGTGATCGGAGGTTAGCCAAAACCCGGACTTCTTGGACACTCGTGGTCAGGTGAATCGCATATAAGCTCCGAGGCCCACCGGAGCTCAACACCGTCAGTGTCACTACGTTCCCGGCCGGTGTCAACACCATGCCACTGTTTTCGTTTGCGAGGATTAACATTCGTGGACTCTGTTTACATGTTCTCTGATTATTCTTCTCGGAGTTAAGTCGAAACGATACCACTCCACTTATTATGGCCTGCTTTCTTCCTTTGCATCTGTCTGCTTCTTTTGTCTTACATACTTAGCCATGCGCCATACAGTGTATATTACAGTATATACACGGTATCCTACATCCATCAATAGCATAAACTTTGATACGTAAATCAGAGCTCCTAGTAGTAGTACTGCTTATTGCATAAGCCATGATTACGTGCTCAGCCAACCTTGCCGAGGTCCTTACCTATCTATGTGCAAATGAAGCCCAATTCAATGAGTGGTCGTTTCGAAGAGGTCTACACCAGATATGATTTGCTAGACCATTGATATAGCGACGTATATTACCAAGAGACATACGAACATTCGGTTACGAAAGGAATCTAATAGAAGACAACGCAATTGACGCATCTCTACCCTTATTCCACAAGCATGTCAGTACTTCACTCGTGCCGTTTATTTTACCCAACTCATATAAGTGTGCCCAAATACCTGATGACAGGGATCCTAAAAGAAGGAACGAAATGTGTAGTGATTAACTCGTCAATCTGCTTAGGGCAACCGATAATAAGTTCCCATCCGTTGATGAGGTTGTCAAGACAGATGCCTTTCCAACAGCAGTATGGCAGCTCGAACCACACCGTGATGGGATGTTGCCTGTCGCGGCTGGGAGAGGCGGGCCGTTTAATATTCACTGGGAGGTTCACGGTGAAGGCCCTGTGAAACTTGTAGTATGTGATACCGCGATGCCTCTCCCCTTTGCGTAGGATTATGAAAAGGGGAGATAAGAAAGCCTGGCTTTCAGAGTTCATCTTTACTTGTGCTCGGCTATCATTTGATGGTGCGACACTATATCTACCCAACATCATTGTAATAACCTCAGCAAAATGAAGATGAGAACTCGTATGAATACTAGCTGACGAATGAGACTATTGCAGCTCATCCAAGGCTTGGGAGTGCTCAAGACATCGTGGCAGAGACAGACCATGCATTTCGGGCACCTTAACAGTGATCGGTACTCCGTCCTTCTCCTCGACAACAGAGGGATGGGTCGCTCCGATAAGCCGTTGATGCGGTATAGCACGTCGGACATGGCAGCTGACGCCCTCGAGGTACTGGATCACCTTTCTTGGACCGAGGATCGCCAATTGCACATATGCGGCATCAGTAGTATGTTCTAGATCCTCGTGCTTTCGTGATGCGCCCAGGTCACCACTTCATAATGGCGCAACTTGATCCCGGTAGCGGGCGAGCGTTACATGTTCTCACCCAAATGCATTTCATTGAAAATCGCTGACCTGATAACAACATTACAGTGGGAGGCAGTGAGTAATATTCATACTTATTCCATTCACTATACAGCGCCGGAGACGTCATTTGAAACGATGCAGCCGCAGTCTATTGAAGTTGAAAACTGAATCGCTAACGCAAAAACGATCTCAAAAGTGATCGCACAAGAACTTGCTTACGTTGCGCCTCATCGGATAGCTAGTTTGAACCTACTCTGCACAGCGGCGGCAATAGAAAACACGACGAGCTTCTCAGAGAACATGATCAACCGCATCACGATGTTGCTTCCAAAGAGGTCAGTCTACCCGTCACCGTCAGGTGTTCATGCCTTCGAGAGCCCTATCACGGCACGAAAACTTGATCCACGTGGTGTTTGAAACCCTCCCACTAACACTACCTCAACGCGCTAGCCTCGACCGCACAATCACCTACACAGCAGAGGTTCTCTTCCCCAAAGATTGGCTCGCAGGACCCGATGACACCACCTTACCCGATGAAACTGTGCCACGGTGCCACCCGCCCGTAGGCGGTTGGCCTTATCGCCGTTTCGCTAGCAATTACGCCCGGTTCGCGGCGCAGGAGGTGGCGAAGCAACGGGACCGCGAAGGCTTCACGAGGCCTGGTTTCCTACTGCAAACTATCGCTGCTGGCTGGCACCACAAGTCGGAGACGCAGCTGCGTGAAATAGGGGACAAAGTCGGTCGTCAGAGGATTCTCGTACTTCACGGCACCGACGACGGGATCATCTCCATCCCTCATGGAAGAAAGCTAATCGAGTATCTACAGCCTGGTAAAGGCCTCATAGTTGACGGCATGGGTCGTAAGTTAAACTGGAACTTTGACTGGCATGCTTCCCGCACCTGCTAGATTGGCTGCTTTCTCGAAGCTATTCTCTCAAATGCCCCGGTCTTTAGTTGACGAATAAATACTGACTTAACCGCTATAGATGCCCCCATTGTGGAAAGGACGGTGTGGTTCAACGAGTTGCTTGCTGAGATGTGCAGCACAGGCGAACTATTAAGCGGGCGTTAGACAGCCTTGATGGCTCATGGTTGGACAGATCATTTGGATGATACATCTTAGTTCATTGTTTTAAGCAAACTCAACGCTTTGCTGAGCGAGAACGCCAAGGCGCCCAGTGGTATCTAATTCACAAACCTCTCCCTAATTCAAACACCAATCCCAACACATGCTGTTGGTACTTGCCTCTGAGCCCAAACAGACCGTGTTGAATAACGACATCGAGGCCATATCTGCTTTAACAGCTGCAGTAGATCCTCAGAAAGTAGAGTGTAGCCACCCTTAGTAGCCTTTTAACTGACCGTTGCAATAAAATTCTGGTACTGTTCGTCCTCGCCAGCGGATTTTGCCGAGGTTGGTTTTATGGAGCCAGGCTTGACAGGAGTCGACCTGTGATCCCACAATACATTTGGCAGTTGTGATGGCTGAGAAGTTTCAGAGCCTTTAGGGGTGTCTGAACGTTCATCTATCGGGTCTTCCCTTTCTGCCCGAGGGAGGCGCATAGCGAGCAGAACATATTCAGCTCGAGTCATGTTCTCCATAACGTCGTCCATATACCGCTGCACCTCCTCTTGCGGTGCTACCACCCGGGCTAGGTGCTCCAGAACTTTGGGAGAGTGGGAATGGATTCGGAGGGTAATAGGTTGATAATAATCTAATTCTCGATCTCCGCCATACTCTAATTTGCTACCCCGGCGGACAATTAGGAAGGAGGTGACCACTTGAGTACAGTCAGGAGAAAACTCGAGGATACTGTATTTGGGGAAAAGATATCTGTCTCCTGTACCACCCGCAAACTCAAGGACAACAGCAGAAATGTCGGGCTTTGTGGATGGTGGTGGACCTTTAGACCGTAATGCTTGTTGAGAATTCTGGGTGCCCTGGGGCTGGGTAGGAGTTGGGGTTGGGGTGGAGGTAGGCGTTTTTTTTGCTGCATCTTCCCCCTTTAATTGGGCGGGAGTACTCTGAGATACGGACTGTGAGTCAGTTGCAGCCGCTGTCTCATGGCATTTAAGGTCTTGCTTGACTATCGAATGTAGCCCGTCTAGGGTTGCCTTCAATTCGACAGGATCTGTATATCTCTGCTTTCCATCTGTAATACGTTGAACAGCCTCCCTAATGTGCGACTTGTCGAGTGTTTCTCTGACTAAAAGTAGGATCAAAGGATCAATTCCAGGAGGTGGGCGCAGGTCTTTAGATCGCTGGGCCGGGTTGGATGCCAGGATAATATCCACAATGGCTCTGACTTCGTCTGCAAAATACTTGACAGTTCTACCATCAACGAAGAGCTTTTCGGGATCTGGCCCGCTTAAGCTGCCTTTCCTCTTGTAGTCTGCAGTGATCTGGTCGATGATTCTTTGAAAATGAGCTAATTCGTGGGCAGCTGCTTCACCCACGGCCACTCGCTTCATGAGATCTCGTAGGTGCGGGTCCTCAGAGGCTCTCTCTGCCAGTGTGACTATAATGGGATCTGCACCTGATGCAGGAGGCTGAGCGGGTTTGGACACGGCTGGGGCAGCAGTCTTGGTGTTACCCGCAGACCCGGCTGGTAGAGTTGCGCCCGTACTAAGGGGGGTAGGCGATGCAGATGGAGCATGGAGCGGATGATTTGAGGGCGCGGTAGGCTGCGAAAGAGAAGACTGGGGCGGTCGAGAATGTGCAGGCCCCGGGAGAGGAGTATGTGCGGACTGAGGTGCTGCTAATACAGATTCGAGGCCGCGAGGAGATGCAACGGGGTTAGAGCTCTCGATGTGAGTTGGCAGCTGGGGTCGTTGGAGATCAGGTTGCTGAGAGGGGGGCGTTGACGAGGACGGGATGGCCGAGACACGTGGATGTTGCTGTGGGGCTGGCTTCTTGTCTTCTTTCAGTAGTGGAACGGGTTGCAGCGATGATCGTGCTGACTGGGCCGGCTGTGTATTTTGCATAGGGGCCTGGGCTTTAGAGGTGGCAGACGAGGATGAAGCTGCGGTAGCGGGGACTGCGTCTGGTTTCGGGGGAGGAGGCATAGAGCCGTTAGATGGCCCATACTGTATAATGGGGCGGAAGGATGGATTGCTCGTTGGCGCGGATTTCGGATCCTTTACGGCATACATGGTGGCCTCTAACACATGAGGCTCAACGGTGATGGTGACCTGGCCGATTTTGGTCATAGTATCCTTCGCCGGGTTGTTGGCATCCTCCTTCACAACGCCTTTTCTCTTGGTAGGTTTCGTCCAGTACTTCTCGAATACGCCGTCATTTATCCACTTCTGGCGCGACCTCGAAAGTGACTCGGCCATTACACCACTGTGAAGACGCTTGTCAGGACTAGATAAGCAGATAGGGTATGGACAACGCAAATATGTACCTCTCTTGTATAGATTGAAACTCCTTGTTAGAGAGATCATCAGGTTGCGGTTTCTCGACCGTCGGCAATGGATGGCCGGGTTGAAGCGATTTGGGCAATTGAGAAGAAGTCACCGTCGTTGTCGTGGCTGTCGGCGGTGGGGGCTCTTGGGAGACAACTTCGGGAGGCTGAGGGGACGTCATGGTAGACGACGGCGTAGATGTTGTTGACGCATCAGGAGGCGTGGAATTGCGTTTCTTAGATACATGTTCCCCTCGGGCGGCGGCCCTCGCAGGGAGCTTTCGTTTTCTTTCCATGATTCGTGAGCCGTTGCCAAGGCAAGACGAGTAGATGGAACGGCGCGAGGCTGAGTGAGAGGAGAGACGCGTGCGCGCGTCCGGTTGCTTGGGCTGGAGCTCGGACCAAAAGTCTAGATTGTCCGTATCCGATATGGGATCTCGGTTGAAATAGATGGCGCTGCTATACCCATCGAAGGTCTATAAATGACGCGCAGACAGACAACGTAGTGAGGCGAGGCATGGAATTGTGGCTTGCTGCCAACGAGATATGAGGGCCCAGCTAGGTATGCTGTAGGTATTTGAAAGATAAGGTAGGAAAGAGCTTGTGTAGGCACCCTTCTTTGACACACCGACCTAAAAGGAGCCTAGATAATCTTTAGAGCCCTTCAATTGAAGGCTACTACATCTATGGATTTGTTGTTTGCGTAGCCCACCTACATCCCTGGTGCAGGTGGTGTTGTTTCGCTGGATGGGAAGGCAAAAATCCCAGTGCTTGCATGTAAGCTGGGACATCTATGGATCCCGTCTAACGCAAAGCTCGTGTAGTTGCATATAAAGATCTAACAAGTATACCTATTTATCTAGGTATTCCAGGTGGGTACCTACATAAGTACCTATGTACTTAGCTAGTGGACCTGGACCTGGGGGCTTACCTACACACCTAAGGTGTAGATAGGGCCATCAGACTCCCTCCAAACGGTGGGATCAAAAGTCTTTAGCCAGCGGTGCCATCCTCCTCATGACTCCTCCCCCTTCCCAGTGGGCAATTCCTCTGGGTGTTAGCCTTGGTGCCCCTATAGGTCTTTACATAACTTTCCTTTTGCTCGGCGGCTTTCCTTTATTTCAGAAACAGTAGGTGTTCTTTATCCAGTGCCCCCCCCTCGTGTATCACCAGCTCACCATTGGTCAGCTTTTTCTATGCTCACCGTCTAAATACATTGTTCTGGCACAATCTCGATGAGCCAGAGTACTGGGGATTTGCAAGTAGGCTTCTCACTTATACTGCCTCGCCCCTGCCAGCACATATAACACTAAAAACTCGTTACAGGGAATCAGGTCACCCCCTTTACACTTCCATCAGGGAATGAGTCTTTATATGCCTGGCACATTCTCCCATTGAGATCTATCTTAGAGCACCAGGACAGACTCCAAGCCGCCCCTGCCGGCTTTTCCGATGATGTCACTGCAAGTGAATCTTTCAAGATTCTCAAAGAAGACCCTACTGCGCAGCTAGTAATCTCCTGTGAGTTATGCCGCCTACCCCCGAGGCCAACAGCTGGGAAAGTTGCAAACAAGACTAATGTATCTGTCTCTAGTCCACGGCGTGAGTTGCTTATCCGCGGAATTATTGAAGCTTATCCGCCCACTTCGGCTAACGGCTGGGTGTAGAATGCAGGTCATATTGCCCAAGGGTTGAGAACGGAACATTTTCAGTATGCAATCCTTGAATCCACTTTTCCCCTTTCCCCCTTTCAGTAACTTATTTTTATGGCCTTAATTATCGTTAGGGGACCGTGCCTGTCTCAGGAGTATATAAAGCTCTTCTATAAATTCACACTCATTTGCTATCATTGCGCAGTTACTGATCTTGTCCGGCTATAGTACTCTCACAGATATGTCGAATTTCCACGTGCTGAGTATTGACTACCGCGGTTACGGAAAATCAACAGTATGCTCTATCTTTTTATCCGTCCTTGGCGAAATAACTGACTCAACTCTGGCCAGGGTTCTCCGTCTGAGGCTGGTCTAATCCAAGATGGTATTGCCACAGTAGAATGGGCTATTAGCGTCGCTGGCGTGGCGTCCGAACGCATTGTTGTAGTAGGTCACAGCTTAGGAACAGCTGTCACTAGTGGGGTCGTTGAGCACTTCGCAGTGAAAGGGGTTGAATTTGCTGGCGTTATTTGTGAGCAGTCCTTGGAGCACAGTTCCTTTTTATTCTTAGACAACACAGTAAAGACAGAGCCTATTTGGAAGTTGGAGTTGTGGCTTGGGGGCTTTTAACGTCCTCTATTCCCGAGAGATGGGTTAAAAATTCCGATAACTGACAACTGTTGCAGTGATTGCTGGTTTTTCGAATGTACCTACTTTACTCAGCAGCTACAGTGGCGCAGGCTTCATCCCAGTGCTCTCTCCTCTGCGACCGATACCGCCACTACTACGCTTCTTTCAGGGTTTCATTGTAGATAAATGGGATTCTGCCAGCCGACTTGCTGAAATAGTTCATTCAACTAAAAGGAGGCTGCGTCTAACATTGATACACGCCAAAAATGACATGGAGATCCCATGCTATGGTATGAATCAGGACCTGCTGTGCCGGTTTTGAGACCCGGTGCTGCTAGAGAGATCTATTGTTTTCCAGAGCTAACCGTTTCAACAGTATGTGAGCTATTGATCCAGGAATATGGCGACCGTGGCCTGCATAATCTTGAAGTATGTAAAAGGAGAGGAACTAATACGTTTGGTATGTCAGGAAAGTGATGCCCTTTTTAAATCAGCTGCCATCGCGACGATGAACCAGACCTTGGATGATGAGGCTTTTCTGGCGTGGAAGAGGCAGAGAAGCACTCAATTTGAGGATGACACCTTCATCAGTGTCGTTACAGCCGAGCCCGATATTATCGTCCGACAAGAATTAGTATTATATGGAGGTAGGCCAACTTATTAACGTCCACGCAACAAATTGGCATCGGCGGCTAAGCATTGTATAGGACATAACAAGGCCCTGTTATCTTCTGCTGTCCCACTTGCAGTTATGAGATCATTCTTGTCAGACTTGAAAACATCGATATAATACGACAAGTCCAATCCAATGCAACTTCTTTGTTTGGCTCCTAGTATTTACCGTCCTCGTTAAGATGCTCATGATTGATAGCAGAACTGCGCATTCTCTTTGAGGCTGCAATAACCATCACGGCGGTAGTCGCAATGGATCTTTCACCAACGGGTTCTCACAATTAATAGCATGATTAGCCCCGTCCGTATTCACGATTTTCAATGTGCACACAAGGTTCGCCAGGTGATCTTACGTAATTTAACCAACAAAGTAGACTTTATTTATAGGGTAGGCTGCAAAAAAAAGGCATCCCAGTCTCGTCAGTGAATAAGTCGGCGCGCCTAGGATGTTCAGGTAATCAAGTAACTCTTTGAGTAAAAACCCCTTTCACAATGTGCCAACCTACTGGAGTGGGTCACGTCCTACCCCACCAAGACAAGCTGAACCCCGCGATCTGGCCGTAATTTCAAACAAATGTAAGTACCTACCAGAACCTACCTACTGACTGAACTCTGGCTGAAACCTGGCGGCGTCTTCATACGACAGCATCATCTCCTGGCTTCTTGGACGAACCCGGAACCGACTGCCTGGCGTTCCTATTGTTGCGGCTCTCGAATCCTGCGCGCCTCCAGCGTCGAAACGGTGATTTGTTCGCCATGGCGGAAGAATCCAAACCATCGGCTCGCAAGGGCAAGGAGAAGGAGAAGGCAGCCAAAAAGCTACATAAAGCCATTGACGGCCTCTCAAATGAGCAAGTCACGCAACTTCTCGATTTGAATCCCGCTCTAGCTACAGAGCTTGCGAACGGGCCCGATGACTCCCCCGATGCTGCCGCGGAAGCCCTTCGTCGCCTCAACCTACAAGACATCATGACCGGCCTCGCTTCGAGCGGCAAGAACGTCAAGGACATGGGTGCTTACAAGTTCTGGGCCACTCAGCCTGTGCCTAAATTTGGTGAGGAGCCTGAATCCGACAAGCCGTTTGAGGAGGGACCCATCAAGATGCAAACAGTAGACGAGATCGCAAAGGAGCCCCCACCTCTGATCGACGGCTTCGAGTGGGCTACCTTGGACCTACTCGATCCCGAACAGCTAAAAGAGGTCTGGGAGCTACTGAACGGCCATTACGTCGAGGACGACGAGGCCATGTTTCGTTTCAACTATTCTGCTAGCATCTTAAAATGGTACGACCTAGTGCATTGAAGCGCCCAGTCAATGAGCATGTTAGCTGACGTGATCTAAATGTTAGGGCTATGATGCCTCCAGGTTGGAAGAAAGAATGGCACAGAGGAGTAAGAGCGTCTCAGTCTAAGAAGCTTGTTGCCTTTATTGCTGCCATCCCCGTGGAACTACGAATCAGAGACAAGATCCTGCACGCCTCCGAGGTCAATTTCCTCTGCATCCACAAAAAATTACGCTCCAAACGTCTTGCTCCCGTCCTCATCAAGGAAATCACGCGTCTATGCAATCTTGAGGGCGTTTTCCAGGCTATCTACACAGGCGGCATTGTCCTTCCCAAGCCTGTCAGCACCTGCCGATACTATCATCGCGCCATCAACTGGCAGAAGCTATATGATGTCGGCTTTAGTCCCTTGCCATCAAACAGCAAGCCCCAGTTCCAGATAAGGAAATATGCTGTTCCTGAGCGGACCTCAACAAAGGGCTTAAGGGAGATGCAAAAGAAGGACATCATACCCGTAATGGATTTGCTCACACGGTACCTTGCCAAATACGATATGGCTGCAACATTCGATAAGCACGAGGTCGAACACTGGCTTCTACACAACAAAAAGGATGCACCTGAGGAACAAGTAGTATGGTCCTATGTAGTTGAGGTAACCTGCCTTTTCCTGTTTCGTAAATCTAGTAGCATGCTAACTCGATGAAAAGGACGATCACAAAATGATAACGGACTTTGTCTCATTCTACTGCCTCGAATCCTCTGTGATCAACCATCCAAAACACTCAAATATCAAAGCAGCATACTTGTTCTACTACGCAACTGAGGTTGGCCTAGCCAAGCCGGTGGACAAAGGTTTGCTCAAGGCTCGACTTAATTCATTAGTGTCGGATTCCCTTGTGTACTGCAAGCAGTATAACTTCGACGTGTATAATGCTTTGTCGTTGATGGACAACGGTTTGTTCCTTGAGGATCAGAAGTTTGGCCCTGGTGACGGCCAGCTTCACTACTATCTATTCAATTACCGAGCGAATCCTATAGCTGGTGGTGTTGACAAGCGGAACCGACTAGATACGGAGAATTTGAGCGGGATTGGGTAAGTTACCTAAAATAATGAAAAAAGAGCAATCTTTGCATGCTGACTAGTTCTAGGAAAACACAAATTTGATGTTACGGAGCATCATTCATACCGCCACCTCCGCGCCTTCAGTTCCAAAATAATAAGACACAATTAACTAGCCTTGAAATAGACTCTATTTCATGTCCATCCAACGACCAGTTAGCCCTCACCACCCTGTGTAGCTCGCAGAGATGCAGCCAGCGCATTGATAGATATTTTAGAGCCAAGGGAGTAGCTGAGCATATGAGCCTGTGTTGAAATAGGATTTAACGTCCTTAGATAAGCACTTATTACGGGCAATTTTCACTACAAATGTACAAACACTGTACCGGATTCGTCCGAGAGGCAGCGTTTGGGGTTGTAGGAGATTCGGTGATGGGTATTCCGAGGCTTTTCTAGCGACAGTAAGGGCCCGAATTCAGTGTAACATGAAATTATTTATGACCAATGAATAACGAATCACTACTGGACGACTCAATGCGTCGCTCGTCGGATGGGTTCAATTTGCAGCCGGGTGCCGCCGCCTGCTATGCATCTAATTAATAAAACCTGATTCTATTACTTCAATCTCGATTTCTATGTGTCGTAATTGCTTAGGTACCCGTTCGCTGTCCATTTCAACACGTTTGATTCGCCTCATAACCGCGGCATATGCTCGCTCCCGAAGCCATCATGTCAGCCTAGCTGCAGCCGCTAGATGTGGTCCCATGTCTAGAATAAGGGATGGGGATGAGTTCGCTGTATCTTCTAGAAGACGGCCGATTCCGTGGGTCTGATCTAGGCGGCAGAGTTGCGACCAGCCATTTGGAAAGGTGAATGAAATCATCGACATCACACCGAGCCCCGGGTGAGTAAGATGGTCCAGTAATGCCCGCCTTCATCTACGTTGAGCGCACGCAATTCTTACGCCTCTATACTGTAGACCCTTAGTTGCATGTGCAGCTTCTCGGCGTAAGGACAGATGTGTACGTACATGCTACTCAAATGGTACTGCGCAGAGTGCGGTGCCTGGTACACCAGTGACGAGATCAAAACCAACGACTGCGATGACTTCGCCGAGGTCGGGGAATGCGAAGAGAGGAACGTCACCACCGAGGAGTCGGATGCCGATGGACTCTGCGACGACTGTACACGGGCCCGAGAAGGGTAGGAAACGCGGCGTGGGCAGTGCCGTGGTTGCACATCCTCAGAACAGCTATCAAAACTACCAGAGAATTCGCTTATAGCACGTTGGCATTATGACACCAGAGAGCATGCATCTTTTTGGCGGTTCACGCATTTACGCCCAAGATATCTCCAAGCCCCGAGGTCCAAAACACCTGGGATCATCGATAGGCTGTCGGATGAGGGGTGTGGGAGGCTTATCATCCCCAAACTACCTTCAACCATGGTTGTTGTACCTGAAAATATGGATTTGTATGAGGCAGCCCAGACGTAATTCGATGACAGAGTGCACCGCAAACTCGCCCATCACCCACTCACAGCTGCCTTTAGCCTTTAAATCATACAACTCTGACTCTCCAACCGCACTATCAAATAAAAGCACATCGACGCAGGTCCAAGCATCCTCTCACTTCGACATCAAAAACTGCACGTTATATCGTAGCACAACAACCAAGAACACAAAAGGGACTACATGGAAAGAAAGAAAAAAGGGCATAGGAGGAGTTCGTCTCACGTTTCCGCATCTTTTATCATTAATGAAATGGGGCTTCTATTGCATATGGGCAATTTTTTAGTGTCGAGACCTGTCACACGGGCATCTTCTCGTTGCTGCTCTTGGAGTATACTTCGTAAGGACTCAATTGAATAGAGTAATCGAGAACTAAGCAAGGGTATGTAGCACAAGCTAGGGTAGCAACGAATACAGACCATTATTAACCAAAGGAGATTAGAAATGCACTGCTGTTGCTTGGAATGGATAGAAGAGGGGCTGAAACTTGGGACGCGAGAGTCGGGACCTGATTTGTTTAGATATTACATTGCAATCTATAGCTTCACATGTACAGTAGGTTGCAGGAAGTGTATAACAGCGTCGAGGCTGAGGTGTAAGTAAATAAGTAAACGGGTAAGTAAGTAAATATAAGCAGCAAAGTGGCCGACAGCCGCGATGTCCCGGATAGCCTCTTGACGGCACCGAAGCTGTGGGTGCCGGGGAGGGCAGTCGGCGATGATGACATTATAGCGGGCTGAAATGACAAGATGAGAGGGGGCGGGGAGCTTGCGCGGCGCGACACCAATCAGTAGCAGCCCACAGCACGCAATCCAATAATCCAGTAGCGGTAGGCTGGAACGGGACTAGTGAGGGGTCGCGGGCTCGGCGGGGTTTGCTGGCGGGTGCGAGGGGCTGATGAGCTCAAGGTGCAAGTTCAACTACACTTCCTGTAGTACTTACTTACATGTATTTACATACCTACACTTGGCGTACCGGCTACTATGATGCGAATATGAACGTCGTGTCATTTCGGTGTCACGCCACTATGGTGATCCGGTGTACTTAGGTACTGGTATCTACGGAAACAGAGACAGCGGGCTGTAAAGATGTTGTGACACCATCATCAACACTGAGCTCTGTATCAAGGCTGCTTTATCACCTACCGGTATATAGTAGGTAAGTGGAAAGGACGGGTTTATAACAAGACATCAAGGCATCGCGGAATAGGGGCATAGAAGCACAAGCTTGGATTATTATTGCCATTATTGTCTCCATGTGCCTACCTACCTCCTGTATACATATATGTATATCATAGATGCAGGCTACCCGAGGTGTAGAATGCAGGTACGTACCGGCAGGCGAGCATCAGTGGTATATGGTACATTATGGATGTCATCTACCCACGTTACTTTAGGTACTATGGAAGAGGTAGTAGAAGCCAAAACCAAAAAGAAGACGGCGACCACCATCATAATTGCCCCTCCCCCATTTACCATTTATCATCACCCAAGACAATCGCGCCATCGTGAACTCAGCTAGCGGCAGTCGATAAATAGCTCCCGCGCCAGCCCCTCCTCCTTGCAACAGTTTTCTGCTTCTCCATTCCTTAGACCATTATTCTCTGTGATACCCATCCCTACCTTGTCTTTTCTTGCCAGCTATATCTTCTTATCAACACCTTCCTCACGGCCTTTACTATCACCATCGTAGACAGCTCTCAACCGTCATAATGGCTTCCGAATCTCGACCCGAACCGTAAGTGCAAGTCCCTCGCCCCCCTCAATTTCTCCTATTTCCGCGCACTCCCTTCGCTTTGGATTTTTATGCCACTAATAACATGGCTCCATCCATCATGTTCGTGCTGTTGACTGACAGCGCTCGCTTTGTTCTTCTAGTCTCCGCCTCGGCACTGTGGCCCCGAACTTCAAGGCCGACACCACCAACGGTCCCATCGACTTCCACGAATTCGTTGGCAACAATTGGGTCGTTTTCTTCTCCCACCCTGAGGACTACACCCCCGTCTGCACCACCGAGCTCGGCGCCTTCGCCAAGCTTGAGCCTGAGTTTAGCAAGCGTGGCGTTAAGTTGATCGGCCTGTCTGCCAACACCTTGGGTAGCCACGAGGGATGGATCAAGGACATTGATGAGGTTACTGGCGGCAAAGTCTCCTTCCCCATTATCGCCGATAAGGAGCGCAAGGTTGCCTACCTATACGATATGTATGCACTTCCTTTTTACCCAATATGTAGAGGAAAACGCTGACGAGGTATTTGGCAGGATTGACTACCAGGATACCACAAATGTCGACGAGAAGGGTATCGCTTTCACCATCCGTTCTGTCTTCATCATCGACCCTAACAAGAAGATCCGAACCATTCTATCTTACCCAGCGTCCACTGGCCGTAACTCGGCCGAGGTGCTGCGCATCGTCGACTCGCTGCAGACCGGCGACAAACACAAGATCACCACCCCTATCAACTGGGTACCCGGCGACGACGTCATTGTCGCCCCGTCCGTTAAGGACGAGCAGGCCAAGGAGCTATTCCCTGGTTTCCGCACTGTTAAGCCCTACCTTCGCTTCACCACCCTACCCTCGCAGTAGAGCGATCCTATCTCGACTTTAATTTGGCTAGTCAGTCTTAACCGTGTTGAATCGGGAATAATATGAGTTGATGGCAGTGGAACATGAGCCTAGTTATATATAGCTTGTAAATAAGGAGTCGCTCGCTCGTGATTACCATCGAAAATAATAGGACTAGTGACCTAGGTAATAAAATCAAAGCTTGAGGAAATCACCTATAACCGAGCATGTTAACGCAAAACACATTCGTAACCCCCTTGATCTTACCTATAGACAACTAAGATGAAAATCAAACTGGGGCACGAGATCGGCACAGTAACAGGGGCTATGAAATTGCAGCAAACAAAAATTTAGTTTGGCAAGGGAGCAAAGTGCTCCCTTTTAAACGGTAACTCGTCATCAAGACTGCCTCTTCCCTGTTCGCGATTTGATCATTGTTGTGGTAGGTATTTGAAAACACGACTTCCCTGATAATAGTTTGCGACGCCATCTTCGTATAACGACATGATACCCCTAATAAAGCCCATATTCATTATATAGACGCCCATGGGGCATTGATAGGCTCGTATAAAAATACTTGGTCCTTCAAGCTAGATAATTAGGCCTCCAGATTTAAGGTAGGTCGCGATATATGCCTATTGTTTACTACTGTTGATAGCGAATGGAAGGAGATCAGTAAATAACTTTTGTGCAGCTCCTGATACATTATAATATATATACCGTAGTGTAGGATATTACCTACCTATTAATATGTCGTGGTGTCTGAGTGTATAATGATACCTATTAAGCTGAGCTAATACAATTTCTAATTGTGCCCACCATTTATATATATGATCGACGCTGTACTGTCTTTTAGGTTTACATGTACACACCTTTAAAAACATTAACATAATATGATCGCCTAGTATCAGAGCGCATGTGTAGATAGGGTCAGTAGGTACTATGTAGTATTGACTACCTAAAGCTCAGGCCTGTCTACCCTGCTAGGTACATAGTCCGGACCTACCTCCGCCAGTAGCCAAGGCTGAACGTGAGGTCGTGACTCTTTTCATCTTCAGATTTGGGATAAGCTGTTCCAAGAGATAGCGGACTGTCAGGAAGGTGGAAGCCACGTGTTTTGCATGGATTCAAGCCTTAAAAGGGTGTTCCGGTGCTGCATATTACGGTTGCCTCTGGTGGTAACTTCGTCCACCCATCTCCCTTTCTATAGAACAATTGAACACTTAAATAATGTACATATATACTCCCTCAGCAGGTACATAAGGTATTAAACTGTATGAAGACATCTAGTTATGCTCCTTCTCCTTCTTCGTGTAGTAAGGTACATACATATATGTAGGTAGGGATAGGATCTTGTGCTTATACCTACTATGTAGTATGTACCTCCCTATGTTGAGCGCGTATGTATGTACTTAAGCAAGAAGCATAAGAATATGTAGGTACTTGGGTGGAACGGAGCTTTTAGCTGCAGTCGCCTTCTGCAAGGTACACATACATGGAATAACAGAGAGGAGAATCTTACTTAACTTGGAAGTATCTTCTGTATGTTAAAGGGGTTGATGGGATGCATTGTATTGGGAAATGCACGTGATGGCCATTCTCGGAGGTAGTCCGCACTACATAAGTACTTATGTAGTACTAACATAGTGCCGTTAGTACATCCATGTACCCAGGTACATATTTCCTTCTCATCTCCATCTTGGCTGGCTCCCTCGCCGGGCCGCGCCTCCACAATCAGCATACATAGTACCTATGTAGTCAGGGCAGTCAGAACAAGTCTTGCAAACAACGGCGACTCATTTTCCGGCCCTCTCACCAGCCTTGCTGTCGGTCAATTAGGCGCCAACCTTCCGTTATCAGCTTCCTGACACGTCCACTGCCGCCGTCTCTCGCGGTATCCGCCCCAATACTTCCCTAGTCCACTCTTGCACTGAGTTGAAGAACCGCACGAGGCCGCAAGGGCGACAAAGCTGACCCCTCTCCTTAAGGGCAAGGCGACAGGGAAGACGGATACAATCGCCCAGCATCAGCACCCACCCAATTTTAAATTCCCTGCGCCCATCTTAAACAACCCTTAGTACACGTGCTCGTGCTTGTCCTAGTACGGACATCTCGCTTCAACAACTCATCAAGCGCGCGCAGTAGTATTACACTGGACGCAAGGGGAGTCGCATAGTGTACAACAGAACAGAGGTACGTGCGCCCAATTTCAGTTATGACCTAGAAACACGTTATCCCCGCCATCGTCATCATAGTCGCACCGTACAGTATACCGTTTTTGAATTTGGCACCGCCCTCTGCTGAGCGCGGTCTGCCATGCTAGCCATGCGACAAGGCCCCCATATCTTGACCGTTGAGGCGGCCGAGGAGCATCGCGTGTCAGGAATATTTGGGACTTTGATCAGTAGCCCCACTCGCTCACCGTTTTCGTTGTACTTGCACTTAACCATGAATACCATGTTTCTCTTTTCTAAAGCCAGCTTTCCCTTCCTTGCCCTTTTCGTCAAGTTGGATGTTATCCTCGATTGTGTCGGTGGTGGGAGAGTGGCAACATCAGTCCAGAATTAACACGAAACCAACTATCATAATCTCAACATTACCGTCGATTCAGCATGCCAGCCTCAGAACTGACTTGGGGTGGGACAGGGCGTAGAGAGAGCTGGCAGGCTCTTGACAACTTCCAAATTACTCAGCTTCAAGACCAAGACCAGAAAACCGCCTCGGCATTGGGCTTGTCCAAGTCCCCTTCCGACTTATTATCCGACGTCTATCGTGGAATCAAAAAGGCCATTCCGACCCGTGAGGATTCCTTCAGACTCGCCCGATCGTCATCGAGACGCGCTGTGCAAATCTTGAATACCGATCCCGCGTTACGAACCGAGAACTTAACTTCAACAAAACACCCCCGGCGCCAGCATGCTCGAAATCTAAGCATACAAGATAGCCTCGAGAAGCCGCTCCCCGCGCCGCCACCGCCATCTCTTTCGCCGCTAAGCCCCCCCGCACCGCCTACTCCTGAGATATCAAACAATATTACCTTCTTTAACAGTGACACTGAGGATACAATCAGTATGGAAAATAGATCGAACACGATGGACTCTAACGTCTCGGTACCCTTGGGTCAGTCGTATAACGGAAGCATTGATACCAACAGTAGTCAGACAGCCCATGGAGGGGGCAACAGAATGGATGTAGAAGGTCAAGGGGAAAATCTTACTCCTCGAAGTAATGGTCCACAGTCGGCCGGTCCCTCTCCTCAAGTCACCTCTGCCAGAACGCCGGCTCTTGGATCGGCCGTTGGCACGTCAGCATCCTCCGGATCATCCGCCCACCTATCGGGTCTGATGTGCAATGTACATCGAACCACCGGCCGGGAACCTCACCCTCTGGTGGGTGCTACAACTACGATCTTAGGGGATAAGTTATATGTTTTCGGAGGACGTATCTTATCGCGGAGTCGACCTGCACCATTGACCTCGGACTTGTATGAGCTGGATCTTATTCGAAGGCACTGGACCAAGATTGAGACTACGGGCGACATACCGCCTCCTCGTTATTTCCATTCCATGTGTGCTTTGGGGGATACTAAGATGGTTTGCTATGGAGGCATGTCCCCGACAGCTAACCCTCAGCCTACATCTGCACCACAAGACCAGCAACCAGAAGTTGCCGTGATGTCCGATATTTATATTTACGATGTTCTCACCAAAAAGTGGACGTATATTCCCACACAGGATACACCACAAGGCCGTTATGCTCACTGTGCCTGCATACTGCCCTCATCAGCCACCTTCGTTTCACACAAAGCCCCTCTCTCTGCTCTTCAACATAACCCATCCACTGGGAACCCTAACGAGGGCCGGATCGGAATCAACATCGATGGAACAGGAGGCGCTGAGATGATTATAGTTGGCGGGCAAGATGGTGCGAATCATTACATTGAGCAAATCAGTGTCTTCAATCTCAGGAGTCTCAAATGGACTTCGACTCAGCCACTTGGTAAATCGTGTGGTGCTTACCGTAGTGTGGTAGCGCCTCTCCCTCCATATGTGAGTACCAAGATTGGCAAATCCAATAATGGAGCGTCACGCCAAGAAGGACCAACAAGCTCAGAGAACAAGGAGCCGGGTTCGTCTATGCTGATATACTCGAACTATAACTTCCTGGATGTTAAATTGGAGCTTCAGATCAGGGGTCCAGATGGCTCCTTAGCGGAAAAGCCCATGTCAGGCGCCTACTCGCCGCCTGGCTTGCGGTTTCCAAATGGCGGTGTCATCGACACACATTTCGTAGTCAGCGGCACGTATCTGACCAGCTCAAAACAGGAATATGCGTTGTGGGCGTTGGATCTTAGGACATTAACATGGTCCCGCATCGATGCGGGAGCTAGTGTTTTTAGTCAAGGTAGCTGGAATAGGGGTGTCTTATGGAATAGAAGAAACACGTTTGTCATTCTCGGCAATCGTAAACGAAGCCTTGTCGATGACTACAATCATCGACGTATCAATTTCTCGAACGTCTGCATGGTGGAGCTAGAAGCGTTTGGATTTTACGACAATCCGCGCAAGACTTCACCCATGTCAGGTTTCTTGTCTGCTAGCAGTCCGTTTGTGGCACCCGGCCTCAGTGTGGCGAGGAAGGCTGGTTGGACGGCAGGCGGCAGATTTCTCTCGCGCGCAGCTGAAGACCTTGGAGAGAAGGCGCTGACGTTACGGGAATTAGCGGACATGGAAATACTGTGTTTTAATGGGGAGAGGATACCAATCAACTCGAGAGTTGTAGGTAGAAGATGGGGGCCGTACTTCGTGCAGCTGCTTCGTGAGGGAGCCGCCACACAAGATGGGAGTGATGCGGTGACCTTAAGGACCGGTATGTCTAGCCAGGCAGGCACCCGTATGTCTACAATGACTATAACACAGTCGAATCGAAACACAGGCGACAGCAGTCTGTCACTAGCAACAACTGTAGGGAACTCATCTGCAGGCTCGATAAAACCACCCAGCACTGCGGGCACATCCATGTCAAGTGGGAGTGGCCCAATAGATCCTAGTGTGATCAACTCAGCTCCTACACCAGCATCTCTACCTCCAGGCTCCCGGCCGCGATGTCTCTACCTTCCACACACATATCCTACAGTCCAAGCGCTGCTTCACTTCCTTTACACATCATCTCTCCCATCTCCATCCTCGCCGCTTTGTACGCCGCAGATCCTATGCTCCCTGCTCCAAATAGCCCGGCCATATAAGATCGATGGGCTATTAGAAGCGGTTGTCGAGCGCCTTCATACACTGCTCGATTCACGCAACGCCGCAGCTGTGTTCAATGCTACGGCGATGGCAGCCGGCGGCGGTCGAGGCATCGATGGCAGTATGAATCCGAATTATTTCGTTGCGTTGGAGTCACCCCTGGTCGCGGCTGGTGGCAATGACACACTCGGTGGCCGGTCCCAATCAATATCGCAAGCCAGCATGGACGAGTCGGTGCGCTCGATGGACGGCCTCCGGATCAATACAAGCGTACCGATTAATCGACCCGGAAGCGCTGAACTGAGCGCAACGACTAGTGTCTCAGGAAGTGAATGGGGTAGCGAGGTTGGAGATAGTGAGCGTGGAGTCGTCAAGGAGGTTTGGACCGGCGAATTGAGCAGTGTTATTGGACTGCAAAAACGCGGTTTGCGGGGATTGATGGAGGGGAGACGGATGCGTGCAACGGTGGACCGAGAACGTGATGGAGGGCGAGGAGAGAGACTTGGGGGATCTCGCGTCGGCCTCGGAATTGCTGGCTCCTAGGAGGAGATTGAATTTTGGGCTGGGCTATGGACTAACGAGGACAAGTGCATCATCTATTCGGTTTTATTCAATTTGCTTCCGGGGCGGTTTTTACTGGTGTAGGGCGGGACGAGCATCATGAGTCACGGCTTCATATTCTAGATACTGAGATGGCGATGTTAGGATCGGTGGGCGAACATGCTACTTTACTTTACGGAGTCTCAGGGTTCTCGTCATATAATACCATTTTTCAATCAGCAACTTTGTGTTTCAGTGCAGTTCCCTTGTTTTGGCCATCCTTTGATTGAACACTCGGTAAGAATGAGAGGAAGAAATGTAGGAACAGATCTCTAGTTTGATGATTATAGGTCGTTTTTCATATGCATTCGATGAGGTAGAGTTAGACAACGTTGGAGATACCCAACCTTAGGTACCTAAGTAGCTATAAATAAGTACCAATCGACCTACCTAATGTGGGTAGCTTTGCCCACTACATATATATGTAGGTCAAGGGTCATGATATACTCTACGCATGTCCGAAGATACCATGATTCGAACAAGTCCTACTGCCATTACCTATTCATATGCCTGCAGCTGAGATAAGGTATTTCTGACGGGCTCGAGTCTGTTGACAACAAACCTCGGAATCCCGTCAATTCAGACGCGTGCCAAGGAAGGAGCCAAAACGGGACATTTGGCGCGTGACTATTCAAGTAGCAGACGTTTTACACCATGCATTTTCCTGCGCGGCCAAATAAATCATGCTCCCGCAACCGAGCGTAAGCTTCACGCTTCCCAGCGTTCACGATGGTACCGAGCTCGACTGTAGGCTTTTCCACCCATCTACCGGCCCCTCGCATCCCGGCCTGCCTTGGTCGGGCCACGCCGCTGTCGTTGCGCCCCCATATGCGCCTTTGGGGGGCTGTTATAACGATGCCATAGTCGATGTTGTCGCCGGAACCCTCCTACAGGTAGGGTATCTCGTAGTTACGTTCAATTTCAGGTTCCGTCTACCCGTTGTCTACGTCGTTGTGCTTCCGCTGACTTGCGTGTCTTGAGAGTGGTTTAGAGGCGCTGCATCATCCGCAGGACGCACTTCCTGGACATCTAAACCAGAGCAGGCTGACTACGTCTCTGTCATTGGCTTTCTAGCTTACTATGTTCACCACCTCGACAGACTCTCATCTAATGCTCATGAAATGGACCCAAGGCCTCTGCCGACATTGCTAATGGCAGGCTATTCCTATGGCGCCATAGTCGCAATGAATCTCCCGCACCTGGATACCATTCTGGCTCATTTCGCAACACCCGCTATACATACGGCCGAAGCTGATATCCGCCTGCGCGCCGAACATCTGGCCGAGGCGCACAACAGCCTCCCTGCCAGTCCTGGCTCGCCCCAGAGATCACTAGGTGTGCGCTTAGGCGGAGATGAGGTTATCTCGGAGAGAAACCATGATGGCCACGGCCCGGTGTCCGATTCCCACCGCGAGGAACGAATCCGAGAAAGCGTCGGGCATCTTCTCTCACGTGCGAAGCTAGTGCATCGACCGTACCGTCGCTGGCCATCATCACAAGAGGCGGCGGCCGACGATGGAGACGAAATGCATCAATGCTTAGACGAAGTGCCCGGAGGTATCAGGTTCCAGAGCGCCTATCTCGCCGTGTCACCCCCCGTCGGTATAATGGCTCGACTAATCACTTTTTCTCTGTTCAATCACTTGTCGCTCCCTTGGGCGAGGAGACCCCGGGCCGTAGCTGCGGACGATACACCGCTCGCGTCGAACCCTACTCTCGTCATTTACGGCGGACAGGACGGATTTATCAGTTATAGCAAGATGCGCGAGTGGACTTATCAACTTTCTAGTGCTAGCGGCTCGCAGTTCCATCATGTGGAAGTTACTGAGGCCGGGCACTTTTGGGCAGAAGGCGATACGATTTATGAATGTGAGTTTTTTTTTTTTTTTTTTTTAGGTGACTTTCGTTCCTTTCGTCATCTTTTGCTACTTTATTTTGGGGAAGGGAGAGACGTTACTAACTTCATGTGAATAGTGAGAGATGTCGTCGGTGCTTTTGCGACTGAGCTTGCCGATTACCATGCGGAGTCGAATTCAACACCTCAAGGAACGTAAGAATTGGGGATTGATGAGAGCAGAGACAACAGCCTTGGTTTTTTTTTTAAAGATAAGAATAAGGTTAAAAAAATCTTTATTATACTTAAAATATTATTAGAATTGACCTTGCTTCTTGGGATGATATGAAGTGGGCTACTAGAAATTTCAAAGTCTTTCCGCATCTGATATGCATTGAGGAAATCTATTATATAGATAGAATAGGTAGTTAACTATGTGGTACTGGTATGCCAGTACACACTACGTAGGTTGTGGTCGCAGATTTCCATCAGGCTTGGCACTATAAGCCAATAGGTAGTATGTGATGTGGTGCGGTATAGTGGCTGAGCACGGTGTCACTTGACTATTAAATTTACTTATAAATTACAATCAAACTCGGGCTTGATCAACATAGTCTTGTTTTGTAAGATAAAGAGCATGGAAGACAAGAGATGGGTGTATACATGAGGTCTTTCTCTAAAGGGTCCCTCTAGATACTCTCTTATCACATACAAATAACGTGTTACTTGATCCAGCCTTGAATAATCTGTAAGTAGGGGACCTTCGAGAGTTGCAGTAGTACTGGCATTAACTTCTTATGCTAGTTAGGTCTGGGTAAGGTATTTAATCCAGTACAGGCACTTTGGTATGTACATGATGCGCCCCCACATGCTACACCTACGGTGTCTCTATATACATCACAGGGCGCCTAGTAGTACAGTGTATATGAAGTACCGAGGCGGTACTCCGAGGTATCCCTCTTCCCCGAGCTTCACATGTCTACAGCGCATGTGGACACCCCGCCATTACACACACACACGACACACACGTCACGAGTTCACTTTCGCTCCGACGTCCCAGCCCTCAGATACTATCGAATATGTATTCACACTAGTTATGTACAATTCCTAGTTCATTCCACATGTGGCAGATGATGCCATGTGGCTTTCTCCTTTGTCTCTGCGCTACATCACCCTCTCCCCATTATTCTACCCATATTATGCCCATATCTTTATCCTACCTACTACGTAAACACCTCCTTGTTACTTACTTACCTACCCCATACACATACCATGTTTTCACCATTATAGAATCCATCCCTGTTAGAACCCAGTCCTAGGTGTACACCACGCCTCAAAGTGGGAATACCATCGGTTGAGTGTGCTGCTTCATTCCTTCGCTTCTTGGCCTCGATGGCTTGGTCTGCCGTGCGCTGTTGTCGCCCTTGTTCCCGACCTCGATCTCCGTACCAACTTCGCACCCGCGGCATGAAATTATACTCTTTCTCTGCATCTTCTACTGCATAGGGCCGACATGACCTTCTCCATTAACCTTCTTCCATCTGCTCCCGCCATCCGCGCCACCACTCGACCCGAAGCCAAGAGCATAAAATATCATCAAAATCAACCTGCCGTCGCTGTATCCATCTCCAGAATTGTCGGGAAACTCTTGTACTTCAAGGATGGCCTGACAACCCAACAGCGCGAAGAGGCAAGATGTCGTGACGAGCGCCGCCAAGTTCTCCTCGCCCGCATGCAAAATGCAGAGTCCTGCTGTCAGTGGGATGCCGCTGCGCAAGAGCTCGACGTCCTTGAGGGCAACGAGGAGTGGAAAGCCGACACGTCGACTGGGGACTACAACCCAGACATACTTGCCGCACGTCTGAAAGATCTCGATGAGGCGCGCATGGCTGGCGATGTGCGCACCATGATGTACCTTGTCAGGACTGCTCTATCACGCGACTTGGGAGGCATGGGCAATATCGATCTCTACCGCCATTCGTATTATGGCACTAAGAAATTAATCGAGCGCTATGTCGACTCTGCCTTACAGACTATTGCCGCGCTTGTCGAGCACAGTACTCATGCCTCCAACATGCCCAGCAATGGCAACGAAGACGAAGACGAAGACGACGGCGACGTCGACGATATATCAGGGCCAAGGGATCTGTTAGACGCCATGCTATACGCCCGCCAGAGTTTTGGCCGAAGTGCGCTTCTATTGAGCGGCGGGGGTACCTTCGGCATGACCCATATCGGCGTTCTCAAGGCCTTGTTCGAAGCAAAGCTGCTTCCACGCATTATTTCCGGTGCATCGGCCGGCTCCATTGTATGCGCCGTGTTCTGCTCCAAGACGGATGATGAGATCCCTCACGTTATCGAAGATTTCCCCCATGGCGACCTGGCTGTGTTCGAGGAGCATGGAAATGAGGATGGCCTTCTCGATCATCTACGCAGGCTGTTGACGGAGGGCAATTGGTCTGATATCAAGCACCTCACCCGCGTCATGCGCGACTTGCTCGGTGACATCACCTTCCAAGAGGCTTACAACCGCACCAGACGTATATGTAACATATGTGTGTCTACGGCATCCATCTACGAGCTCCCTCGGCTACTCAACTATGTCACAGCGCCCAACGTCCTGATATGGTCTGCAGTTGCCGCCTCCTGTTCTGTTCCTCTTGTGTTTAGCGCTGGCATGCTACTTGTGAAGAATCCACTAACGGGCGAACACAGCCCTTGGAATCCAACACCCCAGGTATGGATAGATGGCTCCGTGGACAACGACCTTCCTATGACAAGGCTTTCTGAAATGTTCAATGTGAATCATTTCATTGTCTCTCAGGTAAACCCTCATGTCGTACCTTTCTTAGTGAAAGACGACATGCCATGTCCATCGACCAATAGCCACCACGCCGTCATCTATAAGCAAGAGTTTGATTGGTTAGACACTATCACATCCCTCGCGAAGACTGAAGCCCTCCACAGGATGCAGGTCCTGGCAGAAATTGGCGTGTTTCCTAATCTAATTGGCAAGCTTCGCTCAATTCTGAGCCAAAAATACTCAGGCGATATAAACATCTTGCCTGCCATTGGTGTTTTTGATCTCCATAGGATCTTAAGGAACCCCACGACCGAATTCATGACGCGCTCATGCCTTCTCGGCGAACGCGCCACGTGGCCGAAATTGGCTCGCATATGGGATCGTTGCGCTATTGAACTTGCTCTTGATCGTGCCGTTCATGCACTGCGAGCTCGTGTCGTCTTCAGCAAGAGTCAAGTCGATCTACGGAGGATGGCCACGGGTTCATTAACAGCCGACTATAGGGACGGTTGTGAACGACCTACGCAAGTTGAAGGATTCCTTTCCAAGGGGAAGCTGAGGCATCGTTATCGTAGGTCGAGCGGCAGCAGTTTAGTCAACAACTACTATCCGTCCTACGAATCGCCCTGCAGCCTTATGGATGACGATTCGGATGACGAAGATCAACTCGAGATACCGGTACGCGATTCTCGTGGAAAGCCCAACCTCAGATTAAAGAAGTTTCCAAAGCATTACACACTCCTAAGTGGGCCACAAACAGGACCCGTATCGTCCGCCACTTTTGAGACCGAATCATTCGATTTCTCGCGGGTCCCGACGTCCTCGGGTAAACTCCTAAATAAATATGCATTTCATTCTCCCAACAGACGTACCACAATTAGTGCTCAGCAACACAGTGCCCCCAATACCACAGGTAGTGACACTACCAACACTTTAAGTACCGCAGCCGTGACTTCACTACCGTCAGTTGCTAGCAAGGATACTGGGTTCGGGACAAGTGCTTCAGACGCTGATGTAGAGAGCCACGCCGATGCAGATGTTTCTGATCCTATTTTCAAATCACCCGAAACCCGAGTAGCAACGTCGGAGACTCCGTTGTTAAAAAATATCCAATCACTAGCCTAATGGGGCGACCAGCAAACAACTTGGACTTCAATGTGTGAAACTGATCGCTAGCGCTGCAATTCGGCACCAATCTTAATGGTAATGCACTGTCACAGCTAGTGCTCAGTTATCCTGGGTGGCCATTGAGCTTCAGTCTTGAGCGGAGTTTTAGTCTAAACGAGCACTGGCGGAATATTCGTAAAATTCCACCTTTCCCGTCACGAAATTGCACGGAGTGGAGCCTTCATAGGCTAGAGTCCATCGTTGAAATGATGGTAGCAAAGCGACCCTAACTAACTCGCTAAAGGAACATACCGGGAATATGATCATTTGATGAGGTTAAACATGTTTGAGCGTCATCACATCATAGCTCTCAGGTGTGAGTTGGGTACATTGGCACGCGATGGTTGGGTGGTTTTCACCTCCATAGGAAAGCAGCCCATACCGATAGACCATTACAATCTTGTTGACACGGTGGTACTGGAGAAGAGAAAGGCTGATCACTTTACGGCTATGATACTTGGTAGTCATATAGCAATTCTTGGAAAACCAATGATACCCTTTTATTTAAACCCCCTCATCACTTACAATATACTATCGAGTATAGACACTCATCCGACTCAATATCGGGCGGCATTTATAGAATGAATATCCCATTAATATTCTTCGCTCAGTCCTTGTGACAGGCCGTAGAACTCCTCTGTCCCTGTAAAGCCCATCCATGGGTTGAATATGAGACCGGCGTCTTCCCGGTGTGCGTCTATGGCCACGTCCCATAGGGAAGACGAAGCTGGACGGGATAACGGTAGTTGCTGACGATGCGGCAGGGGTTGGGATTGCTGGTTATAGTTGTTGCATGATGGCGGTGTCAGGGTCCCTGGTGTCGTGATGTTCCGGACGCCAGCTGCGGATAAAGTAGGCAGAGGTGAGAAGGTACCGGCATCCGTGCCTGTATCTCCTCTTCCCGTGATTCCTAAGCTCGGGGCCGTCCTCGTCTGCAACAGCAACGGATACGTTGTCCGCGGATTCGGATTCGTAGTACCAAGCGCATGGGATACTGGAAACGAGCCGGCGATCTCGTGGCTGTCGTCGGCGAAATCGGATTGTAGGAGAAGACTTTGTACGGATAGGCGCTGGCGCGAGCTTGCCTTTGTTTTTGGTACGGCGGGGTAAGTATGTCCTCGCCAAAGTCATGGGGTTTGGGGAGTTGTGGGGACCAGAACGTGTCGAGAGCGGGTATGGACTAGAGGGAACTTACCTGCCGTGATATCTTGGAGGACGGCCGCCGTGGCGCCGCTGGTTCTGGCTCTGGCTCGGTATGTGTATCTTGTGCTCGTATTTGCGGCTGCGCCTGTTCGGATAGACGTTTCGAGTAGCTTGATATCAGATTTTCGAGCGCCACACTCTAATCAAGTATTACCAGTTAGCCACCTCCGCCGCTTGATAACGTCGTTAGATAGGACTCACGAGCGATCGTGTTGAAGCCGAGTACTGGAAGAACTCGGTAATGAGATACAGCGAGACTTGGCGTGCTTTATGGATGGATGCCTCGAGCGTAGATGTTGCGCACGGAAGCCGTGATCCGAACATCACGAGACGCGCGCTCTCGAATGCACAGACGGCTGCGTCACGCTCGAGGAATAGCAATTGGCTGCTGCTGCCGCGGGGATAGCTCGTGATGAAATCCCCTAGAATCCGAATGATGTTCTCGGCTTGTTCGAGACATTGTGCTTGCACTTGGGTTTTTGAATTGTCAATTGTAGGTCCGTTCTGTGAGAGATATGGACATCAATGGGATGTAAACTGAACTCACTGGTGGCGCAATCCTGGGGACGAATGCTCGCAAGTAGCCCGGATGGAGCTGCCTCGCTGTAGCCATTCAAGAACATGCGATATATATCGCAGTGGCATTGGTAGAAGGAAACTAGAAAGAGATGATAGTTTAGTCAGTGTGTGTAATACTATTGTATGAACCGAGTGTATTTGCGCGTACTATGCAACATCACGAATTGTGCTGGCCATGCGCACGAGGCTAGATTCGAAACCGAGTACTGGTGTTCCGGAATCAATGCGGCTTGCAAACGCGCCAGGTCCTGCTCGAATTGCTGGATACGATCGCTGATCGTCGACAAAGACTCCTCGCCGAGGCCGACTCGTCTGTTAAATCTAGAGGAGTTCTCACCAGTCAGCCCTTTTTCCTGTTCTGCGGCCGACATGGCGAAGGCGGGAGCAGCCAGAGATATCTTTCCGTCATACACACACACCTCATAATAGCCCGGCGAGTCGAAATGAGTCGCAAATACGCTCCACGCAATCCCATAGCCACGACGTTGTCGGATACGCTCGGTCGAAGCATTCCCGTCGGACACTGCTGGCCAGCCTCGAATATCTCCTCGCGGCAAGATAGCTGGAGATATATGGTCTCTTCGGGCAGAAGCTCGAACTCGCGCAGTCCGACGCAGAAGTAATCATCGAGGATGTATAGCGCCCAGAAGAGTCGTCGTCGGGCCTCCTGGGCTACAAAGGCTAGTTCAGCACGCTCGTAGTTAAGCCGTAATGCAACGGCTGTTCGCGCCGCGAGGGCTGCTAGCATCTAGGTTGTCTGTCAGACTGAAACTTCTCTTCAACTATATGTATCGGTTTGCTCGGAAGGGAGGAAAACTTGGTAGCCCTGACACACTATTCACTTACAAAGGCAGTGGGGAACTCGCCGCCTTCTATTCGACAGCGGACGACTAGTAGTAGTGCTTGTAGATGGAAGATAGATGGACGTCCGATGTGCTGAAGGATGAGTTGTTCTGCCTTCTTAGCCCAGATGGTATGGCAACGTGCTGTGGGCTCGAGGTGCAACGACGTGACGGCGCAGACTATGAAATCAAGTTAGAAAGTAATTTACTTGAGCATCATTTTCAATACTGAGGTCTCCTTACTAGCCAACTTGAGTGCCTCGTTAACGGTGCCGTCGCGACATCGTCTGGTAACGGTGGGTTTATGAAGGAACGCGAATGAGGGTAGAGGATACAAGTATGTGAAGTAGTCTTCTAGATATTTCGTAACCATTGCCGCGTCGGGCAAGGAAGGTTCCGCTCTCGTCTCGCCATCCCCGCTTACGCCCAATCTACGGGTTGAAGAATCCTCGCGGACGACTGTCGGTGTCTCTAAGATCTCTTTTTCTCGTAGGGGAAACTCAGGGCCACGGTCCGGAGTAGAGGCGGAAGCATGTTTTCGAGCAGTCGGGTATACGCACTCTCTGCCCTTGCGAGTGCAATTGAGGCAGCTGGGAATCTCACCGAGACATCGTGTTTTCTTCAAATGGCAGGGGATACACGCCTGCAACCGTCTCCGACGCTCGGGTAATTTTAGATAACGGCCTGGCGGCCGACTCGGCGACTGCTGGAACGAACATGCAAAGCCGAGGCGATCGCAATTCTGGCAGAGACCCTCCCGTCCATCACAACGAACCTTACGTACCCTACACTGAGAGCACTATAGCTCATTAGAATTAGTATTGCTTTCTCGGTCAGTTGAATTAGACGCCAGCTTAAGGGGATGTGTGTATATCTGTCTCCACACGCTCATGGCTCTAGCAGGAAATAATGACCTCGACACAAAGCTACTATGAGAAGAGAATGATGAAAGGGGTATCATACTGTGGCAGGCTTTGTTCTTGGTAAAGCCGTCGGCGTGGAGATTGGACCTGACCTTCTCTCCACGCTAGGGTCTTGACCTGTATGATCGTCTTCTATATCTATATCCTCAACACGGCGGGTGCTCTGCGATGGGCGAAGTGGTCTCAGCGTCATTATCAAGTAGCACACTAACGACGCCCGATGAGCGATTAATGATTTCGGCCCCGTGTTTTAAGATACATATCATTGGCGAGCGCCTATGTGTCTGCGTCTTTCGTTTCAGTATAAGCACATCTTTATATATGTTTCTCCCACTTGTCTTTCACTCACTCACTCCCGCGCCCCTATATATTCATGATCATAGTCTCTTATGATGAATCGCACACACTCGGTCAGATATCGATAGTTTCTTGAGGGGGCCTCGGAGCAGTTCGGCTTAAGGATTCGGACGAGTTTATATTATGAACCTCCAGTACTGACGACGTCAACTTCGCTCATGCCTCTTATACCTTAAATAGGAAGCCCTGTATCATAACGGCTAACGAGATGTACACTAGCCAGAGGCTCTTCCCCACATTCTCATGGCTACCCAGAGATCTCCCCGCGCCGTGTTTGGGGAAAACAGGCCTTGAATTACTACCCCAAACCTTCTAAGTTACGTAGTTGGCGGAAAAGAAATCAGATAACTCAGGGCGTTTACGAGAAAGAGATCAAGATCGCCGTAGTCAATATCCCTTGATTTGAGTAAATACCTATGCCTATTGCCCATGCACTTACTGTCTCTCGCATCGTCATGAAACCTATTAATGCCAAACCTGGGTTAGCCGCCTTTAGGTGGACATGGCTCTCAACCAACCAGAGATCTGTGCAGTATAGCACACCACCTAAGCATGAATGACGCAACAAGACTCATTCGCAATCTTCCACTTGTAATTTCAACCGTCTCCAGGGCCCTTTTCAATCTTAAGTGACGTTCCTAAATGAAACTGGTATAGAAGTGCGTGCGCTCAGGACGGCCCGTATCGCTGAAGTCGCTTGTTTGCTCGATTATGTCAGACCAGTTTAACAGCTAAGTCCTTGGTGTTCTGGCGTGAAATAACCCGATATTCTACAGGTCAGAAAGCGAAGTTGAGAGTGATAAGACAACCGAAGCAGAGAATTAGAGGAAAGAGATGCTGAATGCAGTGGACGTCGTGGTCTTGAAAGGTATTGTGTCTATCTATATAGATAGATCAAGTAGAGGTAGGTATAGGTAGCTATCTAGTGAACCCCCGCTTCAACCCCGAGATAATCGGGTAGACGGTCCACATTTATATCTCTGCTACAATCGGCATTCATCTTCAAAAACGTAGACGACATACGCGGTAAATCATTGTGCTCTTTAGGATAACGCCATCACACACTACGCTTGACAAGGGCTGCCTACCCGGCCACTATCCATTCAGAATGGTTGGGCACGTGTAAGTGAATCGATTGGCCGTGTGAGCACTATTAGGGGCAGTCTTGGGACCAGGCTAATAATGACTGTCCCAGAAACATGATGGACGATGTCCTAATATCGAACTGTACGTGAGGCACGCGCAGCATTGACAGGGTGAGCCGCCAACTGTAGTAGTGCCTCCCGAGTACCTTCGATCGGCTTTGCGAGCTCTCATCTCCCAGGGCTCCTCTGTACAGCAACCCTTCGTTCGACATGTTCGCGAGAGACTTCTTGATCCGAAACCCGAACTCTATCCCGCTCAAGTGCTCTTCCCCGGTCCTGATGAACTGGCAACGGAGTGTACAACGTATCTAGCTCTTACGAGGTGCCTTTTCTCGAGTAAAATGGTACAACTCTCCTTATCGTAGTACGTATATGTTATGCCGATCTTGGTAGCTCCGCGGTTAAGATGGTCCGATCACTTAGCCTAGATCATTTTTCATGTTCATTACACGAGGCGAACGCAAACTGGACCATTGGGTCCGAGCTACACAAGGCCCTCGGTGGCTTTGCTGGCGACATAGTACAGGCAATGCAGGCCCTCAAGGAAATCGATCCTCCGAGGGACGATGCACTTAAAGCTGAACTCCTCAAGCTTCACACGTCTCTAGTGAAATGCCGCCACTACTGCGAGACACATGAACCAAATGTTTTGGACTATCCGTTTCAAAGATCAGAGAGACAGGTCGCTGACGTTGTGCACATATTATATCCGGATCACCCAGCAATAGACAAGACAGGCGACGAATATTTCTTCCCGTCAGACGTTTCACTCAGTGAGATCACCGAGACTTTTACTTTGGGGCCCTTTGAAGCGCCTCGCCTCTTCAATGGTTTCTGGCAACTCTCTTCTCCTGCCTGGGGCACGGCATCTTCCGATTCTCAGAACGCGGCTCTTTCGCAGCTTCTCCGCTCTGGGTTGGTTGCTGCAGATATGGCAGATCACTATGTAAGAGGCTCGTCGTCGAGCTTCCAAGATTTTGGAATGAGGCTAAATAATTCTGCCACAGGGTGATGCTGAACTCGTATATGGTCACTTCCGAAACAGTCTTCCACCTCAGGTGAAAGACAAGGTGTTCGCTGCTACAAAGTGGTGTGTATTCAAACCCATTGGCTGTGAGGTCACCGACAAGTGGGTGCTAGAGGCAGTTAAAGAGCGATGTAGGCGGCTTGGAGGCAGAGTCGAGCTCCTTCAGTTCCACTGGTATGATGTGAGTACTACACGATAATCTTATGCCTTTAAGCATTTACTAATACCTTGTTTATTAAGTATGGGGAGAAAGAATATCTTGACATCCTAGTGAAGCTTATCTCCCTCACAAAAACCCATCCTAGGCTTGTCAGTTCAATTGGCCTCTGCAACTTTGACTCAGCTCATACACAAGAAGCGTGCGATTACCTTCTTGACAAGACCGGGGTTGTTGGACTCGTGTCAAACCAAATACAAGTAAGAATCATTACATCTGGAGTTTGAGCCCCTGATTGACAATACAATAGTTCTCTGTTGTAGATTCGCGTCCCCTCTGGAAGATGTGCTCTATATCGGCGAAATATGGGTTGAAACTTCTCACGTACGGCTCATTTGTAAGTACCATGATATACTCAATCAAACGTTTGATTGACTTTCTATGTATTAGTGTGGTGGCTTTCTTTCCAGCCGCTGGCTCAACCAGCGTCTGCCAGAGATGTATTCCGCCTCGTGCCACCTGACGCCGTCCCAACGCAAGGTGAGTTGAAGCTTATATAAGGCTGGGTGGTAGATGGGGCGAAACTGACTCTCCGGGTCAGTACTTGGGAATGATCTGTGACTGGGGCAGCTGGGAAGACTTTCAAACCCTGCTGTCCAGGCTCTCTACCATCGCAGAGAAGCATGGCGGCCTAAGTCTTACCAGCGTAGCTATTCGATGGGTTTTGCAAAAACCGTCAGTTGGCGCAGGTATGTGTCTTCACAAGGAATGCTTACGCGTGCTTCCTCCCTCACCATAGCTAAGCCCTAGCCCTGACGCTCGTACTTGGGATCAATGCCGATACGGTTGTTTGCTGATCAAGCCCGGCCATCACCAGTCATTGTAGGGACAAGGCTCGGTGTAGCAACGCATGATCAGGATAATTTGACTATATTAAATCTAACACTGGACGATGATGATATGAAGGTTAGTACTGTTCTTGTCTCAATGGTGACAGACAAATCCTGACGAATACCGATTTCACTATTTCTCCCGATCCCCGTCATTACCCCTGTCAGCCCAAGTCATGGTATTTAGTTCGTCCATCATATCCCAAAGGACGAAAACATCTACATTGAGCGAGGCTAATGGGGATAAAGGCAATCGATGAAGTGGCGCTAGGCAGTAACAACGAGAAAGCTGGTAGGCTAATTGAGAGTTTGGGTGACTGTGGCAACGAGTATCGCAATATGCACTGAAACAGTTTGAGGATGAATTGTAATTATTCATTGTGACCTTTGCAACGCATCTGCGGCACACCTGGGTGCAACAATAGACCTCCAAATAGGATACATGTTTCGAGGCAGATTCAAGTTCTACAGCGTTTCTGTTTAATAAGCACCGGGCGCGTTTGACTGTCTCCAAGTTCTTCATATAGAACAACCAAAACACCAAGTCCCGTTATGCTGATTCTCCTTCAGAGTCCCACTCGTTGAATAGGACTCCTAAGAGAATTGGTTAACGTGATGGGGGCTTGTGACTTACCCACTTCTCCCGAACTCCGAAAACAAATGCAGCGGAGCGGGGTTCTAAAGTAGTAATCTAGGCATCATTAAACTACCACTCTACGCCTTTGATATTTAGAATTTGGTATCGGCATCTGAGGCCAGAAAGAAGACAGCATACATCCACGTGCCATGCCATCTGCAGACGAGTTCGAGCTGTATGACCTTCGCGTCGAGGTCGTCTGCCCGCCGGGTGAACGTATCCTCTGTGGTGCGCGAGAGGGCGATTATTTTACGCTGCAGGGAGAAATGATGTATTTACCGCATGGTCAAGGTATAAGCATATACAGCCTTTGTAGGTAACCAACACGCGCAGGATACCGTTTCAGACCCCTAACAATCCGTTCCAGCATCTGTCTTGCCCCTACTGGCTGCAAAGCAAAGAATGACAGACAAAAATGACTGGATGACAACAGACGCTCTGATCGCTTGCCCGGATCCAAATTGCAAGTCTCAGTTGAAGATCATCCGCACTGGGATTCGCAAGTTTAATCACTCGGAAACGACCGCTGTCCCTTTAACGAGAGAGGAATGATGGTACCGAGGTGCTTCCCCATACCCACAATCACACCAAAATAAATGCGGAGAGGGATGGTCTTTATCCTTGCTTGTGGAATTCTGTCTTGTTTACTCTGATAGTATAACTACATAACCATTCGAACGAATAAGCCTGGAGCCGTCTCTTGTGACAACTGCATTCTAGTGTGCAACTAATCAAGCTTTATCCCCTACATAGATAATCAATAATTAAGCACGGACAACAAAGGTATAACCGCGACGAGTGTAATACCCACGAAACATAGCCAGTACCCAGCACATGGCACGTTTTGAGTTCCTGTTTCCTCAGCTAGCCCTTACCGTATAACGCATTGGGTCTTTATGGGCTTTAATCACTGTGCTCACGCACCGCTAACTCTACGTCGGTGCTGGGCCAGAAGTGGCTCAAGTCTCCCACTGGAAAGTTAAACCGAATTCTCATCTCCCCTGCCATGATAACAGAGCACATATACCAGCCCAGAATTGACACGGCGAATATGATAGCTCCACCAGCCTATGATCAACGAGTTTTAGTATGATTTCGTTCAGTTAAGTAATTTCTGACCGGGACTTACTTTCGAAAGTTTATTCGCCATTTCATAATCGCCCCAGGAAAGGTTGAAGTAAGCACCTGCTAATGTCCAGGTTGCTATCGCTGTAAGACTAAATATAGTTGCCAAAACCATGTTCAGACGAGTCGTAAAGGCAAAAAAGGTCAAAAAGGCAAATCCCCAAACGATAAGGTACAGTCCGATAGCGGCATTGTATTCCCTCGATGCTGTGCCCGTCGGATCGCCCGGCGTAGCAAATGGAACGCCAAGGGCGAGGTTAGGTACCTCGAGAAGCCCAAATGACAGCCAGAATACGGCGAATAGTCCCATGACCATCATCGAAAAGAAGTTTCCCAAGATCCACTCGAATACCAGGGCAAATATCATCGTGACTGGTCCCACAAAGAAGAAGATCCCCCTTTTCTTGCTTTAGCTGTAGAACATAGGTAGGTACGGGAACAAACGGTGCACACATACGCCACGGGGGATAACCCTGCGGAGCCTCCCCATCCCATGATGATCATGGAAAATGTAGAGGCGGATATGACAAAGCTAGTGATGGTAAGCTGCCCGTACTAACGTGGGACGGCCTGTGTGCCGTCGTAGCAGTGAGACTTACCCAATGAAGCCGAGAGGTGTTGGGTTCGCAAATCGCTTGTGATAATCGCCAGCACGAGGCACCTTAGGACTCAAGTAGAGCTTATTTTCATGTGTCAGCACCCATCCCCTATCTAGATAAGCAACCACTAGGCATAGGCCATACCTTCTCGAAGAGTTCCGGGGACATTGTCACACCAGTTGGTGTTCGATGTAGCCCCTTTTCTTCGTCATGGTTTGTCATAGAGTACGGAATTTGTTGATTGGCCATCTTGCCAAAATCACCATTACCTAGAACTTACAAATGTATAGACGAAAAGAAATGGTCAAGAAGCAAAGGGAAAAAGCATCTGTAAGCCCATGCTTACAATTCAAGGGAACCGCTTCTCTTTTAAGCATCTCATAATGTTTGCGCGTATTAGCTCTCGGAGCCTGATAGTGAAATTGTCCCGAATAGGGCGAAAGGGTGAGCTGAGGCTAAGTCGGTCGTGAGCACTATCGATATAGCCATTTCTTCCAGACCTGTAGGGTGAAATCATATGTTTACCACAACTATCCAAGGCGCAGATAGATAATCCGGGGTGCAGAAAATGAGCGTTTATTACCCGCGGGAGGATACAACGTCGCGTATCAATCAGATGAAGGATGGGCACGAGGTGTGGGACCCTTGCCGCGGCAGTTTACTACCTGGTGGGAGTTTTTGTCATAAAGGGTGTCCGAGTGTAGTCTCATTGTCTCTATCTGGAAACTTTTCGCAGCAGCCTCGGACCTTGATGTCGCTAAATTAAGATTATATCATGGCTGACCAAGGCATGAATGCATACAAACAACCCCCGCTTAACATGGTCGGTAATGCACGTGTGCCTGTCACCTGCATCTCGGCAGTAGCTCCGAAGACGACGCTCTCTTGATGTTGAGACGGAGCTTTGTTGATTGGGCGCTAGACGCTGTATTCCAGGCTCCGGAAGAAAATTCTTTTCGTTGGGTGTTGATTGACTCAAGGTTTCCTCAGTACTTGTTCAACCTATCGTCAGTGTCTATAACACACCACTCTAGAACATTGCGCGGACCATTTCAACCAAGCATCGCTCCCATTGTTTCATACTCCCAGTAGCCCGCGAGAGTGGCTGGTGAAGCTCGCTATCACAACAACACGACGGCTGTTGCTGCAATCAGCGTGAAACCGGATTAGGGAAGTCCTTCTGCCCGATGGTGTTTTGCTATTCGTTCACTTTTACCCGTTGAATTAGCCTAGCTGTGGATCTCTTGACAAACGCTGGTACACCAGACCCATCAACCATCTAGATTAGGTAGCGACTCCATATACCAAATTTCGAACTGTAATACCCAGGCTGGGTATATCTAAAGCTGTTGTAGCAAGCTCTATAAGACTTGGGCAACAATCATGTCTCGTGCAATTGTGGTACACGGCACATGTCCAGCCACCCATTACCTGTAGTGGGTGATTTTCGTTATCTATGATAATCACCTCTTTCTCAGCCCCGGATTCGAATTGTGTTTCCTCTAGAGCCATTACCGCGATCTTTTAATGGTAGAATCCAGCGAGTAGGTAATGTCAAGAGTTGTACTTCGTAATCTCGTGCGGCCAGAGCAGAATTAGCCCCTGAGAGAGGACTGTGACGTTTGTCTTGTACCGTTTTATCCCTTGCACGAGACCTGTTGGGCGGCTATACTTATTGAACAAACAATTCTCCCTTCTGTCGCACAACTACAGAGTGTTGATATTATCAATAGGGCTCGTGGGAGTGGGTGATATTACAAAGAGAAGCACATTCTTTCATTGCACCATTTTCCGAGCTCACTCGTCGCATCCTAGATGACCTGGGTAATCGGCGCAACAGCATAAGCTGACGAGATAGTACTATAAGTCTCTACTTAAGAAGTCGGCTCAGTTACTATTACTATTCCTTAGGTACATAAAGTCGAAAAGTGTAAGGTATCCCTAGGTCTTTTGTTGAATCTCGTGCATCTTGTCTAGCGCATCTTGCTTATGGCCAGCCATATCCAAACCAAACAGGAAATTCTACTGAGGCGCAAGCAAGCCGCGTAACTTATCCGCCTGCAAACCAGACTGACCGCATAGGGTGTGTTGATAGGTACGCCCTCGGCCTTGTCGAGCAAAGCCACTGCTGGAGGAGCAGATATGATCTCGTTGAGAGCCATCTGAGCATTGATTCCAAGTCCAACTGCGGCACCACGTTCAGAGAACTCGGGCGCAGATTCAAAAATTCGAACATCCATATTGGATAACTGTACCAGCGCAGTCGCCAGCGTCGCTCCAGCCAGCCCACCGCCGACGATGGCGACTCGGAAGTGATGCATAGCTATGTGTTTGCTCGTTGTCCTGCGACTTGCACAGTTGGGACCCAAGAACCTCCATTTCAACCGTATCCATGTTGCGAGACATGTATGGCAAAGCCTGAAAGAAGTGGAGGAAGATAATGGTTGATCGAATTCCTCTTGCATGAGATTATATGTACCATGAACTAGCAAAATATCTGGTGTGACCACACGATGAAGACAGAGTTATGGTGTGAGCGTCACGATCCTGCCAACACCGGTATACTCGGCCGCCATGTCAAAAGCTGCCTTCCAATCTTCCAGCGGGAAAGGCTTGGTCTCTACAAGATCTGTACCTCTAGCGAAAAGCCCCGCCTCCAGCATCTTAATGAACAGGATCACATCCTCACGCTCGTACATCAATTTACCCTTCAACTGAAGGTCCTTGGATAAGAACGACCAGCCCACAATAGGTTGTCCCACCGATCCCAATACACTGATCCGTCCGCCACGCCGTAGTGCGGCTATTGCGCTAGGGAGGTGCGTTGCCTGTGCCGCCGCCGGTGGCGATAGATCCAGGACAGCGTCTATAGTACCGAAGGCTTTGAGCGATTCTGTGTCGGCCGCTTGATCGCCAGTGACCTTGACCGTCTCGATATTGGCCCATGGTGTTCCCTTCGTCACGAAAGCCTTGAGACGTGCGAGTTCCATCTCATTCCGACCCATGGCGATGACTCTGGCACCGATTGCTAGTGCCACCTGGACACCAGCTCCGCTGAACCCCCCTGTTGACGGGCATATCACGATAGTCTCGCCCGGTTTGAGGTCAATAGTTCTCAGACCCCCAAAGGGCACAAGCAAATGTGAAAGGTAGATCAGCTCGCGAGCCGAGTATCCTAACTCTCCAAACAGCCTGGCTTCATTTAAGGGGAAGCAGTTTTCCAACGGCACTTTAGCGAGCTGTGAGAATGTTCCGTCGTGCCAAATCTCCTTGCTGAGCTTTTGGCTGCCCGGACTGTAGCCCTCATGGATGCCCCATAGATAGATTGCCTCCGAGTCATCGCGCGCACGCACGACGCAATCAACCCATACTAGCTGGCCTGGCATCAAGATAGTCGCGTCGGGGCCGGTTGCTACGATGCGCCCGACAGCACTGCATCCGCCCACAATAGGCGTAGTCAGGGGGTACTGGCGCTTCCCATTGTATATGTCGTTTTGGTAGGAGAGCACTGAGGTCTCGAGGACACGAACGATTACGCTGCCTGGGTCGGTCTTGGGCATCGGACGCTGCTCAATTCGCATCTCAGGGCCAATGCTAGTAAGCACAAGGGCTTGATAATGAGTGGGAATATCTGACATAATGACAAGATATCTGGTAGAGCCAACCGGTCAAACGAAGAGGTTAAATGTTGCGGAAACGCTCTATGTGACTATGATGGTGTGTCGTGGAATGTTGACTCTCTTCACCGAACACGCGCACCTTTATATACCTAGAGGATGGGAAAATTTTGAGCCTATGTACAGGGAGATTAGACGTATTTAGTCTAAGTGACTTAGAAACTGGAACTACTTCTTCGGGGCCGCGGATATAACGGGATTCGAGATTCACGGGGCCGGGCTTTTTACACGGATACTGTCGGCGAATGCCCGAGATGGATGTATTAGGATCATAGATTACCGGATACCTTAAACAGCGGTGTACTAAATTGTGTCGTAAATGCGTATCTAATGGCACATTTAGTTACCTGCATCGTGGGTAGACTTACGTCGATCATAAGCTCTTTATTCTTAGAAAATGCGTAACGGTTATTGTCTCAATTAATTAACTATTCAACTATTCAACTCTCATAACATCATAAGAGTAGCTTCAGACAAGATTAAATGTCTAGGTTGAGTAGCAAATCATGCGTTCTGTCGCGAAAGGGTTTCTTGATAAGCTATTTGTACTCTAGACGTCGTATACGAATCGCGAGAGGTGTTACAAAAGCAATGTATTTGAGTCAAATGCCCCGCCGCCTATATCTAGACTATTCATCTGTAAAATATCATTGAAAGAGAAGCATTCCCGCGATAAGTCGGACTCCTCGTTACTGCACGCTGGATGAAGGCCTTGGCTTATCCATGCATTGTATTCAGATGAGATGGTAGTTGAGGTAGACCTGACATGTTCCTGAATCAGGGAATGGCACAGCTCTAGGCTCTCTTTTGTACTTTTCGCCATGCGCTGCTGCTGGAATTGCCCTTCTTCCTCCCCCACATATTCGGCTTGATCCAAGACGATACTTAGCTTCATGTGAAGTCTAAAATTTGGATCGCCGAGCTTTATTCGTTGTACCCATTGCTGGCGTGCCTCTCTTACTGCATCAACGAGCATCTGTCTATAGGTACCAGATCCCTGCTCTTCTATTTCAATGAGAAGCTCAGAAGCCAGTGCTAGGGATGCATGGATGAGACAACTCTTAAATAGGCCTCCACCGCGCAACATGAGGTACGAGAAAGTATTATTTACTATTGGAGGCTTCAGAAGAGACATGGCCGAGTCGAAGCTCATCTTGCGCGAGTGATAGTATAAAGCATTTTCGCGTATTCGGCCAGCGAGCGGTCGGTGTAGGACCAGGAGGAAACGCCTGAGTAGCAGAGAAGCCATATTCCGCTTACAACTCGCGGTTTCGGTATCAGGGTCGGTAGAAACCTGTGCATCGATTTCACGGCAAGCTGTGTTGAGACTTGCGCTCAGTGCCAGAATGCGCTCATCCTCAAGGTTTATACCTAGGCCGTTCATTCGACGAAGCATTTCCAATCTTGGAGGTAGGTTCTGCAACAGGAAGCGCTGCAGACTCGTATCAGTCTGCACTGTCTCGTTGTGTTGTCTAAAATTGATGCTATCTTCACCCATGTCCTCGTCATTTACATTTGTGGGCGGTCGGGTATCAAAGTCATCAAGAGAGATACCTGGTGGTGTCCCAGAATCTAAAGATGCCTGAGCATTTAGTTCTAATACGGTCGCCCAGAGTCTCCTCCGTATTTCTGCCTCGCTAAAAGAGTAATAATGGATATCAGAAAGGTTGGCTTTTCAGGGGGATTAGGAGAATGTGGTTCTTACAAACTCGAAATGCCGGGAAAATGTTTTGGATCGCGGTGTAAACCCATTTGCATGGCAGTACGCAGAAGCATGCCCATCGCGACCCAGGACAAATCACCGCCCACTGAAAGCACCTGACGAGCCAGAATCAGAAGACATTGAACCTGAATGCTGCTGATACTTAAACGGTCTTTTTCTATTGGCCCTGAGAGCCAAGTGTGAGCAGCGTACAACCACTGACACGCTGCTCTGCGGACCTCCTTTGCGCTGGCCATTTCCGGACAAAGACCGGATCCAATGGCTATGACAAGTTGGATTTTGAGCATCGTCACATCGGCGACGTCTGTAGGGTCCAACTTGTACCTATCGTATTCATTCCTAAATGATGGGCGATGAAGGATACGGAAGACAATCTCGATGTTCGATTCATACAAGTTGATCAAGTGATCTGCCATGGCCGGCGATGAAACGATTGGCTCCGGGCACGACAAAAGCCTGCCAGGTCTCGACACTTTTACGCCCTGCGACATTTGCTTGCATTCTTGTAGAAGTGAATGGATTGCCACGTTTAACGGTGAACTTGATACTTGTCCTCCTGCATTTGTAGTCTCGCTCCTCATGAAAGCTGAAATTTTGTTGAACTTAGACAATGAGCATGCTAACATTGAGTACTGGCATAGGGCGGGCTATTTTACCTCATAAACAACATTCGTCCAATGTGTCTGGCCGAACAATCTAGATTTGTGTAGCCTCAACTGCTGACCGGATAGTCCGCCGTTGTCTTCTTGTAAAGCTAACGCAGGTCTGGCCTTAGTCCCTATAGTCAACCCATTCTGGAGACATGGTGGCTCGGCACGATGAGGTTCATCATCAAGATGGGTGGTCTCAGAGCCCCTTGGCCGGGTTGGACCTAATGAGCGTGACAAAAGGCGATTAGTAGGGCGGCCTTCTGTCACACCCGAACTAGACACGGAGGGGAAAGGAGCCGAACCCAGCGGTTGACGCAAGGTGAGCTCAGAACCAGTGTCCTCCACCTCGGGCGGCCGAAAACAGTCGCTCAGGGGTGACGCTTGCCGTGTCGGCCGTCCCTGTTGCAAATGAACCCTGGCGCTGTAGTGACAGCGAGCTTTACTTAAAACACAGTGGCTACAAGGATGGGTTCGATCACATTTGACTTTACGTCTGCGACATTCCTCACACGATCGAGGAAGGCGGCGACGAGTCCGTCGAGGGCTCTGCATAGTATCTTTAAGAACTGCTGGGCGCGCGTTAAGAGGATAATCTACACACAGGTTACGTGACGGATGCATATAGGAGAGACTACGGACGTATCGTATTGAGCGTGGTTAACGCCGCTCCACCCAATCATAAGCGTTCTCTGTCCGAGACTTCGGCTCCGGGGTTATTTCCGGCCACGGATCATAGGCTAGCTGGCGTCGACGAGGCTTTGGCAATTACCAAAGACTATCTATCAGATGATAACATCGGAGCCTTTAGTTCAATGACAGTCTGTTAGATCAACACCTCTTCAATAATCAGTTATGTACAATGAAGTTGCTTTTTACATGTATATGTCAGTATTTCTCTCCGAGCGTAACGATACACATGCATTTGTTGGTAGATTGTACCTCGGTATGTGCCATCTGTACGAAAACCTAGTTACATAAACACATGTACGCCGACGTATGACAAGGTCCAAAACCTAAAAGTTCCATGGACCACGTGAAGAAGCGCTAGACTATCATGACGTTAGATCAGCCATAGTTCAAAGCCGTAGTTTGATGTGCCGAACCACCGACGTGAACAGGGGTTTCTTGGGGTAGGCTCAAAAGAGAGGCGCCTTTTACGGACGTCCGCGGTAGCTCTCCCAACATGGCCTATTTTGATTACCCTTCACGAGATAGTGTCGGTCTCAATACTTTACATTTGGCCCTCGCCCGTCCTTCAACCTAGGAATTTCGACAATGACAGTTGCAACCACACAAGATGGTATACGGGAGGCCGCATACCAGTTGCATCTAATCGTTGTTGGTGCCGGTCTGGCGGGGTTAGCTGCTGCTATCAGCACTCGACTCGAAGGCCATCGCGTCACGGTTTTAGAGAAAGCGCCGATGCTACAAGAGGTTGGTGCTGGACTACAGGTGACCCCCAACGCGACTCGTCTCTTCCGCCACTGGGGGGTTTATGATGAGCTCGAGAGCAAAGCTGCGATCCCATCCTACCTAGCCGTCAGAAGATATGACGGGACGCAGCTGTTAGCTTACGAGGACCAGTTTCAGGAGAAAATGCTCCACCGATGGGGCGCCCCGTTTTGGGACGTTCACAGGGTTGATTTGCACACGATCCTTGTGCGTCGCGCCAGGGCCCTGGGGATTCCTGTGGAAGTTGGTTGTGAAGTGAGTGATGTTGATTTCGGCCAGGCGATCGTCACTTCGCAAGACGGGAGGACGTTCCATGGCGACGTGATACTCGGTGCAGATGGTCTCTGGTCGCGGACAAGGGACCTCATGCTAAACCGACAAATCTCCCCTAAGCCCACTGGGGATTTAGCTTACAGAATCGTATTAGACCTTAAGGATATTCAAGACCCAGAACTCAAGGAGCTCGTATCAAAACCTTCTGTCAATTTCTGGATTGGTCCGAAATCACATGTAGTCGGGTACTCGGTGAGACAAGGCCTCACATACAACCTTGTTTTATTGCGGCCAGACGATCTGCCTGTGGGTATTAGCCGAGCTGCCGCAGACGTGGAAGAGATGCGAGCGGCCTTCAAACAATGGGATCCCATGTAAGTGCGCATTGTGCCATGTGAAGCAGTATGGTGCCTTGATCTGACACATATCAGCTTGTCCAGATTGCTTGCTTGCGTAAATAAGGTGGACAAATGGCGATTAATGCATCGTGAGTATAGTAATCTTCCTAGAGCTCTGACGGTTGGCAATTGCTGACATGTACTGTGTGAATATCAGTCTCTCCCCTCGTGAATTGGGGGCACAAAGAGGGCAAATTCGTCTTGGCGTAAGTTTCTGCTCCATTGCTGCCTCTTGATCCGCATAAAAGCAGCATTGACCCTGTCTCCAGCGGTGACGCTTGTCATCCGATGCTGCCATATCTTGCACAGGGTGCAAATTCCTCCTTAGAAGACGGTGCCGTCCTTGGTCGCTTGCTGGGCCATGTAACCGGCCCGAACGAGATAGCACCAACTCTACAGCTATACGAAAAAGTCCGAAAGACTCGAGGCGAAGGCATTGCCAAAGAAGCCCTCTTCCAGGTTAGTTGTTCATTTGCACACATCTTGAATTTTTTATGAGTTTAGGTTCTTGTAGACTTACAAGAACACAGAGGGCTTCATTCCATCTCGAAGATGGTCCTTCACAACAGCAAAGGGACAAAATCTTCTTAGATTCCCTCGGAAAAGAGCCACGGGCACCTTTCCCTAGTCGCTGGTAAGCTTGTTTAGGATGCTTTTCGATATGTATTCATGGGAAGGTTAATTTTATTGAACAGGACATGTCCTAGGATACAGGCATGGCTATATGGATACGACGCTTTAGCCGAGGCCGACAATGCAAGACAAGCTCAGAGACAGTTATAGGCTGTGAAAGGTATTGAAGCCAACAATACTTGCTTGAATCTCGGTCGAGGAGCATAAGTGTTATGACCTTATATCTAACGACCTGTTATTTATAACATCCGCTATAGCGCAGCTCGGATATAACGCCTCAATAGGGCCGAGGTGACATGGAGGGATGGATTAGCTTGTGAGATAGGTACATAGTTAAATAACTTTAGTCTATAAAATGATGTATAAACTGATATGCAAACCGGAGATTTAGTGATCACCACAGAGAATTCCTAACAGTTGATGCTCGGCCGTCTAACAGACATCGACCGGCGAATTTCATGATCCTCCTCCTCCTCCCTATGCATCTCATCGCCCGGTAAGCGGACGGCCCGATCAAGAGCGACTGGGAGCCCTCTATGTCTCCCTCTTAGCATCACGGCACATAGCACAAGTTTTGATCCGGGGTAGAGGCCTCCACTGAAGCTGTAGGACTGCTTAGGGAATCCAATGCTAATGCCCACGCAGCCGTACGCGGAGACGACTTCAAACATTACATTGAACACGGAGACTTTGAAACGTATCTGTTAGTAATATTCTCCATGGGCGGCTTTATGAACGCCTGAATTTCGCGGCTGAGACCCTACCACGCGAATCATGGAAGGATGATCAAGAGATAACTTACAAGTGACAGGATCTTCGAGGAAGTGGTGCGTCTCGATAATCATGATGACTAGAACGGCAACCACAAGCCACCATAGATCATGCGAGAGCTGACCCCGAATCTGATGGCCGATGAAGTCAATCCGGCTTTGAGTCATGTTGTCGCGCTCTGCGTTATGGCGGTCTGGAACGGCTCCCACTCCATGCCACTCGGATAATGTACGTCGTAGCAGCCTTCCGAGGACTTGGCCTTGTCGGCCGCCTGATAATGTTTCGCTCGCGGAATCGTCCTCGTAGTCATACCCACGGCCGTATATACCCAGCGATCGTTCCTCGTACACGTTGGAATGTCTCATGGTGATGACGACGGGATAAACTGCGATATACATCATAATAACATACAAAACTTGGAGGCCGATGTACAAGTCAGGAATCGAAACAACGTAGAATCCGCCCGATCGCACAGCTGTCACGTATGTTAATATGGTCAAATCCCTCCGTGGGTCAGCCCTGGCACCACTCACCAAGTGCCTGGAATAGACCATCGATAGCTCGTGGCCCCGTCTGGACTTGACTGAGACTTGAGTTCCCAAAGTTGAGAATCTCGAACGCGACCCAGTCAGTGCCGTTGAGAACGAATAACATAAAGACGAGCCACCATGTTTGCCGCTGAGGGAAGAGATTAGTATACACTCGCCGGGGGTATTTGAGAATGTATTCTAGCGTTGCTTTCCATTCCACAAAGTCATGTGAATAGGACACGAGGTTCAAGATCTTGAGACTGGCCCAGATACATAGCCTCAGGAATATTGGATAGGCTGTGTTTCCAGCTAGAATCATCGTCCCCATGACAATCAACACAAAATAGCTGGCGCCGTAAGGAATCATATTTGCATCCAACACGCTCACTGAGGAATTAAATAGTTAGCTGTTCTCCTGTGTAGCCCATTGAAGTTTTGTGGATGTGTGAGGAACAATAATGAAGTAGTCAGTCTTGCTTAAGAGTTTCTTTTGTATTTCAGAACTTGTGAATCAGAAAATCAAACATACTGCCGCTGTTATTGAAGGCAGACACGCCGTTGAAAATCCCGTTCCACCAGGGCGATATAGCGTTGTCCAAGGCAGGCTGAGGTTGATTATTTGCAATCCAAGCTCCAAGAGCTAGGCTGCCAAGAAATTGCCAGGAGACAAAGTAGACAGGAACCACGATTGATAGTAGTCTGAGAGCCCGGTATTCTGTGCCGCCGAGTTTTTCTCTCTCTTCGTTCGTGAGTCCATGAAATTGAGCGTTCCGCCCAATCTTAGGGGCCCCGTGGTATTGACCTTCATCAGCTGTTGTCGTAGCGGTCAGAGTAGGAGCGCGAGAATTGATGTTCGAAGGGTGTCTTTGCACGACGCCCTGCTCGTGGTGAAGCGATGTAGTTGTGGCTGTGCGGGGTGGCACGTCGGCAAAGGTGACATGTTCAGAAGTCGTGGAGGGAGCACGGCCGCTGCGATCACCCCCTTCGGCATCGTCATCTACTTGTAGTCGGTGTTCCGCTGCACCTAGCTCTATGTTACGATGCGACGCAGAGTCTATAGCATACGGGATGCCAGGTTCAGAACCACCCTGATATATGGACGACGGAGGAACAATGGTCGATAATAATCTCCCGTTGGTAGGGCTAGAGATGGGGCCTAGAGCGGTACCTGCATGGTTACGGGGCTGGGCGGAGGCGGATACAGAAGTCGAGACTGACGGGAATGTTGTAGATGCATTCCTACTTCGTCCTAGAGACCTGAACCGCTGAGCAATAGGTAGTAATGTTAAGCTTGTGTTGCGGCGCTCATGACTACGTTGACGTTCCCTTTTCACAATCTCTGCAAAACGGTGTTCGAAGGCATGCTTGCGTATGAGTACAGTCCAAATACTGACCCAGATAGAGCTGCCAATAATGATTAAGAACCAGAGTAAAACCTGTTGCCATGTTGTCATCTGGCTTAGGTTGACGGTATTTAGGCCGGCCTCTGTCATGGCAGAAACAGCAAGAAAGAGGCTGTCTACATAGGAAATGCTAAACCGGGGGTTGGATGAACCCCAAAACACAAGCGAGGCCAGCAACGTAACGGCGATGAAGTAAGCATCTACTAGCCATGAGTTTTTTATCCATTTAGCCTGGTCAATTGAGTGATCTCCGAGCCTCTCTATCCCCTCACACAGAGGGCGGTCAAGGAGAAAGCGAGAGCGGTCTATCTACGTCAATAAATACGTACTGGAACCAGCCAAACATTAGTCTGCGTAAAACGTGTGAAGTAGAATGAGCATATCGGCGTTTGTTGTGTGCGACTTGGATATATAGACTGACCAGTGTATCGTGATAAAGTTTAGGGGAGGTAAAAGGGTACGAAGAGTGCGCATTCTTGACGAGGAATGAGGTAGGCCTTAGCTCGGAGAGCATTTAAATCAATTGACCGTGATCTTGGATACTCAAGAGCATGATCTGCCTATGCGGTACGGGTGTGAGAGACTTAATTGACCAGCAGGTGTCCGGGGTAAGAAGCTCTCTTAGCACCCTGGAGGGAAAAAAAAATTAGAAGCACTGTAGAACGAAACCAGATCGATATAGGTGTAAATTTAGTGACAGAGATAGAAAGAGAGAGAGGGAAGCAGAGCGTATGTGCTGTTAAATCTCACTGTCTTGAACACAACAATGAAGGCCCGTTGTAGTTACCATTGTTCTGCGTAACAAGCATTAAGCATGGGTACTGCGTAGGTAGTATCACCATAGCAAAAAAAAGACTCGGCCAAGAATAAGAAGCACCGACAAGGGTTCTCATTGTTTAACGTCCTTCTGCTAGTGCACGCTTGGTCTAGTATAAGCGTATACAAAGTAGAAGTGCCGTCATCCCTGTTACCTTCTTGTGGGGCGCCAGGCATCGTAGCGAATTGAATTGTTCCCGTGAGATATTTTAACTGTAAAATTGTTATTGTTCACGGCAAAGAGCGCCGTGCCGTGCTTCCCAAGGCCGTTTTGCGGAGGGCCACAGCATTTCAGAAAGACCAATGGCGTTTCCACGTGGGTTGTCATGATAGGCCTATGTCGGTGGAGGGAGATAGTGAGAAGCTACTTCAAGTTGTAACCATCACGACTGCCTATCTAGGTAGCTATGCCGCATTAATAGAGCTTCAGTTCCAAGACGATCAGAGCCTGGAACCGCATATCAAAGCCCAAAGACTTTTACTACCTAGTGTCACGGCAACGATGCTGGTACGGGGCGGTGGATCCCGGAACATTCCGCATGCCTTGGTATGGATATAGATGTACTTATGTGTCGATTATGGTTTACCCCTTAGCGCCTTAGCCGACAATACTGACCAGGATGGATTGTTTGCATTCTTCCTAAATAGGTTATCGACCTACTGGAGGTGTAGCCTGGATATGTCGCCAAAGGGCTTCAGCTTGGTATAGACTGGTTTCATTTTCATCGGCTCCTGGAATAGCTGGTTATTTCCCAAGTGCTGTAGGGAGAAGCTGGTGATATAGTCATCTTCTCATCTACCGATTTACTTCTATATGGCTTCGAGCCAGTATATTTCACGCTGTGTACACTTCCGAGCGCAATAAGTGCAGTTTACAACCATAGGTCAGACGCTGAAGTCGAAACCAGAAAACTAGTCCTGTTACTACTTGGCAGGCCACAGAGAGAGGGAGCCGATGACAACGATATTGCCTGAGCAGCTTTTCTCTTTGAAGGGCCACGGTGGACTGCAGCGCAATAGTTTCAACAGACACGCGCTGATGGAACCTGCGATATGGGTTCGCCATCCTCAACTTATAGCTCGTTATGTTCCTGAACGTCGTCGGTGTCGGCCAACATTGTACCAATAACCTCTGCTGCCTCCCCTATCTTCTCGGCAACTTTTCCAGCAGTGCCGGTGCCCGTTTCGGTCTCGGCCGCGGCCTCCTCGCTAGAACTAGCGGTAGCTTTTGTTACGATGGTCTCAGGCTTTGGTACCCCCTTGATTCCTATGAGTTCGGTCTCAAAAACTGACCGCCATGTTAGATTGCTGTTACAGATTCTGTCATGATGGAGTGCCTACCTAGCGTGGAACCGGCGGGAATAGGGCCCACTACAACAATTAAGGTCAACGTGTATTCGGAATGAAACGCAAAACTCTCGGAGGCCATTGTCGGCTTCAGGAATGCGTTCTTCGGGGAAATGATGAGGAGAACGACGAAGTAAAGGTTACCCACTCCCGCGGTTTCCGTATCCCATCTCGGGAGGAACAGTCAAAGTTCTGTATAAGAAAGTTAGACGTCATCTTGGAGAGCAGTAGTCGTCTATTTCCCCCATCATTCGGATGCTTGAAGATCGCGTACCTCTTCTCCCCGATGCACATATCTAAAAGACCTTCATCCCATCTGAGCCAAAGAATCAGTATCGCGAAACAAGCGGCTCGGTGTGTTGAAATGGTTTGGGGGTAGCGATTACCCCTTGATTACTCTGCCAGCGCCGAGCGGGAAGACGAAGGGCGTGCCACGGTCATAGCTGGCATCGAACTTGTTGCCATTGGAGGCCAGGGTGCCTCGATAATGAACCTCAATGGTGTCTCCTTTCTTGGTTTGGCGCTCGCATTCGACGGGGAGAGTTACGTCGATCTTGAGGTCGGAAGCCAGGGCGCCGACAGCGGCAGAGGCAAGTAGTGATAGGGAGCAGAGGAGGCGATACATGTTGCGGTGACTATGATGATGGTGAAGGTTGCAGCCAATGGTTCGTCGGGTTGTTTCTACTGGAATTGCGGGTTGTCTCAGTATCAATTGATCTGTGGAACAATTACATACATACTTACATGCTTAGCTAAGTATAGATAGGCGGTGTAACAGAAGTAGGAACACGTACGTAGTAACAATCATTAGGTGGGGTTGAGTGGGGTTGATTTTGGGGGTAAGGTTACATCATTGGAGGCGGCACAACAAAAGGGGCAGGAGGGGCAGAGAGGGGCAGCAGAGAGGGCAGCTGGCGGCGGTTGGTCTCTTACATAGTAACTGTACCTAGATATCCCGTCTTATTTTCAGCTACCGAAGGATTCGCAGGATTCCCGTTGCAGGATTTCCCTTCCCTTTGGACTGGGCACTGGATCTACGTACTTAGGTAGCGATAATAGAATCGATAAGGATAAGACCTCATTATGTAAGGCATTCAAGCAACGCCTCAGTCAGATGCCTCGGATGCCTGGCCAATCCCGCAGTTGGCAATTCCCCTACCTACCCTACCCTCTTTTCGACCAAGAGTCTACGCGTACTTCTCCTACGCCAGTAAATCATCCATTCTTCACCGAAATAAGCTGAAGAAAGTCCCATCGCGAGTCATACCAATGACAAGGTTGTGCTCTGAGCTCTGGTTCGCCCAGTATCCCCCGAGAGTGCTGCCTACAAAGCCGCAGACAGAGAGGCCTAAGGCCGTCTGGTTCTGCTTTGAGCCCCCAAACATCAGCAAAGTCCTAGATTAGTCACACGGCGGATATACCCCAGCCACAGCCACCCCAACCGACACTACGATGATCAGCGAATAAGCTGGATAGCGAGACAATGAGAGAGACATCAAGCTTACGGGCATGCCGATGTTTTTTTTCGGTCGCTGTTCACCACATTGCCTACCGTGCTGTAGAGCGTGCCACGAGTGGACTATTGACCTCGACACAGCACAGCCGACGGCGCCTTGCTCGATTCCCAGACCCACTGGTAGCGCAACGCAGTACCTACTATGTACATGTAGGTTAGGTAATACTGTAACGGCTGACTTGCCGCCTTGTAGGCAACAACCAGGTCCTCCAGTCTCGTGACATAGACCGGATATCCAAGGTGTGTGTCCTGGTGGCGAATAACACACCCTTTAATAGCACGAACCTCGGTGTCTCTACGTCTGTACCCAGGTAGCGAAGATGCCTTGTCTCTTGCCTCACCTGGTCAATGCTTCCCGTCAGGCTGTCTCGTGTCAGCTTCTGGTCAACCCGCCCCCCTCCGGACTTTCATCTGAACGCTAAAACCCGGTGCACGTAACAATTGAATCTGGCACTGCCCACCCGGGTTTGACTTGTGATATTTGCTGAATTTACTAAGCCAGTATGACTGGCCTTCTCGGCCTATGGCAAACCCCAGACAGCGAGACAAAGTGGGCTCGGTATGTGAGGATGCTGTGCTCGCCGTTACATCACCCCTGTATCCTGCTTGCGCTGAACTTGTCACCGAGAGCACTCCTCTACCGTCATCACCCTCTTTTTCTTTTCGGTATACACTGAACGAGGTTCAGCCCAGTCGGCCCCTTGATATCTCTGCCTGGCCTCTAATCCGTCATAGCCCCAGCATACCCACCGCCCATTAGGCCTCTACCTGTTGCTGCCTCGCGCAATCTCGACCTAGTCCAGTCAACCGTCGCCCTCGATGCCTCAACTGACTCACACCTCTGATTCGTGCTTGCCATTTGTCGAATTGACCAATGAATGCTTTTCAGCCCAGAGTTATGCCTGGGGCATTGTCAGTGGCTCGGTAGGCCATTGCCAGTGACACTGTAGCTCTGGCTTCTTTTCGCTGCTCAAAGTGGTAATGGTGAATGATTTTGTGAAATGTAATGTATTGACTTCTACTACTGAGACCCCTCAAGATATATAAAGATATGGGATCCCTCAGTTCTCAAGTTGTTTTCAGTTTTGAGTTTACACATCAGACCAGCAGTTCCTATTCCTCGACCTAGGCATTGACCATTTTGTAAATTCCCTTTTCGTACAGGACACCAGTACCACCACACCCGAACTTCAAGATTCCTGATCTCCCTTCCTAAGTCATTCACCTCTTCGACCACCCATCATCATGTCGTCCTCAAACAGCTCCTCCAACTATGGCTCTGATCACTCAACCATTCTGAGCCAAAGCACATTTCGCTCACAAAAGTCTCGTACGTGATTCTCGACTACTTGGCGCTACCAACTGTGCAATTCGGCGAGACGCTAATGCTCTACATTTACAGAGGACCACCGGGGCGAGCGGACTGAACGACAAACTTCTCATGGCAAGCGTGTGGTTACCTACGAGCACCATGCCAAGGGTTATGATCAATATGCGCCAACGCCCAGCTAGTGAGTAACCCACTTGAGAATAATGTTTAACTCAACTAGATATAACATTGAACTATGCTGACTTTATAATTAGTGGCCAATCAACAACATACGGTCGACAACAGTAACAGCCCGATGCCTTTTGGGGAAGGCTATCGATCCTTCCTATGCCATGTTTGCATACTATTGCTTAACACAACAACAACAACTCAACTGTTTTTGGATCTCCACTTGGGATAATTTCCTAGGAAAATGGCGTTAATCGTAGATGGAACGGGCCGGAGGCTTCCAATTGTTTTCTATCCTTCGCCGTCTGTTTTAATGTCTTTGAATCAATAGGTGAATCGGCGCAGGCGGATAATTGTGGCAAGATTTCTTACTCGCAAGAAAGATGGGAAAATGGCGTTCAAATGGTAGCAGGCGCAAGCAACATCGATATCCTTGAGCCCTGTTTTCCATATTCATCACCTAGACTATCAGGAGAGGGTTCTCCTTATTTATATACCAATCGAGTTACGAATCAACCTCAGACCCTAAAGTCGTAGTAGTCCTTTTGCTCTCGTGATCCGTTCTTTAAGCGGCGATCCACCGATCACCCGGTGCCATTGGCTTAAGGCTGAAATGATGGGTTGGGTACCTGCATCCTGCAGGAAGTGCGGCAGACAGCGACGATGCATGGATCGCCCAATCATGAAACGGTCACCAGAGGAGGGGTCGTCCATAGTGCAACCGACCGAATGGAACGGAGGCTGGTCACGCGAAGCCCCGTGGGGATTGTCTGAACTACACGATATGCATGTCGTCACAAATAAGTGCCCTGCATCGATTGCTCTGCCTGATGAGGAGGATTTGGTAAGCGAGCGGAGTATGTTCAGCTCCGCGCTTATGGTGACCATTACGTGGATCGTGCCTCGTAGATTAGGCGATCAGCATAGGTAGAAATTCTTTCTTTCTTCTCTTATGCCTGATTGATAGCTTCGACTGAAGAGTGATAGCTTGATATACGTTCATCCGTGGACCTTGCGATATCGAGAGCTAGGCAGAGTCGGAAGACCTAGCTGGCGCGATGGTAGCGCATATGATTTCTGCGATATAGCATGTACAATCATGTGGTCGTGGACTCAAGTTTCACATCAGGTTTCATTCTCTTTGACGTCGCTTTTCTTGCCATGCGCGCCTTCGGGGTTGATTGTAACATGTAATTGGTATACCAGAATGTCTTTCCCTTGGGTAGCCTCACACGCTGTTACCTCCCGAGAGGTTTGGAGTCTCTTTAGCGTTAATGATACGAATCATCCGAAGGATCGTGAGTTGATCAAAGTACTGGAGAAGTGTCTGCTATACCTGACGCGAGTTCTCTGGGAGATAACTGAATGTAAGAGTGCAATGTCGGCTCTTACTCTTTTCATTTCCTACTAGCGACATCGAGTATCAATACAAGACCATATTTAAAGATATAGCTGATTCTAGGCTCTACTCTGGTAGACTCTTCAGACTCACAATAACCACCACGGGACGACTTTAACCAGAGTCTGCCCGAGCAAAGCATCACCAGGAACTTCAGCCGCGATGATACGAGTCCTTCCCCTCCTCATAGTAATTCGACATCTCAATCCCTGAATTATGATAACCGCACTTCCCATAGAACGGTTCATTGCGCGGCCCACAGTTCAAGATACTCTTGTAGCAGCCTACAGCAACAGCTACAGCCTGGAGTGCCTGCATGATCTTCAATCCTAGTCCTTTGCCTTGATGCTCTTTTGCCACTTCATCAACTCACGATTAGCATCCACTATATCTGACAACACAGCGGAGAGAGATCGGGAGAGCATGCAATACCCTCCAACACAGACAACGAGACATAATATATCTCTGGAATCACTTACCAGCGATCTCTTCCACGTGTCCGCATTTGCCATGATTATGTATACTGCAAGAGGAATGCATGTCAGACCCGATCAAACGCAAAATAAATAAATAAATAAATAACGAGAAAAATGGCTCAAAATTATTAAAGGGACGCCGAAAAACAAAACAAAGCAATATAGATAGATAGACAGGCAATATCATACAACTTCCTCTCAACAACAAGACACCCCGTGCCCACAATCCGTCCACGATACTCCACGACCGCAAAGAAATACGTGTCCTTCGCAGCGCGCATCTCATCAAAGCGCTCGAGGAATTCAGACTCGGCGGGCTCGCCCACCCAGGTGAGCACGCGAAGACACTCGTAGAAGCCCTTGGCATAGTCATTCCTCGCGAGCGGGCGGATGGTGAAGCCATCGGGCAGACCACCACCACCACCACCGTCGTCGATCGAGAGCAGTGACGCCGAGAAGAGACTTTGGGAGTCTGCCATCTCGAGTAAGATTGATAGATATGCAGTCGTCGTCCGACACTGGTTGGTGTTTGACGAGAAGTTCTAAGTACTATGTACTATGTACCTATTTAGGTACCTATCTGGGCACCTGTTGAGCTTAAAGGGGAAATTGGAGTTAAATGCATAGTACGGGTTAATAGCATAATCAGAAGATCACGATAATGACCCCACCTAACGTCAGTTGGACACCTGCCTGGACTTTTATCCTGTCACATCCTGTGCACGTAGTATTTCATATACCAAAAATTGAACAGTCCGACCTTTGAGGTCTTCAGTCTGCCTCGCCAAAATCGGGTTTGCATAGGTCTACGAGTATGCTTTAAATAGAGCATTTACCTCGCCTGGCAGCTAACGTCATACCTCTCGTCAGATTGGGGTCACTTCAAGACCCATCGTCCATTCTCCATGTCAATGATATATATTCAAGATTGGGGTCCTAAGACAAGGTTACTTTATAGTCTAGCCGAAGCAAAGCTTTTTCTGCTTAGGATCATCAAAGCCAGCAGGCCGTCCCCTCTTCTTATCCAAGCCGCTCTTGATCTTTTTCGTCGAAGATGGCTCCATCACCAATGGCGGGCTCTCCGTGGTATCTCTTTGTACAGCGTCGCGAATTGTCTGTCTCGAAAGACACGAGTCTAGGTGGTCATTGAAACGTCGTTCGTCTGCGGGCTGAGGCCTCCCGCATATAGGACAGTCCCACCACTGTTCTGTCTCAACATCAAGGGCCACGGCAGGTATCGTTTCATGCGCACTCCCTAGTTGCGCTTCGTCATGAAGTACGTGGCTTTCATCATCTCCAGCTTGTACCTCAGATTCCAGTTGGTCGTTATCTTCATACTCAGGACTCAAGCTAGCTGCTCTCCCCGCTATCTGTTGTCCAGATTTGCGAGATGCGTCATCCGCTGCTACCTTGAACGGTTGTAGTCCAAAGAAAGCACGAGTGTCGGGCTTCTTTGTGCTAACTAGGTGCGTGCATCGTAAACCCATAAGCCGTAGTTTCATAGACGGTACTAGTATAGCAGAGTCAATAACAGCGCGGGATAATGAATCATGACAAGGCCCCATTACACATCGTCTCTATTGGGGGTAGAGTGGGCAGAGCTGTACTTAGGGCAACTCACTTTCATTTTGTAGCTTCGTGAGGATTGGTAAGGAATATTGATATAGATCGTCTGCTTGATAAATAGCTTTCGGTAGGACAACCTGGCGAGTGAAAACTTCGTAGGTATGCAACTTGACCTTGAGTACCAGTGTCCTCCCTTTACACTCAGCCCTCAGCATGTCTTTCTCCAGCTCTTCAGCTGTCGATCGAAGTTTGTCTCTCAGTTCTGTAGGGTCTGACATATCTCGAAATGTACTCTCGGTACCGACACTCTTCCGCTCATACTCTTCAGCAGGCTGTATCTGGGTCCGTCCGAGACCTAGGTGGCATGCCAAAAGAAAGTGGTATGTCTTCTCACCGAAGAGTTGACGTAAAAGGTGACGATGAGGATAAATGTCCCCACAAGTTCGAATGCCTATTTCCTGAAGTTCTCGCTCCAGTACGCGGCCAATACCATTCACTTTCCTTGTTGGTAGATCGCGCATGAAGGTCACAATCGCATTTCGATCGTTCGGCAAAGAATATTGGCCGTTGGGTTTGTTGAAATTTGAGCATATTTTGGCAAGCTTGGCATTAGCGGCGATTCCCGCAGACACAGTGATCTTTGTCTTCTCGTGGATCTCATCGCGCACTTGCTGTACAGCCTCTTCGGCTGTCATGTTATGTTCGACGCAATACTCGGTAATATTGAGGTAGGCTTCATCTATGCTAGCACTTTCGAATCTCGGGTCATAGTTGGCGAGAATGTCACGGACTTCATGAGCTTTCGCGGTATATTTCTCGAAATTAGGTCGGACTAGAATCGCCAGGTGTCTTAGCAAGCAGCCAGGATCAAGTGGTGAGGTTACGACGCGATCTCAGCGAAGTCCTTGGGAGGTTTACATACTAAGAAGTAACTCCGGGCATATCTTCTTCGCAACAAATCCGGCCATTCCACTGCGACAACCAAACTTGCGGGCATGATAATTGCAGGTAGTTAGAACACCACCACCAACGGCGAAGGGGACATCTTTCAGCTCAGGGCGATCTAGCTGCTCCACAGCAGCGTAGAAAGCGTCACAATCAAGGTGCACTATGCGCTGTGTTAGGTCGCGAGAAGCTTCAAGTTCAGTGATGAGTTGGTCGGCGGCTCGAGATTCGCGCGTGAGGTCTAGTTTTTCGAGGCGGCGCTTCTTTGTCAAGATCTGCTCGATCTTCTGTGTTAGGACTTTGTCTTTCGCCTCTTCACGGTTGAAGAACTTGGATCCTTTAGAGGCGTTGTAGATGATCTCCGAGACCTTGGACTGGTCAACGGCGTCTTGACCCGCTTTGGTCAGGGACGGCCCAAGTAGGTGGTACTTTAATGTCTGGTGCTCGCCAGGTTCTGGTTCTGTGGCGTTCTTATTCTCCTCGGCCATTTTGACAGCGCTGGACCGCCCTAGATGATGGTAAATAGTCACATGATACACCGAGACGCGCAGTCCGCATGGATTGTCTCAGACTCTACTGAGAAGATGGCCGCGATGACCGAACACGTTCAATACGAGAGGGGCATCTTCACACCGAAAGACGCGTAAAGGTCAGACACGACATCACGTGAAAGGTGGACAGGCTTAATTGAGTAATACAATGTCCTAACTCTCCTGGGTTATGTCTACCGTGTGCGTACAGTATATGTATATATTGAGTACTGTACGTGTAGAGTAGTGCACAATCTTCCACCATCAAAAGTTACATAGGTCGATGATAAGTTACAATGGCATATCATATATGTCCCAACTTACTCAAATCTAAAAGTATCGCTATACAATTCTCAGCGAAGATATTGCTTAGACCTTAATCACCTGTACTTTGCCGGATAACATGTTAGGTATAAGCATGTAGGTACTCGGTTTATGTTCTCTTCGCTGAACCTAAGCAACGCACTCACTATTGACAACAATCATTTAGAACTCCCGCTTGATAGTCTTACGTCTCCCCTTCGTGTCGAGAACCGCGACACTAAGATTTGGCAGCCGGAACGAAAACGTGCCATGCCTATCCGACTTGACAGAAGTCTTGCGCGTCTTCACGACGTTCACACCTGTGTGGGGATCGTTGACGGCGTAAGGATCCTTGGGCCCAGTGAGCACGGTCAGTTCAGCCGTAGTCCCGGCCGCTACACCGTCGAAGGTAATTTTAACCGGGACATCGGCGCCGTTGGTAGAATTGTACACAGCCGCCTTGAACACATGTCCCTGTGTCTTCTCGTTCTTTCCGGCTACGTAGTAGACGGGTCCGAAGTCGACATCTGCTGCGAGCGTCTTGGTTATGGGATGAGCTGCCATCAGCTAAAGCAAGGGGTCAGCTGGTTGCTTTCTTTCAAATGTAAGATTATTGTTGTTGAAAACTCACCTCCCAGACATACCAACTCGTCGACCGGGTGGTCATAGCTGGATCGGCTGCAAATTGCAACATCGTGATAGACCACTGCCATCTGTTCATGTTGCGGAGAATGGGCGCCTGTGGATGAGATAAGTTTAAATAGCCTGAGCCTGGTTAGTTGGGTTAAGGTACATACATATATCGCGCCAATGATTCTATCCGCGTTACGCTCATAGCCTATGAGGGCTACTGCTTCCCCAACAGCACCTTGCCACCTAATCCCATTCTTTCATTAGTGTCGAGAATATACTTGGGCCATCTTGGACGCAAAGTGACATACCATGGAAAGGGTCTCAGCACGCCGCTATTCCAGCCGGTTCCGCCATTGGGAAATGTGGAAGCCATCTCGCCTATAACGTGTGGTGTCTTCACGTTGTCGAATTTTCCAAACTCGGCTACCCACGTGTCTGGAGTGGTGTATAAATGATAGTCACCGGCTCCTGGGCTCGGGATATCGTATCCATCGTACACCGAACCGGACGAAATGACTTGTATGTCCGGATCTGTGGAATGGCTATGGTTAGGACTCTGTGCCGAAGTTCTCGCATTGCATCGGCTGAGCGAGGTAACCAGGTGATTCACCCCATCACAAGGCGTTATTTACTCACTTAGACAAAATTAGCTTTCCGCCCTGAAGACGCCGGAACATCAAATGTCGACCATAGTAACGAAGGATGTGGATACATACCATGCTTCATTTATCGCCTTTAAAAACAACGGGAATCTGTATTCCTTATATGTGTCCCAGCCCTCAGGGGCACCGGCCAGCCAATCCTCGTTACCGACTTCGACGTATTCGAGCTTCCAGGGCTCAGGATGACCGAGCGCGGCGCGAATCGCTCCCCATTTGGAATCTGCAGGACCTCGAATGAATTCTATCTCGTCCAGGGCGTCGTCGATAAACTGTTGTAATTGATCTTCTGGAGTAACGTCGCCATTCAAAGACAGACCGGCATATACTGCGAGAACTGCGACAGTTTTTAGATGAAATTATCTTTCATCGAGCAGCTATAGACTTACTTAATTCCATGCCCATGTCTTCGGCGAACTCAAGATATTCGAGCACTGTAAGGAGAGTGAGCACAGGCGTGTCGAGCTACCAGCTGTATATGGACCGGCACATCTTTAAGGAATACCCGTCAAGGTGGTGATTTGAATACCATATTTCAGACGCCGGGTGAAATAAGACGACTTACAGCCCAACCCATTAGTCTGTTGATAGTCCCAGACACCCGAAAATCCAGGTCGGTCCCTCAATGGTCCAATCGAGTCTTTCCAGTTCCAGAAAGACTTATTCGTAAGACCTTCGAGCATGTTCCCACCCGGAAGACGGAATAATGTCTATAGGAGGCTCGTTAAATCTCTTCGCGAAGGAGGTCATGGGCAGATGTCCTCACCGGATGAAATCCTTCTAGTGCATCAACAAGATCACGTCGCATACCGTTTTTACGTCCTTTATAGGTAGGAGGAAAGAGGCTGATAAGGTTGAAGTCAAGAGATTTCGACTTGAGCCCCTGAGATGAATCAATCAGCACGGTACATGCTCAGGACAAGCTGTATCGCTTACCGCTGCTTCGAACGTGATTGCAAATGTGTTGTTCGAACTTGGCACGTTCTTGGTAGGCGTCAAGGTGAAATCGTGTTCAACCCACGCATTCGCTCGAGATTTCGACTTGATATTCACGACACCGAACCGCTCTCCTGTGATATTTGACTGCAGCGAAGCGGTAAAATGACCACTATAATCGCCACGAACCCAGAAGGAGCCCCGGTAGGGCTGGACTTTCACGTCTATGCCCCAATAGCCATCGTTGTAGAAACCAGCCTTTCCGCGCCCTGATGCAGGCGCAACGTTCATCGAGGTTGAGAGAGCGCTTGATAACGGCTCCTTAAGGGTGTTGAGAGATAATATTACGCCATTGATAGGGTACCAGCCGCTCAGAGAGGACGGGAATCCTTCACTGGCTTGAAATGCTCTGTTACGAATTAGTTCGGCATAGAGACCGCCATCACCCGAGTTATCGATATCCTATCTGTATCATCAGCCGAGTGTCCTAACTCTATGAAGAATAAGGGTCTTGTCTCAAACCTCATGCAAAAGACCATAGTGGAATCCACCAGTGTTGTTCCCTTTGGAGCTGATACTGATATCTATAGCCGATACTGTTGTAACGGCTAAAAGGCCGAACAGCATCTGTTTCATCATCGCTTACACAATGCTCTGACTTTTGGACACAGCTCTGCCAGTGGTGAAGATCGTGGACGAATCGTGAGAGGCAAACCTCCAATTCCAACGAGCGTATAATAAATACTCGGGGACGCCTTCACCTTGCGCGTGCATTGAGCCGCCGATCTGCAGACAATAAACCTTCACCGAGTTAGCTGAGGGGTCCATGACATCAAGGAATCTGGACGGTCAACATCGTCCCCGCTGGTTAGAGGAAGAACCAGATCATTGTTCGATCTCGTCATATTATTCTTGCAAGCGGCCCTATCAGAACCAAATGCTCTATGCCGGGATCTCGGTCCTATAGAACAAGGCAAAGGGTCTAGCTTGGTCTTAGCTCTTGGCTTCCAGGGCTCTAAGGGTTCTTGGGTATATTTCTCCTAGACATGGCCAAGTCCCACTCCTTGCGATGTGAATGTAACTGGTGGAATGTAACATCAGGTCAAGCTTCTCCAATGAATTGGAGAAAGCTGATGGGGATTTTGCCCTGGAACGGATCCAATGATCGGAAGTCATGCAAGCACATCCGAATGTACGGTTTACGTGTAGTTCTGGACTAACCCCATAATTCTTGATCTCAACCTCGACGTTGTGGCCCTCCCTGAATTGGCACTCTGGAGCTAGGTGGTTTAACCTTGACAGTTCTTTCCTGCATAAGAATGTACAGTTCACGCGTTAGTGAAGCATGATATCAAAACCGTGGGCTATGTTATAGTTTCATAATATGACTTTAACGGAATGTGCCGATTATAGATACACCGGACCCCAATAGAGAACCACTGTGCTGGAAACAAGATATAGACAGTCTCACATTTCGCCTTCACCCAAGATAGAAATTAATCCCTCGACATGTTATACAGGCTCCCGAAGAGGTAAACTCAACTTACGCGTACGCCCACCTACCAATGCTGAACCAAAACACTGAGCCAATCTAGCAATCCTCATGTTTGACATACAGTCTCCCGTTACCAACTCACCCACAATCATCAACTACCAGCTAAGCGCCACCTTCGCGCTTCGCATACTCATCTTCAATAGCCTCGGCGTATTTTTCATCGGGAGATCGAGGGTCATCATGGAGCACACCGTCTTTCAGCAGCTGATCAGGCGAGGGGCGATGAGAGATCTTATCATTGAGCGAGTCGGCACGCATATGCTTCGCCAGCTAAGGATGTCTCATTTAGTCTCATCACAGTGTATATATAAGGATTAATGACCTAAAGTTAGGAGCACATAGTAAAGGCTAAGAAAGAAAGACGGGGAAACACACCTCCTTCTGTTTCTCCTGCAGGCTCGGAGCAGCGGTAGACTCGGGGAGGATGTTCTTATCTACAAGCTGAGACCTATCTGGGCGATCTTTCAGGTGCTGCTCTAACGACATCTTCCTGCCGCGGGCGCCAGCGGCAACTGGAGAAATCGGGGTCTCGTCGACGGTCGAGGATGGGGTTTCTTCCTGCGTAGCCATTGTGCTGAATTGATATCAATTGCTAAATTGCTCCCAGCGCGTGGATCTTTTGAAAGCAGTCGTGTACTGAACAGCGCATTCAGCAGCAGCAGTACAGCTATAGGAGTAAGTTGAAAGTGTACAAGTCTTGAGGAGCTCTCGCAGTCACAAAGCGGGTAGAGAAATGGGGGGACCTCGGTGGCACGATGGAATGTTTTGACGTAATGGTGGCCTTGTTTACCTGAGATAGCGTGCGGGGTAGCGCCGGGTGCAGCTCCCTAGGCTGCCCTAGCTACCGCATAGACCCGGCATCTGGGCACTTCCCCAGAAACCAAACCCCCGCTAAGGAGACCCTTGTGCAAGTTCCTACGATAGTACCTGAGTCAGGTTAGCCACTGTGAGGTAATCGACTTGGAGTAGTTCAAGGCTGTGGACAAGGCATATATGATAAGGGAATAAGAAGCAGATGATTATATTTTTATAAATACAATATACCTGTTGGTGATAAACTTGAGGTTGGTATAGATAGCAGTTGCTACACCTACCTATGTTCAGTCACAGACGATATGGAGCCATATAGCTTATTTCTTGAAGGGGATGAATGCATTTCAACGTTCAGTGTTGCTAGTACAGATAACTAAGGCGATATGACGAGCCAGACCATTAGTAGTTGCGTATCTTGGCTTTGACCTTGGCTTGGAATTTACTTAGATTTGCATCGAAGCAGTTATTGAGTGCCAACTTCCCACATGTCGTGCCGAATCTATCAGAATATATAGCAGCAGAACAGGCAACATCCATCCAACATCTGCCTCTTTGTGGTATTTAGTATGCTGATAGATGCCCATGGCCTGTAAACATACAACACCAGGGATTTACTAGTTGTCAGCGACCCAACTGCTACTCTAGCAGTGTCTTTCTAAGCGCGTTATTTCCCTTTTCCCCCGCAGCTACTAACTGTAGTCTAATATCTGTCTTGACCAAAAAAACGCTATGTTAAGGTCGAACAGGTGTACTTAACAAGAGAATGGATGGTCTTAATAGGTGGCAGTGCACTCGATCTCGACATCTACATTCAAGGGGAGAGTCTTGACGGCAACACAGCTATTTGCATGTGAGTATATAGCCAGGACATCACATCGCATCATCGGGAGGAGTTCTGACTCACGTTCGGCATGGCTTGACATCGCCCCAGTACTGGCTGTATACCTCGTTCATGGCGGCAAAATCATCCATGTTAGCGAGGAAAACATTCACCTTGACCACTTTGAGGATGTCGGATCCGGCAGCTTCCAGAATGGCCGTGAGATTCTGGATGCATTGGTGCTACGGAAAGGGTTAGTTTAGGACCGAAACAGTGATTACCTACTGCATTATTGTCTTATTATTATCTTACCGTGTGTGCCTGGATATCGCCGGGGATGATCTGGCCCGACTCGGCATCCATGGGCACGGCGCCCGAGACAAAGACAAACCCGTTGGCCTTGATGGCCTGGCTGTAGATGCCAGGCAGTGCCTTGGGGGCCTTGTCCGTCACGACGGGAGTCTTCTCGGCCATTGTCGCGTAGGTGGGGTAGGGATAGGTGTAGGTGTACACGTTAGGTACTGTAAGTAGGTAGAGTGAGTGTCTTATCTGACAATCGATAGAGGGATGACTAGGTTGGTTTATAAGAAGCCGAGGGCGTCTCAAGTCCTTATTAAATGCCGAGGAGAGTTGTTGAATAAAAAATCCCGACTAGAGATTCACTTGCGTGCCTTGATGCGGGGTGAAGATGTCCGGGGTGGGTTGGCATTTCTCCAATTGGGCATCTGCAGCTTCTAGGCTTGCCGAGGGGCTACTTCTTCTTTTATTAGACTTACATATGTGCATAGCAACTACTATGCGAGCGGCAACATCGTATTCTTGGATCATTAGGTACTGCCTAGCAGATGCCTAGGTAGGTAGATAGAAGCCCGAAGATTCCATATCAGAAATACATACCTAATGCAAAGCAGGATCTACATATAAGGTACCTAGGTAGGGGATGTGGGGGACATATCACCTACCACTCAAGGAGACGTTACAGTTGGAACCCCGCCTCTACCCGCCTATAACTGCTGGCACTGATGTACTTAGCCAGTTAGCCGAGCTTTCTTACCCCGGCTTCTGCCCCAGTTTTCGTCTTATGTGGGGGTCATCCCTAGCTGTTCCTACGTGGGGTTGACAGAGCTACTTAGAGTAAGAACAAACGTGCCGGCATTAGGTTATCGACGTACACGAATAGACGAACTTACCTAACCTACTTAGGTAGCTCAAATAGCAATCTATCAGGTTCGGAGTCCTAGCTAGGTATATCAGGTGAAGATACCGTGTAATGATAGAGTCTGATAGAGGTATTGACATCCCAGCCCCCTTTAGAGACACACGATACTACCCCAGCACTTACAGTAAGTATCTACCTAGGTATTCTAGATAAGAGGGAGTAAGTACCTAGACAACGAGCCATCTTCTCATGTATCTAAGGTCATCCACGTCTTAGTAAACGAGGTATTGATTGCCTCCTTATAACGCATATAGGTAGATATAGACCTCGTCCATTGATTCAGTACATCATGTGTCTGTGTAGCAGCCATGAGTATATAGAAGTAGCCCAAGTTGGTAGGAATCTATCTACCTACCTATATATACATACATACATATGTAGCTACTAGTTGAAAACTAGCCAGCACGGGGGATGAGGGTATCGCTCATCCTGGAGTGGTACACGGCCAGTGCAGCTTGTCTCTCAACCAACCACATTATAAGCCAGCACCTCATCTACATCTGGCCTAGGCAGGCTGGGTGTAACATGTCCTCCACATGCTAACCACGAGTTCATGACGCTGCTCAAATATCCATGTTGTTCTCCTTTCAATTTCACTACCTTCTCGGACTGTCCATTCACTGATTCTACACCGATTCCCCGAGCCTCTTTGTCGACTTCCTCGACATCAGCCTCGTCGTTATAATGACAGAACCCGTGCCTCCCTCAGGCTCTAAGCACCAGCCTGTCATCAATGATGCGGCATCGTGCAACAAGAAGAGTACGGGTGATGCCGAGAGCAGTCATGGCAACATCGCACAAGAGACCGCCGTTGTTGTCGACTCGGCTGCTGAGAGAGCCCTCTGTCGCAAGTTTGACTTCCGACTGCTGCCAGTCTTGGCTTTGATGGTCCGTCTTAACACCCCTTTTCATTGGAAACAGAGCATGACAAAATCGAAATGCTCTTTTTCAAGCAATCGGATTGCTATGACTCGCCGGCTAGAACATGGGTGCTGACTGGCGTTTGACAGTATCTCTTCAACGCTCTCGATAAGGGAAACCTTGGTAACGCGCAGACTGCTGGGTTGTCCAAAGGTGATAATCATCTCACTAGGAGCTCCAATCTCTTTTGTGCCACAACAGCTAACAACAAATTTAAGATCTCAACTTCAAATCAGGACAATACAACCTTATCGTAGGAAGTAAGTCATTTGCCAATTGTTTTTGACTTGGCTGCTCACTGCCGGACACCAAAACTTTCGCACTCTCTTTAAAATCTTAAAACACTTCAGACTTTTCCTGGGAAATCTGTAGCTAAAATTCAATGTGCAAAGTCTTCTTCGTTCCATACGGTACGTGAATGATCGCGGCTGCAACAAGCGTCCACGTTCCCCGTCTTCTATCTTCTCGAGGTTCACTATGATTATTAAGCTGCTGATGCTCCTTTGCATGATGTGGCCACTAACAACTGATCAATAGTAAGTGTCGTTCAAGTCATGCGCTCTTCATTGCTGGTCTATGGATATGCATATTGACTGGGTAAGGTTGTGTTCGCACCCCCTCTGGCTTTACTCGGCAAGAAAATAGGGCCATCTCGAATGCTTCCCATTCTGATGTTCAGCTTCGGCTCGTTCACTTGTGAGTAATATTTGACAGCATCTTCACTTACTAAACCCCTATCTTCGGCACTTTACGACTCGTAAAACCCCATACTCAGGAAACCACTTCTCAAGGCTTTGTTGAGTATCAAGCAACTAACTCGAAATGCCAAAGTACTCACGGCTGCGACGCATAACTTCAGCGGCATCTTCGCCTTGCGGTTCTTTCTCGGCGCCGTTGAAAGTGCCTTCTTCCCACTAGTTATCTTTTACCTCACTACATTCTATAGACGTAGCGAATTAGCTCGGCGGTTAGCTATATTCTATGCCGCGTCAAACATAGCCAACGCCTTCAGTGGGCTTCTCGCATTCGGAGTCTTCCAGATCAAATCAAACCTGGTAGATCACCCCTGGAGATGGCTCTTCATCATTGAAGGGACGCTCACTGTGTTGTTCGCCATATTCGTTTTCTTCTACCTACCCAAGAGTGCGGCCGAAGCTAGATTCTTGAATGAGGAAGAGAAAGCCCTTGCGTATCATCGAATCCAGGTCGACAGCTCTTCCATTGTGAATGAAGCTTTCAACCTCAAAGAATCATTACAGATTTTCAAGAGGCCCTCAACTTATGGCTTCCTCTTGATCGAAATTGCTTGTAAGTTTTCTTGTTATGATAGGAATTTCTTTGGTTGTCTCACCGCTTCATACCCCATATAAGCTACGTGACACGTCAAGTCGACCTTGACAAACTTACCCTGAGTCCTCTTTCGGCCGACACAAGAATATATTACTAATGCTCATGTATTAGTGGGAGTCCCCATACAATCTGTCGCGCTCTTTCTACCACAGATTGTTCAACGAATCGTGAAGGATACAGTCAAAGTAAACCTCTACACCGTAGCACCAAACATTACGGTAAGTGAGATACCATCCCCTACTCAACATTAGTCTTAACTAATCGTCGTCAGGGCGCTGTGACATTGTTGATTCTGGCATTCTCGTCCGACTTGCTCCGCATCCGGTTCCCTTTCATCTGCTTGGGATTCGCTCTCTCCTTTACCGGATTCATTATATACGCCGCTATTGATGACGTTCAACGTCAGAGACAACTAGCCTAGTCAGTGCTGCCCAGCATCATTTCTTCATTCCCAACTCATCCCCTGAATCACAAGTAATGTTCTGCAGCCATATATATGATTTTCCTTGGCTTTATAATGTTCTCATATTATATCTTCTTAATGCTCACACTGACCTTTACGTACTTGTAGTTACTCTACATTCATGATGACCTGGGGAACATCTGCCCCCTCCGTCCTGTTAAGCACGGTAGGTAATTGCGAGGACACGAGACCTCCCTCTCCTGCCCCTATCATACCCATATAGCAAGTCGTGGCAATACTAATAGACACTACCGAATAGTGGTATAATAACAACGTAGCACATGAGGGTCAACGACTAACCTTAACCTCGGTCGGTGTACCCCTCGCTAATCTGATGGGCTTGGTTTCCAGCAACGTCTTCCGCGAGCAAGATAAGCCAAAGTACGAACCAGCAATCATCACCACGGCGAGTTACGGCGGGTTCGGATTTATCGTTGCGGCGTGTCTGGGATTCTACATGATGTTCGACAATAAACGCCGCAACCGCCGACAGGGCGTGAACCTCTCCGCCAGGGACGTTCCTACTTCGCGGTTGAGGGACGGCCCGAAGGTGGATGATTTCAGATGGTTCTTGTAGTTGACTCTATGTTCTTAGAAGATTCCTACGATTCTAGGATGCAGTGTTACGTATGCATCATCGATTTACCTTGGTGCGGAATATCATTGCTTTTCTCTCACATATATGGGGCCTAATACTAGATAGGGGAAGTTATCAGATTGTTTGTAGTGATACCAGTCAGCAGGAGTTAATACGATGAAAATCAACGTTGCGACGTAATCAAACCAGATACAGAGTGACGTGTATTGTAGTATCCCAAAGTAATGCATCTCCAGGCTCTCCTCATGGCAATGCTCCGCTCACAGTATACCATATATACCCACCTTAGAACGAATTATTACTAGCATTGCCAAGGGGTCCCAGAGTACAACCTAAACGACCCCTAGGCCAGCGAACGACTTAACAAAACCGCAGATGCAACTTGCCGGGTCGAGTCTACGAATTTCTCGTCAGCCGATAAATCGAGGGCTTGGTACAGCATACATGAAGCATCGAAGTAGGCAGGGCGACATAAGAAGAGGGACTTACCTATAAGCATAAGGCGGCGATAAAGACCCAGTCTGCGTGATCTCAGTCGTGCTATCAACAAAGATATTATTCCTCTCAACAGCGTACCCATCCTGGTCGCTGTCAAGATCAGTCACGATGGCGCGCTTCGTAGAGGAGAAATAGTTCCCCTCGATCAGCATCTGCGCGCCCATACGGCTGTTGATGCCCGACGTGGGGTTGTTCTCGAAGCACGAGCTGTAGACGTGACCCGTGCCGAAGCGGAAGGACGGCAGACGAGAGTTCACGTTGGTGAAGTGGTTGTGGTGGTAGGTTACGTGTAGCTTTCCCTTGTCTTCGGAGCTGTTGCTGTCGCTGTGGCCGACAAGGGAGCCTTTCCACTAGATTGTTGAGGCGGGGTTAGTATGGGCCATGAGGTTAGGTTACTTTGTAAGATAAGTGAGGAGAGGAGGAGGGAGTGCGGAAACGAATATTAGGGACCAGGGACTTACGTGATCGTGAAATTTATTCCATGACACTGTGATATAGTCACTTCCGTGAGTGATGTCTAGCAATCCATCGTAGTAATCTTTGTCACCAGTGAGACCCTCGGTAGAGAACTACGATACAAAGGTCATTCCGAGTCAGTCCACATTCTGTTGTAATGCTTCGCGAGGCCATCATAAAGTAGCTTACATCGCAATGGTCGACCCAGACCTTGGAGGAATACTGGATCTCGACGAGATCCTTGCCCTTGGGCGGGTTATGGAAGTAAAGGTTCTTGAGAATGACGTTCGATGCCCTCTTGATTCGGAGACCGCCATTCGTCAAGCCGGACCTCGACCCAGATCCAATGACAGTAGTGTCGCTGGCCAGGTCAATGACTGGTAATTATGAATTATTAAATGTTTTTTGTGAATCGATTCGAGGCGACGATAACTCACTGCCACAACCATCCAAGACACCCGAGATGGTGATAACGCCGCCGCTCTCAGCAGCAGACTCAAGAGCGTCACAAGAGGTGACTTTAGTACCACCGCCACTGCCGCCACCGGTCGTGCCAGCACCATATCCCTGGAGACTATAGTTCGGCGAACTGCAAGAGCCGGTGCTACCACCTCCAGAGCCAGTTGTTGTTCTCGTCGTAGTAGTCAGGGTAGTAGTAGTGGCCTTAGTGGTGGTGGTTGTCGTGCCACCATTGAAGGCACATGAGCATTCCTATCAAGTCCCTTATGTGAGTATATGGTATTGAATGATACACGCTGACTGCCAGTCAATTACCTTAGAAAGAGCAGTGGGCTTGTTCGAGCACACGGATGCCCACGCCGGAAGAGCCGTAGTAGCCGTCACTGTTGACCGCGTGAAAGTAGCACAAAAGCGCGAAGCCGTAGCAGCCTTTTCGGGAGTATGGGGTTAATTATTTTTGCATGTTAGAAAATCTAGGGAAGCCATTTGGAAGTTTGCAGGGGTACTAGTTAGAAGACACTCCTAATGAAGTAACTTATGGCCCTGATAAATGCCAAAAAGAGATGCGCTATGATTGACTGAACTTACTTGGGCTGTCATGAACGAGGCACAAGGATCAGTGTCCGGGTTAGTACTAAATGCATACAGATGATATTAGTAGTTATCCTTGGGTTTCATATCATATGCTGCTTTGTTGATTTCTTGAGATTGGAACACTAGAGGTACGGGCAGGGAAATACTGGGTACGAACCATGCCACCACGAAAGGGGCGAGAGCTAAGAGAGCGTAGTAAAACATCATTAGATCTGCACACTAATGAATTTCACGATGGTACAAGATAAAAGGCTACTCTCGTAGAAGCGAGTTTTCGAAAGTTATACTGCGTTCTATTTCATCGTTTTATCTTTAAACTGGTAAGGAGACCATCTATAACACACACATTGCTTTCACTAGTAGAAAACATCAAAGGAGCGTCATGAGCCACGGTCTTCAGCCAGGACACATCTTTCCAATGTGATGATTTTCCACCAGTAGCAGATAGACCATGTTCTATTCTAGCACCTCCCACATTGGTAGAAAACCGCCTCGGAATCAGTCGTTCAAGACCATTAACGGGAGGTGATAAGATAGATTGCCTAGGGAGTTCTCAATAGTGTCTGTTTGAGCCAAAACATCGTGTCCTTCATGAAAGCACATGATACCAAGGGGGCATGGGTATGGTAGCGTTATTGGCGGAAATAGAAAGACAACTTTGCTTAATTAGGCTGGTGATTGGTGGAATCACAGGAGAGCTTGTCGGGCCACCAGTCATTACGTGGGTGTTTCTCGATTTTGGACAATTGACCCTATTGCGCCTCCTAGCACCGGGCTATGTCCGCAGGGTGATTCAGCTTGTTTTTGGTCGACATTGTGAGAGAAGACATAATGTAGAGAACTCCTCCCTGCACTTGAAGCTATCCCAATGCAGTTCGGGGCTCGACGGTGGGCCACTGGGACCACATAGGACAAATCATCGGAGATAGCCTAAGCGCTTAAGATTATCCCGCATGTTCCATTTTCTTAGTAATTTTATATTATATAAAGAATTATTTAAGTAATTTAAAGTATTGAAGTTATACCTTGAGCTTTATTTAATATTAATGATTTTTATAATAAAATTATTACTTTATATAAAGCTGGAACTTCTATTTTTGTTATTTTTATTAATTTTAATTAATAAAGCTACCATTATACCTTTTATATACTATTTTGTTATATTTAAGCTTAGCATTTAATAAGCTATTAAAATTAATTCTAATTTAAAAAAATCCTTTTTTAAATTTAATTCCTCTTTTTTATATAAGGTTAAAAAGATAAATTTATTTAATAAAACCTAATTAAAGCTAATTACCTTATAACCTATTATATAATTAAATATATTTAATATAAATATAATATAAAATAATAATATTATATAAATAAAGAGTATAATAAAGCTATATAATAAATAGTAAAATAGTTTAAATAATATATATAATAAAGTTTTATAATAAAAGGCTTTAAAAAAAACTATTTTTATAAGTTTATATAAATATAAATTAATATTATTATTAATAAAAATTAACTTTATTAATATTATAAAGCTTATTAGTTAAAATTTATATAATAGTAAAGTTATTTAACTATTTATTAATATAAAAAGTATATAATTTTAAATTAAAATTTTATATAATATTTTAATAAATATATAAAGCTTTAAAAAATAGAAATTAAAGTTTATATAATAACTTTTTCTTTTATATAATAATTAATTTATTAAATTTATAATTATATTAATATATATTTATATATAATTATTTAAATTTATATTAGCTTTATTATTTATATTATTATAAGTACTTTAAAGTAATTCTTTTATATAATAAATATTATAAGTATATAATTATTATTTATAAAAATAAATATAGGAATTAAAATACTTCTTTTTATTAATGCTTAAGGTTTTTTTATTAAATTAAATAAAATTGCTATAATATATAATAGCTTAAATAATATAAAACGAATTTATTAATAGGGTGATTGCCTTTTTTTATATTATATATAAGGTATAAATAAATAAAATTAAAAAATTAAAGTTTAATAATAAAGCTTTTATATAGGATTAATTAATTAATAGATTAATTTTATTAATAAATTAAATATAATTAGGTATTTAAATAAAAAAGATTATTAAAATTTTATTATTATATATATAATTTATAGGTTTATTTTTTATATAAAGATTTTAAAGTTTATATAGTTATAAAATAATTATATAATTTAAAAGTAAAAATATTACCTTTATATTATTTCTAATAAACTTTATAAAATTTATAAAATGTTTTAAATTAATTAAAAAATTCCTATATTTAAAGGTTTATTTATTTATACTTTAGTTTATATAATAGCTTTCCTTTTAAAAGATATTAAAATTAATACCTTTTTTTCCTTTAAAATAAAAGAATAGTATAATACTTAATTAAAAAACTTAAGGTTTAATAATATCCTTTATATAAAAAAAGATTATATATATTTATATTTTTATATATATTTTAATCTTTAATAGCTTATATAATAGTATATAACCTTTAATTAAAAACCTATTTTATTAATTACCTATTATTACGATTGGGGTTTTAGGGTATAGCTATATTAATATTATGGACGAAAATTTTAAGTTAAAGAAAAAAGGAAGGAAAGATAAAATTAGAATATAAGTATACGTAGAAATATATATATACCAATAGCTATTATAAATTATATAACCTTATTAATATATATTTTATATATTTTTATAATATCCCTTTATAATATATATAATATTCCGGTATAGTATATGTTTAATATATTTGTTATATTTCCTTTTATTAAAATTAAGATATGGGTGTAAAATGGGTTAAGGAATTATTTATAGCGTTTAATTTTAATTACGATACTATTTTGTATAGTAATATTATTATTAGGGTAATTAATAGTAAATTCGTTAATTATTATAGCTTTTATTTATTTATTTAGCTATTTAAGCAGTTTTAATATATTAGGTTATCTTTTATAGAACTTTTATATTTTAATTAATGAATTTTTAAAATTTTTTACTGGGTATTAAGTATTATTAAGGTTATAACCTTTTTAAACAATTTAATATTGTAGCGTTTTATTATACCCTATTATTTATAACCTAAATAGCTGTTTAACTTCTTACTCTAATTCTTCTTTAATATTTTTAAGTTTTAATAATAGTTGGGTTTATTAGGATAATAGGTTTTCGTTTGCTTTATGTAATTAATTTATATAAAAAAGGTTAATTATTTTTATTAACTTTAAAAGGTCCAATATATAGCTATATCCTTTTTTTTAAATATTTTAAAAGGTTTAATCTATTAAAAGTTTAATTAAGTAATTGGGCTATTAATTATAAAGCTTTTCTTTTTTAAAAAGATTTTATTTCTTATACGGAAGTTTATTAAATATTGCTTCCTATTTATCTATACTTTTTATTTCTTTTATATAGCTTTTACTATTTTATAAGTTACCTTTTATATCTTATAGGTCTATTATACTAATTATTAAATTAGCCTTTTAGGTGCTATCTTTTTAATAATATCTGGTAAGGGTAATAATAGGGGGTTCTTTATATTAGTTCCTATTAAAACCTTTAATAGTATTATATTAATAGTTAAATATTAAAAGGTATTATATATAAAATTTAATATAAGTAAATAAGGGTTTTAATTATTTTAATATTTATTAATATAAAAGTATAACTATTAATTTAACTTTTAATTTATAAACTTTATAGCTTTTTATATTTAAGGGTAAAGGGTATTTTTATATTAGTATTTAATATAGGTTAATTTATTAATCTTTATTAAAAAGTATAAAATAAAAGGTCCTATATTATTTAAAATCTATACCTTTAGGAAACCTAAGAAACAGTAGGTATATTTATAATATTAATATATTATATCTTTTATTATATTGTTTTTTTTATTAGGTATTATAATTAATAAGTAATTAAACTTATTAATAAATACCTATATATAATTATAATTATATTTATTTAAAGGTATATTCTTTTTATTAATTATAATATAGTATTAAATAGTTATAGGGATTAATAATAGGTATAATAATCCAAATATTTTATTTTAAGGAATTTTATTCCATTAATAATTATAATAATTATAAATATATATTTAAATATTTTATTTTAATAAAGGTTAATAGTAGTTCTATTTAATTATTTTAATATATTTATTTTATTTAAGGTAAATAATAATTATTAAATAGTAAGCTTTTTTAATTAGGGCTATTTAAAAATAAACCTTTAGGTTAAAGGTATACTTTAAAACAATTAACTAATAATTTTTATATTTTAAATCTTATTTTTTATTTTTTTATTAAATTAAGTTTATTAAATTGGAACTATATAGTATTATTGCCTTCTTTTTTATAACAATTATTAGCCTTCCTAAAGTTTTAAGTAAAATTAAAGCTATATTACATTTTTTAGCTTTATAAGCTTTAATAGTTAATAGATTAATTATTTTATAAAATAATATATCTATTATTATATTCTTTTAATTAGGCTAATATTAAAAGGTAATATTAAAGTTAAATAAAAAGTTTACTTATTTTATTTATTTTATAAAAAGGACTTTTTTAATAGTAAAATATAATAAAGCTTAATAATTAATTATTATAAAGAACTTTATATTTAATAGCTTTAAATAATTATACTTTATAGTTTAAATTATAATTAATAGTTTTTTATTTTATATAAAATAAGTTTATTTAATTAATAATATAGTTTTTAAAAAGTATTTTATAAGCTTTTAAATATTATTTTTTATTGCTATTAAATAGCTTTACCGGTAATATTTTAAAAAGTATTAGTTTTAATTTTAATTAATTAATTAAGCTAAAAGAAGGTTAATATTAATACTTTATAAGTTAGCTTCTTTATTAATTTAAAGGCGCTTTATTATTTATTACCTATTTTAAATAGTATACCCTTTTTAAATAAACGGTTTAAAGGTTTAGCTATATTATTAATATAATATATAAATATTTAAATAAAGTTATATAGCTTTAAAAACGAATAAATAGCTTAGGTATTAATTAGGTTTTTAAATTTCCAATTAATAATAATATTTATTTTCCGGAGGTTTATTTAAATACTTTATTTAACCTTTAAAATTATACTTAAATAGTTTATAAAAGTTATATTAAAGTAGGATTCTTTTATATTTCTTTAAAGCTTAACATTATAAAAGTAATATATTACTTCCTTATATTATTTTTAATATTTTTTTTATTATTTATAAATATTAAAATGTTATTAATATAAACATTAATAAAAAGGTTAAATAGTTTATATAGTTAAAAATTAATAAAGTTTTACTATTAAACAAA